GCCTGATTCTTGGGGCTCCAAGAAGAACTCAACAACTAAACTTACCTGCTACTGCTGCAGAAAGCCAGCCCTCCCTAGGTGGGACTGTGATAAGAACCTTCAAGACAAGAAGCCCCTTGAGCTATGCCCTGATTGAAAAGATGACCACTGGAAATTGGACTGCTCCCTGAGGCCGAGGCCCCAGGGATCAGACTCATCAGCTGGTGCAGGAAGACTAAGGGGCCCCAGGGTGCACTCTGCCTCCTCCCTCTGGCCAGACTGTTGTCTCCCCCAGGGGAGCCCCAGGTAATCATGACTGCAGAGGGAAAAGAAACCAGCTGGACACTGGCACAGTCTCTCAGTCCTTTTTAACCCTGGCCTGCCTTCCAGCTGTCACACTTCAGTGAAAGGAGTCACTGGAGGGGAGTTAACTTTCTAGTTCTTACAACCCTTAGGCTGTAACTGGGAAGGCTTTCTTTTTACACATTCCTTTTTCATTATGCCTGAAAGTTGTTTCCCCCCTGGGAAGAGATTCTTATCTTGCTTGAATACTGTATGCTGCCTTCCCATCTTGGAGACAAATCCTGGTATGGCCAACTAAAAGTAGAATAGAAAGAGCAATAACAGCTGTGCCAGTACAAATACATCCCCAGGATCCTACTATTTTCCCTCACTGAGGCAATACCCTCTAAGGCCTGAAGTTAAAAGAGGACTGTTGGGGCCAGGGAACATAGCTCAGTGGCATAACACCTGCCTGGCAAGTGTGAAGTCCTGAGTTCGATTCCCCATAAAGGCCAGTCTGAACTACATAGTGAGAGCTTGTCTCAAAAACAAAAGCACCAGATGACACCTACTTACAAAGGCCACACACAAATCATAGTTTCTTAAAAGAGGACTGTTGCCTATAATTGACAATTTACAGGCACAAGTGGTATAAGGGAAATGCAAGAAGAATGAATTCCAAGGAACAACAGAGGTTAAGAGTAGGAAAATTTATTGGAGAAAAGGAATGGGGATTAAGAATAGGGAATAGGAATAGCTCCTGAGGCAGGTGGGGTCCCGAATGGGTTGCCAATGGGCCCACCTCTCAAAGATAGTTTTACAGAGCAAAATCATGAGGTGGGTACAACGTGGGTCCAAATTATGATCAACCAATAAGATTGCAAGTATATCCATGTAGGTAATATTGATCTAATGATAGTAAGGAAGGGTACATGGGTGATATCATTAATCTTGATCGATAATCTATAGTCTTGGTCTTTAGTTTTAGCAGTCTTAGTCTTAGTGGTCTTAGTCTTAGTAGATGGGAGGGGATATCCCATCCCTAATGAGATAATGGGAAATCTCAAAAGGGTGATACCAATAATCCCAAACCTGTGTTCATTCCTTAGGGAAGTATTTAATTTTTTTGTTTGTTTGTTTTTGAGACAGGGCCTCACTATGCAGTTCAAACTGGTCTTGAGCTCACTTTGTAGCCTAGGCTGGTCTGATCCTCCTGCCTCAGCCTCCCAAGGGCTGGGATTACAGGCATGCGCCACCACGCCCAGCTAGGGAAGTATTTAAAACTAGCCATTATGACTTTAATCTTCAGATGCGCATCCAGCCACAGTCCTGATGTATTCTCATCTTTTGCACTGACTCCCTCAAGGGCCTAGCCCTGCCTGACTGCCCACTATATTTCCACCTAATTTAGCCTAGCGGTCTATAATACAAGGTCTACTTACACACTGTAACAGCCAATCTTGGGAGTTCAAAAACCCAGTGGGGAGTGGAGGTTGGTACAGGACCTTAAATTGGTAAAGGAGGCAGTCATGCCCATTCACCCTATCGCGTGCACTCTCTTCCTCAGATCCCAGAAGATACTTGTTGGTTTTCAGTGTTAAATTTAAAAACACCTTCTTTTATATTCCTTTACATACAGATTTCCAGTTTCTTTTTGTCTTTGAAAAGTCTCATGACTAGGCCTCTCAACTGACTTGGACTGTGCTCCCTCCAGGGTTCAGAGACAGTCCTTCTGGTTTTGGACAAGTTCTTTCTCACAACTTGGGCGTGTTTTGAATTTTCCCAAGTTATAGTCTTGCAATATGTGGATGATTGAAGAATGAAAATTTACAAGGCAAGTCATCCTCCAAAATCAGATGGCATTAGACATCCTCACAGCAGCACAAGGGAGTACTTGTGCAACTGTAAAAGCTGAGTGTTGTGTGTAAATTCCTGATCCTTCTGCTAATATCTCAATGACTGTTTAAGATATTAAACAATAGGTTAATGCCATGTTAGATTGTGAAATTTCATGGACTGTCTCTTTGTGAGAGGCTATTACTGGCACTTCCTGATGGAAACATTTGTTGGTTGTATTTATAATAGTGGTTTTTTTTTTTTTTTTTTTTTTTTTTTTTTTTGCAACACGGTCTCACTGTGCAGGTTGGCCTTGAGCTCACTTTGTAGCCCGGGCTGGCCTCAAACTCGCAACAATCCTCCTGCCTCAACTCCGGAGTGCTGGGATTACTGGAGTGTGCCATCATGCCCGGCTATAATAGTCTTTTTTTTTTGTTTTTATCGGTACCGGCAATTGAACTCATGACCTTGCGCTTGCCAAGCAGGTGCTGTGCCCCTGAGCTAAATCCCCAGCCCCCAATAGTCTTTTTTTTTTTTTAGACAGGTTGTTGCTATGCAGTTCAGGCTGGCCTTGAACTCACTTTGTAGCCCAGGTTGGCCTCACTCATAGCGCTCCTCCTGCCTCAGTCTCCCCAAGTATTTCGATTACAGGCAAGTACCACCACACCTAGACTCATAAATAGTCTTGTTGATCTTATTACTTGGCTTATGCATACTTAACTGTTTCTTTGGCCTTGTCCCTTCCAGATTTAAAGCTGTATGCTTACACAAGACAAGAACACCTATCATCTATTGAGGACCTTCAGACAGACCCACTGTGGTGTATCTCTGACTGCTGATCACAACTAAAACCCTTCAGCTGGAAGTAGCCAGATAGGTCTTGGCCCCTTGCCCCCTCACTGCAGTTAGAGGTATCTGTTCAGTGGGGGGAATATTATAGACAGCTAAATTAGGTAGAAATATTATAGGCAATCACACAGGGCTCTAGGACCTTGAGGGAGTTCGTGCAGAAAGCATTAAAACTGTGGCCGGAGGCACATCTGAAGATTAAAGTCACAATGGCCAGATTTACATATTTCCCTAAGGGATAAATGGAAGTTTAAGATTATTGGTACCAACCTTTTGAGATTTCTTATATAAATAAACCATTATCTCATTAGGGGTAGGCCATCCTCTCCCACTCATTAAGACAAAAAAGACTAAGACTATTAAGGCTAAAACCAGGATGGGAATATAGCTCAGTGGAAGAGTTCTTGCCTTGCATACACAAGGCCCTGGGTTTGATCTCCAACAGCACACACACAAAAAAAGACTAAAGACCAGGCTAAGACTAGAGACTACTGATCAAAGTTAATGATGTTGCCAGGTGTGGTGGCGTATGCCTGTAATCCCAGCACCTGGGAGGCTGAGGCAGGAGGATCCAGAGGATCGTTGCAAGTTCGAGGCCAGCCTGGGCTACTAAGTGAGCTCAAGGCCAGCCCGAACTGCATAGCGAGACCCTGTCTTAAAAAGACCAAAAAAGAAAAAAAAAGAAAATGATGTCATCCATGTACACTAGTACATGACTTGCTTCCCCATTGGAACAATATTTTTTTTGGTCAATATTATCTAAGTGACTAGTACTCTTATTGGTTGATCATAATTTTTTATTTCATGTTGTACCCACCTCGTGATTTTGCTCTATAAAACCTCCTCTGGGCAGGGCATGGTGGTGCACGCCTGTTATCCCAGCACATGGGAGGCCGAGGCAGGAGGATGTTTTCAAGTTAGTGGCCATCCTGGGCTACAAAGGGAGCTCAAGGCCAGCCTGAACTGCACAGTGAGACCCTGTCTCAAAAAGACATAAATAAATAAATAAACCGAATTAAGTTAATAAAAAACCAAAAACTGTAAAATGGAGTCTGCAGCAACCCACTTTCTGGACCTGCTGTCTCTCCCTCATAAAGTTTCCTACTCAACCTCCGTTGTTCCTTAGAACTCATTCTTCAATTTGGGGACCATATACTCAGCATATCGGAGGTCTAGCAGGTTTGGAGTTAATTTATTTCGCCCATATCACAGGGATTTTAAGGGGCTGGAGATGGAGGAGAGCCCCAGGCACCCCAGAGAAGGAAGCTTTCCTGTGAATGGGCCTGGGAGGGAGGAGGAGCTGACAGGTGGAGTCTACCAGTCCCAATTTACCCTGAGGCTCCTCCTAACCTCTTCCTTATGATACACCTTGCTTGTCTGGAGATTTCAACAAGACGTCTTGTTCCCACCCCTGCTAGGGTGCTGCCCCCAGCCCAGCGCTGCAGACAGAAGCTTCTTACATGGCCTTAATCCCAGCACTCAGGAGGCTGAGGCAAGAGGCTCACTGAGAGTTTGAGGCCAGCCTGGGCTATGCAGTGAGACACATTTGTCTCATAAAAACAAAACAAAACAAAAAACAAAAATTCAAAGGGAAACACCCTTGCTTCCTCTATGCACAGAACACCTCCCCACACACAGATTCCCTTTTTAGAATAACGACACCCCTCAAACACAGAGACTGCCCCCTAGTACAGATTTTCCAGCGCAGAGACTCCTCAGCACAGACCCTCTCACCCAGAACAGAGCCCCTCAGGACTTGGTGAGGCACCCCTCACCTGTCAAAGAGGAGGTCCCGGCCCTCCAAGGATCCCACTTGGAGACTATGGATCCGGAGGCCGCAAGACCAGTGTTTCTTACCATCTCGCCGTGCACTACCCGCCAACAATTGCACCTGGGTCAGCGTGGGAACCCCGCTAGCAACCCTGTCCCCGCCCCTACCGCACACCGCCGCCATGGGGCCCTAGTGCTTCAAGAGCGCGGGCCCTTTAAGAGAAGGGGGCGTGTGCGAACCGCCCGCCCCTGTTCCGCCCCTTTCGCCGCACTTAAAGGGGCCGCGCCCCCGGGCTGCAGAGTGCCAGCCAGCGGGGCGGGAGAGTGGGTGAGTGGTGCGGGCCGGCCCTGGGCGCGGGCCGGCGCACGATGTACACCATCACCAAGGGGCCCAGCAAGCTGGTCTCCCAGCGCCGCACAGGTGCGTCGGGGTGGTCAGGGACGCGGGCGGGACGCGGGGCGGGGGCCGCGGCGCTGACGCTTTCCCCCACGCGCTCGCAGGTGCCACGCAGCAGCAAGTGGAGACCAGGCTCGGCGAACTCCTGAAATGCCGGCAGCCCGCGCCGCCTACTTCGCCACCCCCGCGGGCCCAGCCCTCGATGCCGCGGCCGGGCCCTTGGCCCCTGGCGAGGTGAGCGTGGGCAGGGGTGACCTTGGGGAGGGGGCGGGGCGCGCTTCCGTCCCACCTGGCCGGAGGCTGGGCCCCGCACGTGCGGACCTTGGTGACCACGTGGGGCCCCGCGGGCTCCGGGTGCCCTCGGGCTGCACCTTGCACCCTTTAGGGGCGACCAAGGTCAAGGTTTGAAGAGGTCAGCCCAGGGCTGGCCTTCAAGGGCTTCTATGTCCCTGAAAGAGAACTGTGTTTCCCCCGGGCCCTGCCAGGCCCCTCCTTCACCTGTCCTTCACCCCAGACGCCCCCAGGCAGCCCCTCTTGCCAGCAGAGACCCGGGGCGCGTTGGGCCCTGCAGGCTCTTGCCTTCCCTTGCCAGCCTCGCCAGCCATCTGCCCAGTGCCGCGGGGAGACTCAGTCCTGGCCACTTTGGCCTGCAAGGACTGTGACCTGGAGGTCACTGCTCTACATTGTGGAATCTTCTTTGGCTCAATTTACGGTTTTCCTGGGGCTGTGAACTTCGCTCCTGCCCCATCCTGACATGAGGACTCTTTCTTGGCCCCGGATAATGGGGGAGGTGGGGTGTGAACGCGTTCAGGTGAGGCATGGGGGACACACCAGAAAGGAGGACACAGGTGGGGATGGGGCTTTCCCAGCTGAGGACAGACAACCCCCAGGAGTTCAGAGCAGTCATGGCTGGGTGCTGGCTCTCAAGGTCTTCTGGCAGTGGCCGTGAAGAAGCTAGCCACCCTCTACCTGCCCCTGTCTGTCTGAGACACCTTAGGAAGGGGACTGGAGGCAGGTGCAGAGTAGAGGAATGGAGGGGTACATTGACAGCTGGGTTCAATTACAGGAAATGTCCTGAGAAAGAGGTGTGTCCTGGGGAGTGAGGAGGCCCTTGGGAGTCTTAGCTGGCATTAGCCTACCAGTGATGGCGAAGCTTTTAGAGCTTTTAATGATACAGCCCAGCACATGTGCCATAGGTGTGCCACCACTGGCCTATGTCCTCAGTGTTCCCCTGCCTTCTCAGGAAGGAAGCTCTGAGCCATGTGGTTGGTTATTCAGGCATGGAGCTCAAGGCTAGGGTGTTTGGATAACCTACCCACCCCTTACCTGGGCAAACTCTTACTCTCCAAGCCCCCACTGCTGTGGACGCAAAGGCAAGTCTGCAGCAAATTTGGGGGTGGAGTCAGTGTGGGGAAAATGACACTTTTCAGAACCCTAAGTGGGCAAGAGCTTCAGGGGACACTCCCAGACCCACTGGCTGTTCTCCCTAGACTCCTTAAAGGCCTTAACAGGCCAACCCTGGTGCAGATGCCTGAGATCCTCCATCAGCTCACCAGGCTGGGCACACTTTCCTGCTGGACTTGAGCTGTGGCTAGGGCAGGTTGTATGACAACTGGGTCTCATGTCCCCAGTCAGTTTCTACCACCTTGCCTTTACTTCTGCATAGCATCTTTCACTACATACCATCCCTCTTTCTGACCAGCTCAGAATGGAGTATGGGGGTCATTGCTTGTCTTCCTGCTAGTCCATGAAAGAACCCCAAAGTTTCTGACCAGCTAGATATACCACCTCCTGCTCTGGCTGGTCATAGGTCTGGGGACTGCCCACAGTGGTGAACAGGCCAGCTAGGTCTGCACCTCTTACAAATTCTTTCTTCTAATGAGAGATAGACTAAAGAGATAAAATGGACCATGCAATCACCTGTCCTTAGGGGCAGATGGGAGTGTGCAGGGACCACCAGAGGAGGGGACAATGGGATGAGGCTTGCAGGACAGGAAAGGACAGCCTGTGAGGCAGGCTGGGATCCATTCAGGAGTCTGGCTAGGGGGATGGTGCAGAATCAGGGATATGGATTTGAAGTCAGAACTATTGTTGAATTCTGATGCTGCCCTTGTCATTGTGTGACACAGGTACGTCACATTCCCCCAGTCTGGGTTCCTAGGCTAAAAAATGGGCATCTGGTCTACCGTGAGAGTGGTAGAGGGGTTAAATGAAAGGTCTGTGCTGGCACCACAGGCTGGAGCTTGCCTGTGGGCAGCCTCCCCAGGAACGCACACAGTTGGCCGGACTTTCCAGGTGCACACTGGGGCTGCTGCCCTTTTCCCTACAGAGCTTTTCTCTGGCCTTACATAACTGCAGGGGTGGGGCAGGCTGTGTGTATGCCCTGTGGGGGAGGGGGTATCCCAGCCCCAGGGCCACCACCTTGACTTCTTGCAATTCGCAGCCTCTGGCTGTAATTTCCTTGTTTTTTTTTTTTTGTTTTTTTAAATTTTATTTTGTTGAACCAAGGTCTCACTGTGTAGTGAGTGAGATAGAGGCTGGCCTTGAACTTTGTAGCCCATGGTGGTCTTGAATTCACAGTGATCCTCTTGCCTCAGCCTCCTGAATACTAGGATTTCAGATGTGTGCCACTGAATCTGGCAGTTTCCTTTTGTTTTTTAAAAAAATTGGTGTTCAGTCTTCAAGTTTTCCTGGAGTTTGAAGTTCTTTCAGTGTGGGGTGGTTGCAGGCACTAGGAGATTACTAAATTAGGACAACTCATCATGCCCTGGGTCTTACGGGGAAACTCAGGGAGTGAGCAGGTTGGGGAGTAGCCTGTATCCCCTTCCTGGTTTCCCCTGGCACATCTTAAGATTCTCTGTGGCCAATAGACCCTGCCAGTGCTGGGGCTGGCAGGACCCTGTGCCCCTCAAGACCCTCCTCTTTATTTTAGTGCCCCTCTCATCTGAGGAGGAACCCAGAGCGGCGTTGGGGCACCTGAGCCCAGGAAAGCGAGCAGGCCGGCCGGGACCGCGAGTGCCTGGCGGAGTGGCAGGCGCAGCCCAGGACTCCGGCTCCCACCTCCTGCTGTAGGTGCGGCCCCATTCCCTTCACGGCCCCACCCTGGCCTTCTTGAGTGCAGGGTTTGGCCAACTGCTGCCAAACCTGGATAGCCCATCCCTGTCCTGTGCCTTTCTGGCTGGGGCAGATCCATTGGCCCCTCTGGATGTCTAGTGCAGTGCCATGGGGGAGGGGGTATCTCACTCCTGTTGCCTTTTGTCTTGGGCCTGTGGGGAGTGGGCCAGGGTTGTGGCCATACTGTCCCCACCCAAGGATTACCACCTGGCTCTCAGTGTTCATCCTCCTGGAGCCTGGGGTAGCTGGGGAGAGGGAAGGGCAAAGGCTATCCCGTTGTTCCGTCCGTTCTCTCATGCTGGGGGTGTCAGCTCGTGGAGGAGCATCTGTAGAAGATGTGGAAAACTGGACCTAGTAGGTGGAGTTAGGGGAGAGATCTGGTCATGGCTAGGTCAGAATTTGGGGTTCTGGAGGGTGAGGGGCAGTGGGGAAGGGTGCAGAGTCTAGTCATGCCAGAGGTCTGGGACACAGAGCTGGAGCCCTGGCCTACAGTCTCACTTTCCTCTGGAGAGGGCTGCAGGTATGAGCTGAGCTGCTAAGGACTTGGGCTTGCAGGAGAGAGCCTTTGGCTGTGACTGGTATGGGCAGATACTCTATGATTGAGGAAGAAGTACCCAGGGTACTGGGCCTGGTCTAAAGCAGTGGGTAGCTGGGCCTGGTCTAAAGCAGTGGGTAGCACTTCCAGGCAACAAGCCTGGTGGCAGCTGGGCTTGGATAGGTACCCACCATGTCTGTCTCCTCCGCCTTCCACAGTCAAGGGCCAAGGCTTGTGTTCAATCGAGTGAATGGCCGGCGGCCCCTCGCCACATCCCCATCCCTCGAGGGGACCCAGGAGACCTACACACTGGCCCACGAAGAGAACGTCCGCTTTGTGTCCGAAGGTAGTGAGGGGCCAGATGGTGCAGGCTGCTAGGTCCCAGTAAGGTGGACTGGGATGGTTGCAAGTCCTGTTCTCCATTGCAGCCTGACTCCCCAGCTCTCTGTCCATTTGTCCTATGGCCAATAAGCAGGCTGTTTACTCCCAGTGTTGGGCTGGAGTCCAGGGTGGCCACCAGGCCCTCGGGTGGGAAGGGTGCCAAGGGCCTGGCTCAGCCTGACCACCATTCCCCTACAGCCTGGCAGCAGGTGGAGCAACAGTTGGATGGTGGCCCAGCCGGTGAGAGTGGGCCAAAGCCTGTGCAGTATGTGGAGAGGACCCCTGATCCCCGGCTGCAGAGTGAGCCCCCAACCCCAATTCTCTCAGGAACTTCCCCCAGATCCTGTACCTCCAGAATCTTCTCCTACATTCTTATCTTTCCTCTACCCCTCTGCCCCTGAACTGGGTGGGCCCTGCCAGGTTTCAGTCCTAGGGAGATGGGGAGGAGACTTGTGAGCCAACCACCTTCTTCCCAGTGCCTGTTATGCTTGCAGTGTGGGTGAGGGGCTTGTGGTCGGCTTGAGGATAGAAATTCCAACCAGTCTGGAAGGTGGCATCACTGCCCAGCCTTTTGCTTCTTTGCCCACAGATTTTGTGCCCATCGACCTGGATGAGTGGTGGGCACAGCAGTTCCTGGCTAGAATTACCAACTGTTCATAGTGGCTGCCTGAGAATGAATGCTGCCATGGAGGACCGTTTGCCAGAAGAGGACTATGGTTCCCTATCCACGATGCGGCCTGGCTGGGTGCCAGCCATACCTGAAGTGCCAGCATTTGGACTTTTGCACCTGTTGTTCCCTTTGGGTCAGCTGTTCCAAGCTGCCAGGGGCCAGGGGCCAAACCTGTCTAACCTCAATCCTGTACCCAGGGACCAGTCCTGGGGTTGGCAGCCCCTGGGGCTGGCAGGGAAGAGCTCCAGGCTAATAAAGTTGAGAAACTGCCCTCTTGGAGTGCCCTTGCTTTGGAGGGTGTATGGGGTTGTATGGATCTTCATATCCAGTCACTAGCCTTAGGCTCCAGGACCTGCCGAGCTTCCTCTTGTAGCTGTATCCCCTCTGGTACTCTTGGGCCAGCAAGGGCTACAGCTCTGCCCACCTCTGTCCTTTGGCTTCTTATCTAGCTGTTCACCTGAGGGAGGTGTGAGACAGCTGGCTCATTTTTTTTGGCAGTCTATAGACTTCATCTGACTTCTTCCCCTTTCCTGTTGGCATCAGTGTGCCAAAGCCAGGCCTGGAGATGTTAAAGAACTGGCTCTGGACAGATATTTTAGCCCCCAGGACAGGGAGCTGGTATTAAAATGCCAGTTCCTCTTTTTTATTGTACCAAGAATCATGATTGTATCAGGGCCTCATGATTGCCAGGCAGGTGCTGTGCTGCTGACCTACATCCCCAGCATCAGCCCCTTTGTTAAAGCCAGCAGACCTGGGTACTAGATGCTGGACGGAGATGTCCCACAGGTCTTGGGGTATGTGGTAAACCTGCAGGCATACCTGTGCGAGCTTTGGTTGCTGGGGAGACTGACCTAAGCAGGCCTCTGTGGAAGACTGACACTACTTGGTATGAGAAGCAGTGTTACGGCAAAAATTCGGGCTGTATTCTGCAAGAGACCAAAGGGAACAGACAAAGTTTTAATTTAGACCGGTCACCTCTCATCCTGACTTGCAAGTCCGGGAAGTGGGTGTGGACCTGTCTTTCCTCCCAGGTTATATACATTTTTGGTTTCCATGGTAACAGAAAGGAATGTTATAGCCCTGGCCACATGTTGTTTTCCTTGTGCCATGTAACCAGGTCAGGCTCCACTCATGAGCCCAACCACAATGATATGTACTTTCTGTACTCTGTTTTATATGTCCCCATTTAGATAACCATACATTTCCTTTATGGTTACAATGTTTACCTAGGGCCAGGAGAGGGAACTGCCCAGGCAGGGTCACGGAGGGTCACCTAGGCCTAGGCGCCCCCTTATCTTGGGGAGACATTCCTGGGCAGTTTTGATCTGGAGAATTAGCTCTTACGCTGTCCTGGGAGGCTTCCCAAGTCACCATGTAGGCTTTCACCAAAACTATTTTATCTAAAATAATATGCTGAGATTCATTGCCCCCTACAGCACGGGTGACCCAGGGCTCCCATAGGGTGAGGTCCAGCAGGGGCTAGTGTGGTTGCAGACAGGCCTCAGCCCTCAGTCCTCTCTCTCTTCCCTAGCAAGTGCAGTCCTACACAGATAACCCCAGAGAGGGTCAGAGACAGCCCTACTGTCTCACAACTGATCAAACTACAGCTAAATCTAGATCTTGGGCATGGCCCCAGGAAGCCATAGTGGAGGGAGAGTTTCTGGAAGGGCTGCGCAGTCACGTGACTCACGGGCGCCGCCATGACAGCGGAAGTGGTGCGCCGTTGCCTGGCGTCCGTTGCTAAGCGACGCGCTGCGTGCCCTGCGTGCGGCGGGCTGCGCCACAGGCGGGAAGCGCGAGCTGAGGAGCCATGGCCAAAGGTAGTAGCGCGCGCGCGGTGGGCTGGCCGAGGTCTGGGATATCAGGGGTCTCGAGGACCCCTGGGGCAGCGGCCGCAGCGTGCAGGGCCTCCTTCCCAGATCATAAGTCAGAGTCCCGATAGGGTTCGCCTGCTTGGCCGCTGGCCCTCAGAAGCCCGTGTGCCCTGGCCACGGTCACGCTAGCAAAGGGAGAGGGTTTTGGTGCCTTGCCAGTGCCCAGGGCGAGGCCTTCAGCCGCAGTGCCTCTCCCGCAGTGTGGCAGCACCCGTTCCTCAACGTCTTCAGATACTTCAGGGTGGACGAGTGGAAGCGGTCCAGCAAGGAGGGCGATGTGGCTGTGGTGATGGTACTGGGTACTTCCTCCTGGGGAATCCTCCGGATGGGCACTGTGCTGGGTGCTCCCTGGTCCACTGTGGCCTGTACTGTGCTCTCTCTCCAGGACAAGACCCTGAAGAGCTCCGTATATCGCATCCGGGGCTCTGTCTCTGCCAGTAACTACCTCCAGCTTCCCAGAAACAGCACCCACTCCTTGGGGCTAACCGGGCGGTACCTATATGTACTCTTCCGGCCTCTGCCCACCAAGCATTTTGTCATCCACTTGGATGTGGCCACCCAGGTGCAGTGCTTGGGAAGGGTCTGTGCACCGTACCCATAAGCTTGCCATCCCTTCCTCACAGCCTGGGTCTGCCCCTGCAGGACAGCCAAGTCATCCGAGTGTCTTTCTCCAGTCTCTTCAAGGAGTTCAAGTCCTCAACCACGTGGCTTCAATTCCCCTTTGTCTTTGAGACTAGGACACCCAGGAGAGGTGACACTGAGATGGGCCTTGTATGGTTGAGGAAGGCCACTGGTTACCCAGAGTGGGGTGGTACAGGCCCAGTTGGGCTTCTTTGGCCCAGTGGACAGGTGGGGGCAGGACTCAGCGTGGCAGCTGTGGAAGTGGGGCTGCAGGGAGGTGGGCACTGACCTAGCGACCTGTCCTGCAGACATGGCAGGAGTGGCCCCCCCAGGTGCCCGCTGGACCTTCCTGCAGCTTGACCTACATGATATCCTGTTGGTCTATCTGAGCCAGTGTTATGGCCACCTCAAGAGTGTCAGGTTGTGTGCCAACCTACTGGTCAAGAACCTCTACACCAGTGACTTGAGCTTTGACCCAGGTGAGGGCCATGCCCTATTCCAGTCTACATGTTCATCCCCTCTTGGCACCCCAGATTCTCTCTGCTTGGGTACTGTCCGAGTTCTGGCTTGATGTCATTGGAGGGTGGGGACCCCCAACTCTGGAGCAGAGGTTGGGTAGGGAGGTAGCTAAACTGATTTAGAGCAAGCCTGCTCTTTATAGCTGTGAGTGTCACTGATGCCCAGCGAACAAAGTTGCCCATCACTCCTGTTCCTCGAGAAATGGCCTTCCCAGTGCCAAAGGGGGAGAGCTGGCAAGACCACTACATTCACATCCGGTGAGTGGCTCTGCTATTCCCAAGGGAGTCACTAAGGCGGCAGGAGGGCAGCTAGCTGCTTGGCCCCCAGATACTGACTCTGCCTCTACCCATCAAGGTTTCCAAGTGACAGCCCACAGGCACCTTCTGAGCTGGTTCTGAAGAACAGCGCCCCTCCTGCTGCAGGTAGGCCTGTGGCGCCTTCAGGGTGCAAGGAACTCCATGGGAGTGGGGAGGCCTGGAAGGGACCTGGCATTTGTGGAGCCTGCATCTGGCATGTGCCCGAGGCACCCGTGGACAGGCACAGGCACCGTGGCTGGATAGTTGGTTGGTTGTCTATGCTCTCAGAACCACATGAGAGGTGTGTGAGAGGGACAAGCCTGGGCGGCAGGTTGAGCAGTTGCTGTGGTGTGGCTTCTGCAGGCAGCAAGATGGGCATCTGCTTTTCCTGCCCCTGCAGCACCGTTATGTGTATCTCTGCTCTGCTCACCCAGTCACAGGGGTCTTTGCTTTATTACAGTCTTCTTGGAACCTGTGCCACAGCTTCCCTCTCCCCTAGTGGCTCTCAGCAAGCCCATGCAATACAGGATGTTTCCTGTGGTCCAGATGTCCAGCTCCACAACTGTGAGTGCCCCCAATAGGACTGGGCAATGGCAACAGTAGGGTACTGATGGGCATTTGTTTCCCTGCAGTCTTGCCCAGCCCACTGTGCACCCAGGGTCCTTCCGGAGGTCAGCCTGTCCTGCATACATTTGGAAGGGTCCCGCCTAGGTGGCCTAAGTGTCTGTAACCAAGATTCTTCAGCTTGGGTGGAGGCCTCTGATGCACACACTGTGGTCAGTGGCAGCCACATGCTCACCCACAAGTCCCCTGGCGTGCATATGGCCCTCAAGGATGCTGGTTCCCATAAGGTAAGTCGCCATTCTAGAGCAGGAAGGGCATGGATAAGGTAGGATAAAGGGCTACCCAGTTTGGCCCACCCCAAGATGCCTTCAGAACAGACAGACCCCTAATTATCTCTTCTCATGCAAGCTCCTGGTGGAAATCAGAGCTTATAGAAGGCAGCTTTGAGCAAGAACCCCTCCTGACAGAGTGAAGAAGGGCTTGTTTCCCCAACCCTAACGGATACACTAGCCTGATGTGGTTTTTTAGGAGCAGGACATGGGGTTCCGAGAGGGTCTGGCATTCCAGTTGGGAACTCAGCTTCCCATGAGAGAACCTCTGATAAGAATGATCCTACCCTGGAAAGCACTTACCACTAGCTACAGCTCCACGTCTAGGTAGAACTTAGCCCTGGAGTAGGCAGAGGCAGCCCCTGGAGGCTGTGCTCTTCTAGGATCTCACTATGTATTTGCCTCTTTTAGCACTTCCTCCCGGACCCAGTCCTCAGGCTCAAGGGGATCATTGGCTTTGGGGGCCACAGCACCAAATGGGTGAGGGTCCTATGGCTGTTTGCACGGTGGTTCTCACTGGGCAGTATGAGCGTTGAGTACTTGGAGGGAGACAGATACTCAGCTACCTTGGTGTCAGGATCCCTTTACACACTGCAGACTCTGCTGGCTTGCCTCTGGTCCTTAGACCCCTGCCCTGCCCATGTCTGCCCAAGGTGATGGCAGGCCCAAGTTCATAGGTGTCCCCTGCTCCTTTGGAGTAGCTCGATAGGCAATAGCGGGCTCAAGTGTTCCAAAGACCTAAGAGTTTGGGCTCACTTCTTTAGAGGTATCACGTGGGTGGTTCCCTTTGATCCAGACCAGCTCTGTGGGATATGGACATAGCGTGGGGTTTCCTGATGAGTGAAGTTGGCCTTCTGAGAAAAAAATCCCCATTGGAGGAGGCAGCATTTCCCTCCTGCCCCTCAGTGACCCTAGGCCTTCACTGGGCCTTACTGGACACAGGCTCTAAATCTTTGGGGAGCCCTTTGGTCTCTTGCTAATTAGACCAAATGTCTGGGATTGGAGGCAAGGTCTGGCAGATATGCATGTGTGTCAGCTATCCCCGTGGAGCTGTGTCCAATCAACTCTTGTAACCTGTGACATAGGAAAGATGTGTGTACATGTGTGCTGGGCTTTCACTCCCAACCCCCAGCTAAGTAGGAGATGAAGCTGCCCTCTTGGGGTCCTTCTGGTGACCTTGGATCCGGCCCTTATGTGCCAGGCCCTGTGGACCAAGGATGGGGCAGCCGTGGTTTACCCCTGCCACGCAATCATCATTGTGTTGCATGTCTCCACTGGGGAGCAGCGTTTTTTCCTCGGCCACACGGACAAGGTGAGTGCCATCAGGGCCTGGGTCGGGGGGCAGCTGTAGGTCACACACCCTTCTCTACATTGTGCTTCCTCAGGTGTCTGCTTTGGCGCTGGACCGGGACAGCTTGCTATTGGCCTCGGCCCAAGTGCAGCCCCCCAGTGTGGTACGCCTTTGGGACTTCCCGACAGGGCGGTGCTTGTCCCTCTTCCGGAGCCCGATGTATGCTGTCTGCTCACTTAGGTGGGCATGGGGCTTCACCTGGGGCTGGGAGGGGTGGGGTAGGGGGCAGGCACTGCTGACCTCCTTGTCCCATCCATAGCTTCTCCAGCAGTGGGGCTCTTCTCTGTGGTGTCGGCAAGGACTACCAGGGGAGGACGGTAATGATCTTGTTCTGGGGAGGGGCACCAGCTGTGGCCAGTCTTTGTTTTCTAAAGTCTGTCTTGTTTTATTTCTGCTTATTAAAAAAACATGCTTTCTTTGTTAAAGAAAATAAAAAATAGCCAAACACAGTGGTATGCCAGTAGTTGCAACACTTGGGAGGCTGAGACAGGAGGGTCTCTGGAGCCTAGGAATTCAAGGCCAGCCTGGTCAGCATAGCTAGAGCCCATCTCAAAAAAAGTCAAGGGAGTCAGGGATAGAGCTTAGTGGCACAGTGCCTGCCTGACAGGCGTGAGGTCCTGAGCTCAATTCCTGGTACCTACCAGAAAAAAAAAAGAAAAAAAGAAAAAGAAAATCCAACACCCAGCGTGGTGATGCATGCCTGTAATCGTAGCATTCGGAAGTTTGGGGCAGGAGGATTGCTGTGAGTTTGAGGTCAGCCTGGTACATAAATGCGTTCAAGACCAGCCTGAACTGCGGTGAGACCCTGTCTCAAAAAGACAAAGGAAAAAAAAAAAGGTCCAGTGACTTAGGAAACAGTGGGTCCCCTCCTCTGACTTCTTCGTGATAGGGCTTCCTGTGGCCCTGACAATGTGTGCCCTGGGCTTTGGCACTCTGGGGAACTTGTGCCTGCTTCGTGAAAAGATGCCATGGGGTTCAGTGTTTATCCCTGGCACAACTGGTGTCACTTTAAGTCAATAAACAACTCACCTATCCTCTCTTGTTTTGTGTTGTACCTTGAGATGGGCTGTATGTATATTGTTGGGGAATCAAACCCAGGGTCTCTCCATTGAGCCACATCCCCAGTCCCCAGTCTTTTTTTTTTAAAACTTTGAGGCAGGGTTTCACTAAGTCACTAAGCTGTCTAGGTTGAACTTGATCTTGTGATCCTCCTGTCACAACCTCCCAGAGTACTGAGACTAGGGTATGTGCCACCACACCCAGCTAAGATAAGTGTTCTTATAAGTCACATCTCTGAAGCCAACCTGGTGTGAGAGTCAGAGGCTCCTCCCAAATGCTGAAGTGTCCCAGCATTTCATGTTGCTGATGCCTCTTGGTTTTTCTCCGGTACCGGGAACCGAACTCACGACCTTGCGCTTGCCAGGCAGGCGCTTTTGCCACTGAGCTAAATCCCCAGCCCCCGCCTCTTGGTTTATTATCCACTCTTCTATTTGTGGGTCGGGTTTTACTTTTTGTTTTTTCCTGTGAGGTTGCAGTGCCTAGCCAGGCTCATCTCTGAGGAGGTCCCAGAATTAGCTACATCTCAGGGCCGGTGTGCTGCACAGCTGGGTCTCTCATCCTCAGCAACCCACCTGCTCAGGGGCTGAGTTCTGCATGAGAGAAAAACCACTGCCTAGTGGGGTTCACCTGGGCTTCCCTGAATCAAGGGAGGGCAGGAGGAGGGCTTGGCAGCCAGCATCTGTGGCCAGAGCTCAACCTGGGTTTGTTGCAGGTGGTTGTGGCATGGGGCACTGACCAGGTGAGCCTTGGTGGCGAGGTGGTAGCTCTTGCGAAGGTGCACGCTGACTTTGATGTCCAGACCTTTCGGATTTCCCTTTTGGATGAGACCAGGTGATGGGGCTGACCCATGGTACTGAAACAAGGTCTGGGCCTCGAGCCCCTCTGCTCCCCAGTGTACTCATTCCTCTGTACCTTCTGCAGGATGGCATCATGTGGGCGGGGCAGTATACGGCTGTGGCGAATGCGTGGTGGGACACTGCGCTCCTGCCCCGTGGATTTGGGGGAGCACTGTGGACTGGAGTTCAGTGACCTTGCTTTTGCACAGGCCCCGGATAGCCACCAGGTGCCCTCCATCCACACTCTGTGAGCCCCTGCCCTTCCCTACTGCCTGTTGCCCAACCCACCCTGTGCCCCCAGAACCTCGCCTTACCTTTCACCCCCTTGTGCAGCTATGTGTGCAGCCGCAGTGGCCACATCCTGGAGGTTGACCCCCAGCACATGGCTGTGCGGTGCATCCACCGCTTGCTGCCCACAGGGGTCCCAAGTGACTCTCTCCCCAGAAAACAGTCCTTCAGTGCAGGTAGGGGGAGTTCCTATTGTAAGGGTGGTTGGCTTCACCCTGAGGCACTGATCTCCAGACTTCCTAGGCCCTGGCATCGCCATCAACAGCCTCAGTGTCTCTCTGACTGCGTGTGCTGTGGGCTCTGAGGACGGCTACCTGCGACTCTGGCCTCTGGACTTCTCCTCAGTGCTCCTGGAGGCAGGTGAGGCCATGAGCATATACCCTCCCACAGGGACAGGCCACTGGAGGCAGGCATCACAGGAGGGCACAGGGTGGCAGTTGCTGGGCAAGGCATTAACAAGGGCCTGGGTTAGGTTTAGGAGAGGCCTTCTTAAGGGAGCTGCTTCTCCTAGCCTGTAGGTAGCCTGGTGCCCTTGGCAGGAAGGTGATGGGTTGCCTATGTCTCGGAGGGCCCAGAGCCCCAGAATGTAGAGTCTGGGGTCAGCTATGGTACCCAGTGGGCCCAGGAGGTTGCTGACATTGCTTTTCCCCAGAACATGAAGGCCCCATCAGCTCAGTTTGCATTAGTCCCGATGGTCTCCGTGTGCTCTCCACCACCTCATCAAGCAACCTAGGCTTCTTGGACATCCCATCCCGAGAGTATACTGTGCTGGCACGCTCCCATATGGCCCCAGTGCTGGCATTGTCCACGGAGCAGAGCCGGGGGCAGCTGGCCACTGTATCCCTTGATCACACCGTCCGCATCTGGGACCTGGCTACCCTGCACCAGGTTAGAGGTGGCAGAGGGCAGGCAGGGCAGAGAGAGGCTGGGCACCTGGGGGGCCCTTGGCCCTCCCAGACCCACTGCGGCTTCTGCCATCTACCCTGTGTTTTCTAGCTATATGACTTTACATCCTGTGATGAAGCTCCCTGTGCTGTCACCTTCCACCCCACATGGCCAGCTGTTTTCTGTGGCTTCAAGAGTGGAACCATCCGTGCCTTCAGTCTGGAGAGTGCTGGGGTCTTAGTGGAACACACGTGTGTGCCCAGCACAAAGGCCTATGGTGGAAGCGGGTGGTTTGTGGGATCCCTGGGTGGGAAACACCTGCTGCTAAGCCAGTGCTGCCTACAACCCTGCATGTGTGGCTCAGTGGGCTAAGATCAGTGGGTATCCTTGTGTGTTGCAGGTGTCACCGAGGAGCCATCATCGGCCTGCTGGGTACCCCTGATGGCAACTTCCTGTTCAGCTCCTGCTCTCAGGGCTCCCTGGTTCAATACAGCTGTGCCAACTCTCAGTGCCATGTCCTCCGTGTAGCAGGTCAGCCCTCTGCAGCCACTCAGGCTGGTCGCCGGGTTCTAGCTAGCCAGTGCCCAGACACATAAGTCACACATGAGGCTGTCTCCCTAGCCTTATATCCAGACCCCTAGTGAGGGTTTTGTTTTAGGGTTCACCAGTACCCCTCAGCCAAAGATCAGCGAGGATTTGCCTACCTCACTCCAGGAAAAGGTGGGCAGCCTGAGCACCAGGTGGGAGTTAGGTCTGGCCAGAGGGCATCTACCTCTTCCTGTGGATGCTGTGATATGGGCCTACCAAGTAGTCACTTGGTCATCCCTCCTGGCCCCCTCAAGCACTCCCAACTTTCCTTATAGTGCCTGGTATTTCCTGGTATCTTGGGTCTCATACCTAAGCCTTGTGGCCTCCATGGAAAAGTGCCCTCCCCTGTTGATGTTTCCCACATGTAGGGGCAGTGTAGGGCAGCCCTTCCTCAGCCTACCCATATGTAGTACAGCACTAACTTCCTTCTTGCTAACCTGGTTCCCTGTGCTACCACAGCCAACACTGTGTGCCAGGATGCTCAGCCGCACCCCAACACCCTAGCAGTCAGCAGGGATAGCCGCCTACTGGCCTTTGTGGGCCCCTCCAAGTGCACAGTTACAGTCGTGGACTCAGCCTCTCTAGATGAGGTGAGTTCGTGGGATAGCCTGGGTCCAGGAATTCTTTCCTTGGCTGGGTATGGAGTGTGAGGAGGTCCAGGGAGCAGGTAGGCAGCTATGGCAGGCTCAGGTGCCATCCCACCTCATTTGTGGATGCAGAGAGCTCATTAGCCAAGTGGGGGCAGAAATGGCCTTGCTCTCCTTGGTGGAAGCACCCTCCTATACACTGAAGTTGGTACTCATCTGCCCAGGTGCCCCCTTCCCTGGCTCTAGGTGGTGCCAGCCATGCCTAGAGCTTGCAGCCAGAGGTCATTTTTCCTCCCAGCTGCTGCGGGTCAACGTCAGCACCCTGGACAGCCCAGATTCAGCTGTGGCCATCTGTTTTGGCCCCACATCTCTGGGCCACCTACTTGTGTCCACGTCATCCAACAAAGTTATGGTACTGAATGCTATGTCAGGACGCACTATCCAGGAGGTGAGCCTTAGGACTGTGGGCCACTGAAATGGCCTTCCTTCCCTCTGATCTTGTAGCTCCTCCACCTAAGGGGGCTGTGGCTACACTGTGAGGAGGGGAGGCCTCCAGGCTGCCTACTGCCCACTACAGGGCATTTTCCAAGAATGCTTTGTTGCAGCTGTCTAGTGCCCGCCCTGTGGCTTGCGCCTCCCTCGCTCTCAACAAGGATGCCTCTTTCTTGCTGGCGGCCTCTGGCCAGGCCATTGAGGTCTGGGAATACTCAACACAGTCTGACCCCAGCTGCCAGGTGTGTCTCATGGGCAGGGAGGCAGCTCTGGAGTTTGATCCTTCCTCAGGGGGCTGTGGGCATAGCAATGCTTGTGGGACAGAGGGCAGAGTTAGACCTCTGCACTGTCTGTGTCTGCCAAGGGCTAATTCCACATGGGGCTTCTTAGTCCTCATCCCATCAGGGTCCTGGGTGCACACAGCAGCATACCGTGTAACAGTCACTGCCCCTAGGTGTACATCGGTCACTCAGAGCCCGTGCAGGCTGTGGCCTTCACCCCTGACCAGCAGCAGGTCCTCAGTGTGGGGGATGCCATCTTCCTCTGGGATGTCCTGGCCACCCCTGAGAGGCAAGTATCTGCCCTTGACTGTGTCCACCTGGGTCTCCTGTTGGCCCCCCTGATATCCTTCTTATTGCTTCTAGTAACCGAAGCATTCCCAGGGCCTCCCCAGCCCATGAGGCCGGTGAGTGGTCTGGGTGTGGCTGGAAGGGGAGGGTATGGAGACACAGCAGATCCAGTAGTGCTGCCAGGTGGAGGGGGCACCACTTCCTTTCCCATGTCTCAGATACCCATGACCACTGTAGAGGCTGGCCGCCCCAAAAGACTCTGCCATCCCCACCCTGAGCTCCACATAGCTCCTTCTGTCTCTATAGGACAGCTGGAGGATACGGTGTCTGGGGCCAGGGGGCTTCCCCAGCAGCAGGTGTCCATGCCATGCCGGGTGTCCACAGCCCAGCTAGATAGCCACTTCAGGCCCCCTGAAGGCAATGATGGTAAGGGGCAGGATCCTGTGGGGAGGTCCTGGGAGGGTCTGAATGCCTGTGTACACTGCTTCTGGGGTGTGGGATACAGGGGGCCAGGCAGCATGGTCTTCCTCTTCTTGCTACCCCAGGCACATCAGAAGAAGAAGGATGCTATGAGGACAGCCACAGTCCCACGGGGCTCCACAAGTCCCCAGACCCACTTGTGTTTGTAGAGAAGGAGCCCAGTGGAGCTGGAGACATGGCCCGGGGGGCTGCCAGTGGCTCCTGGCAGCATCAAGACCAGCCCAGTAAGCAGGGAAGGACTTTGTGTGGGGCAGGATCTCTGGAGGGTGAAAAGCAGTTTTGAGTCCTGTGACTTTTCTTTTCCCAGGTACCTGGAGCACCAGGAAAATAAAAGCCCAGACTCCTACCCGACCAGATTCCTACAAGCACTTCACTGCTCGCTATAAGGCCTTCATGCTGGCCAAGGTTGGCTACACCCCACTCTGTGGGCAAAGTTTTTGTTTTGTTTTGTTCTGGTTTTTTGTTTGTTTGTTTTTGTTTTTTTGAGACAGGTCTCATTATGTGGTTCAGGCTGTCCTTGAATTCACTATATATCCCTGGCTGGCCTTGAACTCACTGTGATCCTCCTGCCTCAGTGCTGGGATGATATGTGTGTGCCACCATGCCCAGTGGGCAAGGAGGTTTTGTAGAGCCCTCTTCCCCAGTGAAAATGAGCCCTCTTAGGGTTCCTTCCCCAAGATCTTGGGCGTGCTACTGGTCCTTGGAGGCTTGCTCTCAGAGGGCACTTCTTCCTCCATTCTGCACGCACACTTCCTCCATCTTGTGGCATCCAGACTGGACTTGGGGCACCCTGCTGACCCCACCTCTACCTCTCACCGACTGCTGCCCTTTCTCATCTCAGGCTTCAGGTGCATCAAGCTCTGCAGCCCCCCACTGCACCTCCAGCTCAGACCTCTGCTGTCCTGGGTGTGCCCTGAAGCAACTGTCATGGGTGGGATTTGGGCCCTAGGCAGCTGTGCTGGGCACAGCATTCTGGGTCTCCTTTCTTACAGAACATCTGCCCTCCCACTGGTGGTGAGCAGCTGCGCCTGAAGGCTGTGGTGGGTTACAGCGGGAATGGGCGGGCCAACATGGTCTGGAGGCCTGACACAGGTAGGTTAAGGAGTCCCTACTAGAAGAATATAGGGCAGGGCCAAGCTGCCTGTCCCAAGCTAGGCTTTCATGGGTAAATAAGGTCTAGTAGTCAGGAGGAGGGCCCCAAGGTGAGTGGGGAAAGACACTGACACAGTGTTCCTCATAATGTCTTTGGCATTCCAGCCCACATCCCCAGGACCTGTGTGGCTTTAGCAGGGATAGGGAGGACATACGCCAGGAATGTTGGCGCCTTCTCTGTCCACAGGCTTCTTCGCATATACATGTGGCCGCCTAGTGGTGGTAGAAGACCTGCATTCTGGAGCCCAGCAGCACTGGCTTGGCCACCCTGAGGAGATTTCCACACTGGCCCTCAGCCACAATGCCCAGGTACCTGCCCTAACCAACTCTTGGCCACACCCAGGGCTAGGGTACACAACAGAGCCTGGTTCTCACCATGGACAGTGAAAGGGGCATGGTTCCAGCTTCCCCTTTACCCAGACCGATGGCTTCCCCATGACTGCTCACTCACCTCCCACCCACCAGGTCCTGGCCTCTGCATCTTGCTGTGGCAGAGCTGCTGCCCTCTGCCAGATCCGCCTCTGGGATGTGCCTGGGGGCCTCTGCCAGCAGCTCATCTCCCATCATGACAGCGCAGTGCAGGCCCTGGCCTTCTCTCCAGACGACACATTCCTTGTGACACTGGGTCAGTGGGCAGGGGTTGGCAGAAGGAGGAGCTTCCTGGACCTCTGGACCCCTGTTGCCTGATAGGGCCACCCATGCATCCCTAGGGGACTACCGTGATCGCACCCTTGCCCTGTGGAGCATGGCTACCTATGAACTTCTATCATCTAGCCGCCTTCTGGAGCCAATGCACGGCGTGGCCTTCAACCCCTGGGATGCAGATGAACTCACCTGTGTGGGCCCAGGCGCTGTCACCTTCTGGCTCCTGCAGCAGCGTGGGGCAGACATTAGCCTCCAGGTGCCAGGATGTTGGCTGGGTATTCAGGTCCACAAGTGATTTGGGGGCTGGGGGCTGGCAGGGCTCCTGGGATGTTGCTGACCGACAGCCACTCTTCTGCCCTACCAGGTGCACCGAGAGCCAGTCCCTGAGGAAATGGGGCTGGCTGAGCTGACCTCACTCTGCTATGGGGCTGCCCCCCTGCTCTACTGTGGCTCTAGCTCTGGCCAGGTCTGCGTCTGGGACACAGGTGCTGGCCGCTGCTTCCTAGTCTGGGAGGCAGATGACGGCGAAATTGGTGGGTCCCAGATGTGGCCCCTGGCCCCTCATAGGTGCAGGGCTTAGGACCTCTCCCTGGGACCTGTGGGCCTGGGATAGGAGGCTGTCTGGGAAATCATACCCACCCTGCCTCTACCCCATCTCCCAGGGTTGTTGGTGTGCTCAGGGTCCAGGCTGGTGAGTGGCAGCAATACAAGGCGGCTGCGTCTGTGGGCCGTGGGGGCTGTGCCTGAGCTGTGGCACAAGGGCTCAGGTGCCAGGTAAGTCACCAGGGGCCTGCTTGGCTGCATCCCCAGGATGTGAGCTACAAGAGAGCTCTGGTATGCTCAATGGGTCCCTCATGCTACCACCTCTGCCACACAGTGCCGTGCTCAGGCCAGGGCTGCCCTTCAAATCTGTCACCAGCTAGTCCCCTCCTTGGGGACACACTTGGGCCTGGCCTGAGTCCCACAGGCTGCAGCCTGAAAACAAAGACATGCTCAAAGCTCCCAGGCACTCGCCGCCATGGGGGCTGTCACTGTTTCTGCTCATGAGAGATAGCCAGGCCCCAGACATGATGGCCATCATTGCCCTGTTACCTGGCTCTTGTCTCCTGTCTCAAGACGTGCTACTTTATCCCCCCACAGGTCCAGTTCTGTGTTCATGGAGCGCGAGCTGACCCTAGATGGGGCTGTGGTGAGTGCCAGCTTCGACAGTGGCATGGACATGGGAGTGGTGGGCACCACAGCTGGCACACTCTGGTATATCAGCTGGGCTGAGGGCACCAGTACCCGCCTCATCAGTGGCCACAGGAGCAAGGTGAGGCCTTAGGCTGGGAGAGAGGATGCTAGAGGGGTTCCACCCTGGATGAACAGGGGAGACTGGCAAGCATGTTTGCTTTCCTGCCCTCTTTGTTGATTCCAGTCCACAGCTCAGGAGTGACCATCAGGGAGTCCCAGAGTGGGCTCTTGAGCACACTCGTCACATAGGTCCAGCTGGCATCTGTGCAAGGCAGTGTCTGACAGTCTCTGTAAGGTCTCTGAGGATTGAACTCAGGACTTTCACACTAAGCTACACCCCCACCCCCACCCATTTTGTTTGAGACAGTGTCTCGCTTAGTCTATAAATTACCTAGGCTGAGCTCAAACCTGCAGTCCTCCACCATCAGCCTCCCAGAGTCCTGGTATGACAGGGCATGTGCCACCACACCTGACTAACCTCTCTTTCTTTTGTTGTACTTGTTGAATACACCCTGTCCTTTGTCCTGGCACCTCCCATGGATTGAGGTCTGGAAGACAGGAGGCCAGGCAGGTTCTGGCAAGCCTGGTGAGATCTGGTCAGGTTCTAGTCTGTTCTTACTGAGTTTAGTCAGGTTCTGGTTGTGTCTGGTCATGTCTAGTCAGGTTCTGGTCAAGATCTGGTCATGTCTGTCAGGTTCTGGTTTAGTTCTGGTCGGGTCTGGTCAGATTCTGGTCAAGTCTGATCATGTCAGGTTCTAATTAAGTGTGAGTCAGGGTCTGGTCAGATCTGAGTCAGGTTCTAGTCAGGTGTGGTCAGGAATGGTCAAACCTGGTCAGGTTCTGGTCAGATCTATTTGGGTCTGGTCAGGTTCTGGTGAGGTCTGTTTGGATCTGGTCAGTTGTATTTGAATTTGGTTGGGGTTCTGGTCATATTTGGTCAGGTTCTTGTTCTATTCATTTCTCAGGTTCTGATCAGGGTTTGGTTGGGTCTGGTTAGATCCGTTCAGGTCTAGTCAAGGTCAGTCAGTCCTGTAGCCACTTTAGAAGCAGCACACTGTCCCTGGTGGGAAGCATGGAGGCTCCCGGCAGGGGGACAACACCACCATGCATGTTGCAAGCAGGGTTCTGGTTCTTTTCCATCTCTGCTGAGTAGCTGCAGACTTCAGGCGAGAAAATGGCCTCGGAAGCTATATTTCCCAAGGCAGAGCTGGAACCGTAGCAGCAGGGTCACCATCCAGTTCTTGGTTGGCTAGGTTCCTGAGCATCGAGTTGGCTCCTGGGGAGAGCCGGTGTGCCAGTGTGCCAGTGTGCTTCATCACCGGGCGCCTTTAACACGTACCTCAGAATGTGTCTGGGTCGCACTTCACTGTGCCATATTGAATTTTTCTATTCATGGAGTCCTGCCTTCAGTCAGCATGAGACTCAAAGAATAGGATTTGTTTTGTTTTATCTTTTCTCTTCCTTTCTCCTTCCTTCCTTCTTTCTCTCTCTCTCTCTCTCTGCTGATACTGAACCCAAGACATTTACACCGAGCTACATCTTCAGCCCTTTATATTTTTATTTACTTTTTAATTGGGGTTGTTTGCTTTTGAGATAGGGTCTTGCTGTATAGTTCAGACTAAGCTTGAACTCACTATTAACCCAGTTGGTCTTGAACTTGGGGTGATCCTCCTGCCTCAGACTCCTGAGTGCTGGGATTACAGGTGTGCACTACCACACTTGAGGGTTTTTTTTAGATATAGTCTCACTAAATCGCCCAGGCTGGGCTTGAAGTTATGATCTTCCTGCTTCAGTCTTCTAGTGTTGGGATTACAAGCACTGGCTACTGCACCTGCTTCTTACTCCTTTTTAAAAAAGCTCTTTATTTAAAGATAAGGGCTGGGATGTAGCTCAGTGATATAGCATTTGCCTTCATGAAGTCCTAGGTTTGATACCAGCACTACAAAAAAAAGGGAATTGTGTGTGTGTGTATGTGTGTGTGTGGTCAAACCCAGGGCCTTGTGCATGCACTACTACTACCACTGAGCTACATCCCCAGCCCTTCAGGAATTATTTATTTGAAGATAAGAGTAGCTGTTAAAGAAATCTGAGTTTAAGATGGAGATGAGTAAGGGTTACTTTTCTGTGTGGTAACAGATTTACTAGTTGGGCGTGGTGGCACACGCCTGTGATCCCAGCACTTGGAAGGCTGAGGCAGGAGGATCTCTGCGAGTTTGAGGTCAGCCTGGGCTACAAAGTAAGTTTAAGGCTAGCTTAAACTGCATAGTGAGATCTCATCTCAAAAAGACAAAAATAAAAACAAAACAAAACAGATTTACTGAGTCATAGTTATAAACTATGATGCTAATCCATTTAAAATGAGCAGTTTTTAGTGTCTTCAACAGAGTTATGTACCATCAGCTCAGTTAATTTCAGAGCCTTCTTTATCACCTCAAAAGGAAACCCCTACTTATCAAGTAACCCCTCCCCATTCCCGATTCCATCACTCTTGGCAACCGCTCATCAGCTTTCTGTCTTCATGGATGTCCTCCTTTGGGCAGTCCACACAAATAGGTGCTATACTGTGCAATCTCTGCGTCTTTTTCCTGTACTGGACATCATGTCTTCCAGGTTCATCAGGCAGCAGCATGTTCTTCCTGTTTTTCTTTTTTTTTTTGGTACTGGGAATCAAACTCACAGCCTTTTTACGGAGCCTCAATGGCACATCATGGCACATGTACCTCCTTTCTCTAAAAATCCCTGATTCTCAGTGATACCATGTGATGTCTTCCTTCCTTCCTTGACATACATTCAACCTCAGGGAAATACCGTGAGGCTGCCAGTGTTATAACTACTGAACTCAGCTGGGGGTGCCTTTGTGTTTTTCCCTCCAGTCTGCTAAAGACTCATGGTTACTTACTGTGTTTCAAATTCTGCCACATAGCCCTTCCACAGAGGCCCATGTCCCACTGGCTGGTGAGTCACACCAGTTCTGGTGAAGGGTCTGTTTCTTTACACCACCTGGAGGTGGCTGGGCCAGACAGGCTTGGGTAAGAGAAACGCTCTGTGTGGACAGGCTGGCCTTGGCGCCTGAGGTAGGAAAGGCCCCTCTGGGGGGTCTTCTCAGCCCAGTGGGGTCCCCACAGGTGAATGAAGTAGTCTTCAGCCCTGGCGAGTCATACTGTGCCACCTGCGGTGAGGATGGAAGTGTGAGGGTGTGGTCCTTAGCCAGCATGGAGCTGGTGATCCAGTTCCAGGTGCTTAACCAGGTATGTGGAAGTAGGCAGGGGCTCCCTCTGGCCCCCCTTCCTGGACCACTGCTGAGGTTTCCACACCACGGGTCCCTAGAGCTGCCTCTGCCTTGCATGGAGCCCCCCATCCTGTGGACACCCAGAGCAGCAGCAGGTGGTGGCAGGCTACAGTGATGGCACACTGCGTATCTTTAGCATCTCCTGTACCACAATGGAACTCAAGATGCACCCCCACCGGACAGCACTGACAGCCATTGCCTTCTCCACCGACGGTGAGGAGCTGGGGCTATGCAGGGTGACCACATCAGACCTCCAAGCTGGGGACTGGCCTCACAGGGTGTTGGCATGGTCCCTGTCTGGCCCAGGTCAGACCATCCTCTCTGGAGACAAGGATGGGCTTGTGGCAGTGAGCCGTCCCAGTACAGGAATGACCTTCCGTGTGCTGAGTGACCACCAGGGTGCCCCAATCTCTACCATCCAGAGCACACGCAAAGAGGTAAAGCATCCGCAAGAGCTGGTAGGGAAGGGTCTGGGGTAAGGTCAGGCAAGATGGTGGGCACTTTGGGGCAGGAGGTGCCCATAACCCTCAACCCCCAGTATGGAGACCTAGGAGTAGAAGGTGAAGACCTGTGGCTGGCTGTTAGTGAGGACCAGCGGGTCAGCGTCTGGGTCTCCAACTGGCCACGGAACCACTGCAAACTCCTGGACTGGTTGAGCTTCCCAGCACCTGCTGCTTTGGAGGTAAGTGTTCAGTGGTACATGGATGGTGACTATACCTGCCCACCCCACCACAGCATGCTGTACTCCTCTGCAGACCTCAGGCCTCCCGCCACCCTCCCTTGCCACCTTTTGCCCTTGGGACCTAGCGCTGCTGGTATGTGTAGGCCTTGGCACACGTGAAGAGGTGGTCTTCTACAGCCTTCGCCAGAAGCAGGTGTGTGTACCCACCTACTTGGTGCTAGCAGCCCTAGCGTCCAGGGCTCTGGAGCCCAGGGTCAGGGGCTGTGAGAGGCTGAATTGTACAGCAAGCAGGAACTACCACTGCCCTGGCCTGGAGGCCCCAAGCCTCATCCTGGCTGTCCACAGGTGGTAGAGAAGATACTGCTGCCCTTCTTTGCCATGTCTCTGAGCCTGTCCCCAGGGGCCCACCTCATGGCTGTTGGCTTTTCTGGTAAGTGCTGGTAGATGCAGACTCAGGCCTGCCTTAGGTGGAACCTGAGCCAGCTTAGTTGCACCCCCTGAGACACACACCTCACCGCTCTGCCCCAGGCTCCTTGTTCACAAGGGGGCGTGAGAAGATGCCTGCCGCAAAGAGTGCTTAGTCTCAGGAGACAAGGTGGGGGAGCATGCGGCACAGCACAGGCTAAGGTCTGAGTGGGAAGGTAGTAACAACAGAGAGGACTTGGCTGGTCCAGTCACAGGGCCACAGGAGCCCAAGTGTGAGACTGCAGTAGGCCCCTAGCAGCACTGGTTGCCTGTGCCAACGCTGTGCCCAGCCATGGACAGAGAGGGAAGGAGTAGGAAACCCTGCCATGTACTGCCTGACCCTCCCACCTCTACCTTTTGCCCACAGAGTGCACAGTGAGCCTGGTGGACTGCACATCAAGGACCACCCAAGAGTTTGCTGGCCATGATGATGTGGTGCACCTGTGCAGGTTCACCCCATCAGGCAGGCTGCTCTTCACAGTGGCCCACAGTGAGGTCCTGGTTTGGGAGGTCCTGAGTCCCTCAGCTGCAGTGGACCTGCCTTCCCAGGTGTCCCGAAAGGCTGCTGTGCCCTGGAACAGAGAAGCCAGTGTGGATGGTGGACCAAGATGACTGGGACAGGACCTGACTCTAAATCATTAGGCCTAAGCTTTCTTGAATTCTGGTGACCCAAAAGGACTTAAGGGACTTGGGGGTGTAACTCTGGTAGAGCATGTGCTCAGCACAGAAAAAAAAATTAGAATACCTGTTGGCTTTTCACCTAAGGGTTTTTTACTTAATGTTTCTACCTTGTATGGTTTAAATATAAACAGGCATTTATTGTATTTTGCTACAATATTATTATGGCCCTGTCATTGCATTTCTACTGGTCACTCCTGTCATCCCCTGCCTGACCCCAAGTCTTCTGCCCCAAGTCCACAACCACGCCCCTTTCTGCCCATCTGCAGCGGGTAGGAGATATAGGTCGCCGCAGGGGGCCGGCGCAGCCAACAAGGTTGGGCGCGCTCCTGCGGTGGCGCTGTTGCATCCCTCTCAATCACTAGTGCGGCTGCGCGGATGGAACCGGAAACATAGGCGAGGCTGGGGGCCGGAAGTGCAGGCCCCGGGGAGAGCGTGGGGCGGGGAGAGCGTGGGGCGGGGAACTCGCGGGTCCGGTAGGGCGGGGCTCAGGGGTCGGGGTTTGAGGGTCAGGACCCAGACGGGCGGGAGCAGGCGCAGCCATGAGGCGGGACGTGCGTATTCTGCTGCTGGGTGAGGGTAGGTTCCTGGCCGCAGGCGGGTCGTGGGGTGGGTGGACACGGGAATGCCCTAATTTAGGCTTCCTGCGTCATCGCCCCGCCCCACCCGCGCAGCCCAGGTGGGAAAGACGTCGCTGATCCTGTCACTGGTGGGCGAGGAGTTCCCTGAGGAGGTGCGTGGGCGCCGAGGGCAAGGTACGGGGCTGGATCTCAGTGAGAGGGCTAAGGGTTAGGACCCAGTCACCTCTTTACCTCTTGCAGGTCCCGGCCCGTGCAGAGGAGATCACCATCCCCGCAGATGTCACCCCAGAGAAGGTGCCCACCCACATCGTGGATTACTCAGGTAGCACCCGCACTAACCATGGGCTGCCTGCCCTGTCCTCCCTGTAGAGGGAGGGTCTGCAGCAGTCTGTCTTTCCCCTTAGAATCCGAGCAGACGGATGAGGAGCTCCAGGACGAGATCCACAAGGTGCGACATATTCCAAGCATGGCTCAGTGCTCTCGGCCACATCCACCTCGGCCTAATCAGCTTCACCTACCTGGGAAGCTGGATTAAGGTGCCGGGCTATCCATAGCCTGATAAATCTTCTGTGAACTCTGAACACCCAAGAGTCGTTGTGGCTTTCAGGACACACCCTTGCGCAGCCAGGGCCAGTCGAATCCCTTCAGTAGTGCTCAGGGACAGAAGAGACCTCAGGTCTGTGAGGAACAGTCCCGTGTCCTTCACAGCATCCCCTTAAGCCTCTGTCCTTTGGTCCTGGCTCTGTTCTGGTTCACTGCCCTGGACCTCCAAGCTGTGGTGAGCGTTGCACTTAACTGGGGCTCACATGGTAATAGCAGATGTATATGCCATCAGCCCCTTGCAGCATCTGCTAAGACCTGCACATGTTGTCTTAGTCGAGGGTGTAGACACCATGGGCTGGGTGGGCAGCCTCATCTCATCTGTTTTCCATCCCTTTGGCTGCTTGTTGTGAAGTGAAAACAAGAGATGGAGGCCATGGATGGGTCCCATTTTACCTACATCTTACTCTAGATGGTATCTGGCTTGATCACTCTGGAGCTGTTGACCAGACCCATGGTGCTGGGGCCTAGTGTCTGCACTGGGACTACAGGGCTTTGGAAGTGGTGTCCTCTGAGGCTTCCAGTCCCCAGTGTGACACAGCTGGGGAGCACTTACCCTATAGGCACCTGGCTGGGGCAGGTTCCAGGAAGAGTGGGCTTCCTGGGCCTTGGAGCCACACCTGAGACTTGCTGGAGCTTTGGGATGTGTGGTGTAGCTTCTGGTCACCGTGTGCCTCACTGCTCCCCCTGCAGGCAAATGTGGTGTGTGTGGTATATGACGTGTCTGAGGAGGCTACCATCGAGAAGGTGAGCAAGAGGCGGCTTCCCATCTGTCCCATGTGCCTGTTGTTGGCACCTGGGTCAGTCAGCAGCCTGTCTTCCCTGTAGAGCCACATGGCGTATAGTGGATCTTTGTGGTCCAAGTAGACCCTTACCCACTCTTGTGGTCAGTCACATGTCTGTTGTCTCAGGGGTCCCCATACTTCTCAGTTGAGGTCCATTTCCTGGGACCCCATCTCCCTGGAGAGAGCCTAGAATGATCAGTCTGAACTGTTTAGGCCAGCAGCCCCTTGCCTATCCTGGCACTAGAATGCCATGGGGAATGGGCAGGGATTTGCTTGAGGGCCTAGGACCCTGGCCTATGTGTGGAGGGGTGGTTTGCAGCTGCTCAGACCAGCTAAGGTCCTATGTGCCATCTCCCTTTCTTCCACCAGCTTCATTCCAGTGACTGTAGCTTTGATCGCCACTTGGCTTCAGCCTCTTTTCTCCTTGACCTTGGTGCACGCTCCAGGCAGGCACCGTGGGCTGGGTAGGCAGCCTCGTTTCATTTGCTTTTCAGATTCGAACCAAATGGATCCCGCTGGTGAATGGCAGAACTGGAAGCGGGCCCAGGTAACAAGCAGGGCCTGGGGGGCGGGGTGGCAGAGCCCCCACCCCTGATGACCATGAGCATCTCCCCAGGGTGCCCATCATTCTGGTGGGCAACAAGTCAGACCTGCGACCAGGGAGCAGCATGGAGGCTGTGCTGCCCATCATGAGCCAGTTTCCTGAGATAGAGACCTGTGTGGAGGTGAGCAGGCATGTGGGGAAGGCATGGAAAGGAGGAAGGGGCTGGGGTGAGGACAGGAATGTGGAGACACTGCAGCAGGTGCCTGTGAGGGGCAAGCCTGACCCCTATGCCTCTGTTTCCTGTGGATGCCTCTCGGGTTCTCTCCTGTCCTGTACTCTCCCAGTGTTCGGCCAAGCACCTGAGGAACATCTCAGAGTTGTTCTACTATGCCCAGAAGGCTGTTCTGCACCCTACAGCTCCCCTCTATGATCCTGAGACAAAGCAGGTAAGCAGGAGGTGAGAGCCCCACACTCTGCCCTGGAGCTCTTGTGGGTATTGGGTGGAGAGAGTAAGCAGGGTGGCTGTGGCAGGGTGGACCAGGCAAAGGCCACCTGCAGCACTTAGCTGCTGTCCCTGCAGCTGACACCCAAGTGTGCCCAGGCCCTCACACGCATCTTCAAGCTCTCGGATCAGGACCTGGACAACTCACTCAGTGATGAGGAGCTCAATGCTTTCCAGGTGTGCACCCTGCCCCATGGTACCCACCCCCAGGCCTCAGTCAATCTCAGTGATGTGACCTGGCAAGCAAGGGTCAGCTAGCTGATCTGAAGCAATTTCTTCTTGGAGGCAGAAGTCCTGCTTCGGCCACCCTCTGGCCCCACAGGCCTTGGAGGATGTGAAGAGGGTGGTCTGCAAGAATGTGCCAGGTGGCGTGCAGGATGACCGGCTGACCCTGGATGGTAAGACAGATATCCCCCCCAGGCCCTGGCATAGGGAATGGGCTGTGCTGTGCTGGGTGCTACCTTCTCTCTCCCACAGGCTTTCTTTTCTTGAACACACTATTCATCCAGCGCGGCCGGCATGAGACCACGTGGGCTATCCTACGGCGCTTTGGCTACAGCGACATGCTGGAGCTGACCACTGACTACCTCTTCCCACCGTGAGTACTTGGTGGGATGTGAGGTCCATCCTTTAGGGGCAGAGAACCTCTTGGCAGCCAGGCATGTGCCCCACTCTACTGGCTTCCTGGCCCAGGTCTGCCTCAAACCCCTTGGTGTGTACAGAGTACCAATTGAAGGGTTCTGGGCCCATGTCAGGGCCCTGATACAGCATGGTCCTGTGACTTAGGGACTCAGCCAGCACCCTCCTTACCTGCTCCCAGCTCTGTGGGATATAGGGCTGCAGGAGCCCTGGGAGGCCTGACTGCACCGATGGGGTAAGCAGGAGGTGTGCCAGCACAAATCACAGGGTTCCCTGGGAACCAGATGGGTGTGTTGTCCCCCGCAGGCTCCACGTGCCCCCTGGCTGTAGCACTGAGCTTAACCACCATGGCTACCAGTTCGTGCAGCAAGTGTTTGAGAAGCATGACCAGGTGAGCCCCATCGCCCTTGCCAGCCCCAGCCACCTGCTCAGCACACGTCACCTCCACCCTCTGCTCCCAGGACTGTGATGGTGCCCTGTCGCTGGAGGAGCTGCAGAACCTCTTCAGCGTGTTCCCAGTGGCTCCTTGGGGCCCTGAGCTTCCGCACACTGTTCGCACTGACTCAGGCCGGCTGCCCCTGCATGGGTACCTCTGCCAGTGGACGTAAGTGCAGTCCTCGATACCCATCCACACCTGCCCGCCGTGCCTTCCTCACTGTGACACTGTGCCTCCCGCCTGCCCTCAGCCTGGTGACCTACTTGGATGTCCAGCACTGCCTCGAACACCTTGGCTACCTGGGCTACCCCACCCTGTGTGAACAAGAGTCACAGGCTCAGGCTATCACAGGTGGGCAACCACCCACTGGGTCTTGGGCTCAGCTCTCCTTGCAGCTCCCCTCACCTGAGTTCACCCTCGCAGTCACCCGTGAGAAGAGGCTGGACCAGGAGAAGGGTCAAACACAGCGGAATGTCCTCATGTGCAAGGTGGTGGGGGCCCAAGGAGTGGGCAAGTCTTCCTTCCTGCAGGCCTTCCTTGGCCACAGCCTGGGGGTGAGTTATCTGTGGAGACCCCCCGCCACCAGGGACTCTGGGGCAGGAGAGTACACTTGGAATATTAGGGTCAGTGAACATCAAGATCTCCCTCCTACCCCTCAGCACCAGGACACCAGGCCATTCCCCCAGGGCTCTCCTGTCTACGCCATTGACACAGTACAGGTCAACGGGCAAGAGAAATACCTGATTGTGAGTGCCGGCCACACACTCTGACCCTGAGGGTAGGCTGGGACGCCCTCATACCCATGCCCTCACCTTGTGGAGCTCTCTCAGGGCAGCCCTGGGAGACCCAGGCCTTGGGAATACCTCCTGAGGTTACCATTTATCCCAGCTGTGTGAAGTGGGTACAGACAGTCTGCGGGCCACCTCACCTGATGCTGCCTGTGATGTTGCCTGCCTGATGTTCGATGGCAGTGACCCCACGTCCTTTCTGTACTGTGCCAGCGTCTACAAGGCAAGGCAGGGGCTGGGGGCCTGTTGGAGAGCACAGCTGTGGGTGGGGTAAACGGTGAGCTCAGCCTTCACATGGCCCATTCCCCACAGCACCACTACATGGACGGCCAGACACCCTGCCTCTTCGTCTCCTCCAAGGCTGACCTGCCCGAAGGTGTTGCCCCACCAGGCCTGTCACCAGCTGAGTTTTGCCGCCGACACCGGCTGCCCGCCCCAGCCTTGTTCTCCTGTCAAGGCCCAGCCCTGCTAAACACTGATATCTTCACCCGGCTGGCCACTATGGCTGCATTCCCGTGGGTGCCTGCATCACTGCTCAGGGGAGGGTGGCCTGTCCTATCCCAGGGCCATTGGTGTCTGCTAGTAGGGTGTGCCGGGGTCAGGCTGCAGGGTGGGGCTCTGTGGCCTGGTCTCTGCTGGCCACCTGAGACAAAGTGGAGGGGTGCAGCAGCCAGAATGTGGGCACAAACCCTGAGTACCCCTCTTCCCTGCAGACATCTGGCTCATTCAGAGCTGCACCACACCTCCTTCTGGCTCCGGGGGATGCTGATAGCTGTCGGAGCCGCTGTGGCAGCAGTTCTCAGCTTCTCACTCTACAGGGTCCTGGTGAAGAGCCGATGATGACCCTGGAAATCCTGGCACAGCCTGCCGTGGGGGCCCTGTAGGGTCAGCATGGCCCACGTGGTGTGGGTTTTCAGTCCCACACTGCAGGAACCCTGGGGTACTGGTGTAGGACCACTGCTTGAGGAGCATCTGTCTGTCTAAATCTTTGCTTCTGAAGACAGGCTACCCAAGGCTGGGCTATGTTCTGTCAGGCTGTGACCTGGTTCCTGCCTAGCCTGATGGTGGGGGCAGGTGTACTACCTGCATGGCCTCACCCTTGTGGGCACCTGTGGGTGGGAGGCTGGGGTCATGGGCAAGGAAGTAGGTAACCAGACCTGAGGTTCTCGGGTCTCCCTGCCTTCTCCTTGGTCTGTGTGGTCAGTGGGTACCCAGGGGCCAGAGGAGGTGGCCAGAACAGGAAGTGGCTAGACCAAGTGCGGTCCCCACTCAGATCCAGTTAAGAGCCTTGCCCGTGGCCACGCCCACAGCAGAAGACAGATTTCCAAATTAAACTTCTGTCTTTTCCACTTCATGGTTCTGAAGATAGCTTTTCCTGAATCAGTCTAAGATAGATGTTTTGGTATGGGCTGGAAATGTCACCTGACCCCCACATACCTCCTGTTCCACAGTTCCCATCCCAAGGCCAGTTCACAAATGGCCTTTGTGAAGTGCAGTCATGGGGCCTGGGATATAGCTCAGCACAGTACCTGCCTGGTAAACACAAGGTCCTGAATTAGATTCCCAGATCTGCTTCCCCAACCACGCCGCAAAAGAGAGTCCAGTCATGCCCAGCTGTGGTCCAAGAGCATCAGCATTCATCAATCTTGGGGTCTCAGGGTGACGGTCCCTTGTGTGGTGACAGTACCTTTTCTGAGAATATAACTTTCCCTGCCTAAGGTCTTCCTACCCAACTCCAGGACTGAATATACTCCCTCATGGTCTATTCCCTGTGCTCTACCCCTGGCTGGGCAGTTCTGAGATCCAGCTGTTGTCACCACCTGCCAGGGACAATAACTGTGGAACCCTGGCCTAAGGGGAAAGCATGGCCAAGATGGCCCCCAACACAGCTTTCCTTCAGTATCCCTGGACAAGTGCCCACACACTTGTACCAGCTAGATACCCTTATCCGTGACTGATTGTAAAGGTCTGGATTTGGGTTTGGGGTCATTTGGGGTCAGGACAGGGTGCTATTTATAGTCTGCTTCATCTCCTCCCAGAGGCCAGGAGTGATGATACTTTGTATCTGAGACAGCAGGCTGGGTCTAGGCAGGGGTTGCCATGGTTCTGTGCATCCCCTTGGTCTACCGACTCCCCGGTTGGAGAAGGGTCTGTCTACCCTTGTTAGCAGCAGCTCCTCCCCTTATCCTGCTGCATCCCTGCCTTCGGAGGGACTGCTCTGGCCCTGGGGCTGCAAAAGTGGCTGGGCGTATAGATTGGTCTTTGGCACTGCTCTTAACTGTGGGGACAGTTAAGAGCAGGGTCTTCCCCACCTTTGCCAGCTGACTTGGAGCTTGCACGCAGCCTCCAAGGCTCGGTGCTGGGTATAGGGATGGGTGTCTCTAAAAAGCATACTGGCACTTTCAGAGTGCTCTGGGCCCTGGAGAGTCTGGAGAGTCGGGCAGCAGGGTGGCCTGGGAAGGCGTCCGGAGGAGGTGAGGTTCGTGTCAAGCCTTGAGTCGGGCACGAAGGGTCTCGCAGCGGAAGTTTTAAGTGCAGCAACTTCGTGGGAGGAGCTTCTGCAGCGCGGAGCGCGAGAGCGGTACCCAGCACTGGGACAGTGCACTGAGTGCTCCTGTGGCTGCCTCGGGTGTGCGTGTGGGGCGCGTGCGCGCAGGGGCGCCGTGTGCGCGGGTGCGCGTCTCCGTGACGCGGCCCGAGAGTGGCGCGGGCTGAACAGAGCAGGCAGAGCGGGCCGGCCGGGGCGGAGCGGAGCCCTCCGCAGAGCAGCCCCTCCCGGCCTCGGCCGACCCCGGCCCCCGGCCCGGCTCTATGGACAGGAGTTCTCTGCTGCAGCTCATTCAGGAGCAGGTGCGTGGGGTAGGAGCAGCGCTGCTACCGGCTCCTTTCCGTCTCGGGGTCCGGGAGCCAGGGCGCGTGGGGGGCGGCTGCGCCTTAGCCCCTTCTCAACACGCCCTCGGGCCCTGTGCCTAGACCAGAAAACTGCTGGCCGGCCTTGGAGGAAAACAGGGTGGGAGGGTGGGCGTTCTCTGAGGGGCCCGCTCTTCTCAGGACTGGCGGGTGGAGCATGAGGTAGGGTGGGGGATACCCTGGGGAGCTCAGGAGCGGCAGGCCTAGGACCTGTGACCAGCCAGGGTCCCAGGAACCAGCCTGCAGATCCGAGCCATCCCTCAGGCACTGGCCTGCGGCTCCTCCACCGCAGCAGCTGGACCCTGAGAACACAGGCTTCATTGGTGCGGACACCTTTGCTGGTCTGGTGCACAGCCATGAGCTGCCCCTGGACCCAGCCAAGCTGGACATGCTGGTGGCCCTGGCCCAGAGCAACGAGCGGGGCCAGATCTGCTACCAGGAGCTGGTGGACCTGGTCAGTGCCATGGTGGGCAGTAGGGGCGGGGCCCAGGCCTGGGCAGGCACAGCACTCTGGCCAAAGCAGGGTGGGCAGGTGGCCTCTCCCTAGGGAGGGTTTGTGGGTGTGGGCAGGCCCTCTGATCCACAAGGGCAAGGGTGCCATTTGGACGACACTATGGCCCACACTCAGGCCCCTGCCCCCTAGATCAGCAGCAAGCGCTCCAGTAGCTTCAAGAGGGCCATCGCTAATGGACAACGGGCACTGCCCCGAGATGGGCTGCTGGACGAGCCAGGGCTAGGTGTCTACAAGCGATTTGTGCGCTATGTGGCCTATGAGATCCTGCCCTGTGAGGTGGACCGCCGCTGGTACTTCTACAGGCACCGCAGCTGCCCGCCCCCCGTGTTCATGGCCTCGGTCACTCTCGCCCAGGTGGGCTGCCCACCCGCCACCCCGGGAGCCTTGAGAATCCCTGGCCCTGACCAACTATACTCTGTCTGCAGATTGTTGTGTTTCTCTGTTATGGGGCCCGCCTCAACAAATGGGTGCTGCAAACCTACCACCCTGAGTACATGAAGAGCCCCCTTGTGTACCATCCTGGGCACCGTGCCCGAGCGTGGCGCTTCCTCACGTACATGTTCATGCACGTTGGGTGAGTGGGGAGCCAGCTGGCGAGCACTTTCAGCACCCTGTCCCTTCAGTAAAGAAGGCTCAGAGCCAGGGGGACAGGAAGCATGACATAGGTTGAGGGCAGGCCACACAGCTGACCCTATCCCTCCTGCTTATTTGTCCCCACGTGGCCAGGCTGGAGCAGCTGGGGTTCAATGCTCTCCTGCAGCTGATGATCGGGGTGCCCCTGGAGATGGTGCATGGCTTACTCCGCATCAGCCTGCTCTACCTGGCAGGCGTGCTGGCAGGTGAGGCGGGCATGGCCCCCCTGCTGACCTCGCTGGCTGGCTGCGCCCTCACCCTTGCCTCTGCTCATGCAGGCTCCCTGACTGTCTCCATCACCGACATGCGTGCCCCTGTAGTGGGGGGCTCTGGCGGGGTCTATGCCCTGTGCTCAGCACATTTGGCCAACGTTGTCATGGTAACTGGGACGCCTGGGAGGGGTGTGGGAAGGGGGCCACCTGGCCTGCCTCACGGCCTCTCTGTCTGCATGCCCCCTTCAGAACTGGGCCGGGATGAGGTGTCCCTACAAGCTTCTGAGGATGGTGCTGGCCCTGGTGTGCAGTGAGTAGGGGGCTGGGTGGGGGCTGGGGGCCCTCAGCCTGCAGACTGGGCACCTCCCACCTGTTGCTCCTTCTGCAGTGAGCTCCGAGGTGGGCCGGGCTGTGTGGCTGCGCTTCTCCCCACCACTGCCTGCCTCAGGCCCACAGCCCAGCTTCATGGCGCACCTGGCAGGTGCAGTGGTGGGGGTGAGCATGGGCCTCACCATCCTGCGCAGCTATGAGGAACGCCTGCAGGACCAGTGTGGCTGGTGGGTGGTGCTGCTCGCCTATGGCACCTTCCTGCTCTTCGCTATCTTCTGGAATGTCTTCGCCTATGACCTGCTGGGTGCCCACATCCCCCCACCACCCTGACCTGCAGCCCAGGGCCAGAGGGGCATGTAGTGTCCAGCCACCAGGCAGGTCTGCACATCTGCCCTCTGTGAGTGGACATCTCAGGGCTGCTTCACCCCGCGGGGACAGGTGGGCCCTGTAGTCCACCAGCTGAGGCTAAGCCTCACTTCATCCCTGGGTTCCCCCTCCCAGGCTGTGGGGGGAGGTTCCCAAAGCTGGTCCCAGAGGAGACCTAATCCCACCCACTCCACCTCCAGGACTTGCAGTCTGAGCCTTTTTGGAGAATGAATAAATATTTTACACTGTACTAGGTACTTATCCTGGGGCTCTGGAGGTTTGTCTACTCCCACCCTGCTAACAGACCGCAAGGGATGCTCCTACCATGAGGATGGCCTGGGCTTCCATACCCCTTGCCCCTCTGTACCTGGAAGGAGATGCTAGAGTTATTCCACACTGCTGGAATAACTGGAAGGCCAGGGGCCCCATATTTGTAGGACCTAGAGCACCAGGGGAGGGACTGGGCTCCTGGTCACGTTGAGTTTAGCAAGCTTTTATTGAGCTCTGGGGACACTAAGCCTCTTATTCAGCCAGCCTGCAGTCCAGAAACCTGTATCCTGATGTCTCATGGCAGATGAGCAGCCAGGCTTTAGGCCACAGCCAAGTTCATTTGGTCTGAGTCCTGTGCTTTTTGGCTTGCCTTGCATCCTTATGAGCAACCATGCTAGTGCCAAGGTCAGGCACATGTCCAGGCACAGCTACAGCAACATGGCCCAACTCCACAAGGCTGTTTCCACAATGTGAGGGGTCCACGGTCCTGATGCACTCTGGCTGGGGGAGGGCCTCAGGGAGTCGGGCCCAAAGTCACCAACCACCCACTCCACCCTGACTGGGATCTTGAATGTACTCCCAGCCCACCAGTAGTCCATTCAGGTTGGCTTAGGGCTGTGACACGCTCTTGCACCTGGCCCAGGTACAGTAGGTACTGCCTCATTGGACTTGAAGGCTGTCATCTTCCAAGCTCCAGCCTTCACAACAGCTATAGACAGTGAAGGGGCAGCTCTTGTGACAACATCCTGGAGCGCCTGCCCAGGACCCTGTGACACACCATCTGCCCATCTCAAAGGCAAAGACGACAGAGCCTAAGTTGCAGTCAGGCACAATGGAGGCAGTGGCCCGGCCCATGCCTAGGAGGACACAACTTTGTGACTGCAGCTCACATATCTGGCAGGAGGATGGCGGTGGCTGAGCATGACACCACCAGCTCGGGAGGCGGGGTGTATACAGGGTTGCTGGACCTGAACCTCCCAGAGAAGCTTGCCCATCAAAACCCAGCCCCTTCACGAGACCGCGCCCCCAATAAAGCCCCGCCCGCCGGTCCAGCCTAGAAAGAAGTCCCATCTCTCTCTGGCCCCTCCCCTCCCAATTAGTTTCCCTGCCTCCAGTCGCTGCAAATCCTCTCGAGTCGCTTCTCCGCTCATCACCAAATGACCGTGGACAGCTCCTCCCGATACCTGAGGAAAGACAGTGAGGGGAGTCCGGGTCGCGGACTCCTGCCTGGTTATCGGCCTTATCTTCGCCGCCCTACCAGCGGTCCACGGCGTACAGTCGCCCAAGTACCGCCGCGAACGCCCGCAGAATCTCTCGGTGGCGTGTCAGGACGGTGGCCCAGCGAACCAGGTCCTTGCAGCCCCCCAGCACGCGGGCAGCTGCTAAATCCACGCGGCGTGGAGTCCCGGAGTCCCTTAGGGCAGGGCCTGACTCGGGGGGCGGGGGCCAGTGAGTGCCTGGAGTTGCGGTGCTCCACCCTTGGGCTTTCTGGGAGCACGGCCCCGCCCGGGATCACGTGATCTCCCGCCTGCCCCGCCTCGCGCCGGAAGTTCCGGTGGCGGAGTGCCGGACCGGGCCGAGCGGGTCGCTCCGCGGGCTGCGGGCGCAAGGCGGCCGGTTACGGACCCTGGGAACAGATCCCGGGCCGTGCCGCGCGGGGCCATGAAGGGCAAAGAGGAGAAGGAGGGTAGCGCGCGGATGGGTGCTGGCGGCGGCAGCCCAGAGAAGAGCCCGAGCGCGCAGGAGCTCAAGGAACAGGGCAACCGGCTCTTCGTGGGCCGCAAGTACCCGGAGGCGGCGGCCTGCTATGGCCGCGCCATCGTGAGTGCGGGGGGTGGGGACGGGTCCGGGATTCCCTTCAGCCCTGCCCCTGGAAGCTCGCAGCGACCTTGTTTCGCGGGCGCGGCTCTGTAGTCTGTGCTAGAACGCCTGGGAACTAGCAGGTGGGATGAGCGGATGAAACGCTTGGGGCTGGCTGGGCTGGAGGCCGGATACCTCTGCCTCTTGAGGACCCTAGGTCCAAAGCTGAGAACCCTACAGGTTTTAGGAACTTCTCCTTACACAATCAATTGGAGTTGAGGGTGGGCCGAACTAGCATTCCAGCGCTGACAACTGAGAAACTTACAGTTTTTCATTCCAGCTGTGAGCCCCCAACCTGGAACAGAATCTGGGGCATCTGGGTGTGAGAGGAAGTGGCGGAGCCCACACCTTCACACTACTGGCCTTGGTCTCCAGACCCGGAATCCCCTGGTGGCAGTATACTACACCAACCGAGCTCTGTGCTACCTGAAGATGCAGCAGCCTGAGCAAGCACTGGCTGATTGTCGGCGGGCCTTGGAACTGGACGGACAGTCTGTGAAGGCACACTTCTTCCTGGGGCAGTGCCAGCTGGAGATGGAGAATTACGACGAGGCCATTGCCAATCTGCAGCGAGGTGAACTGACAAGTTGGTCACGCGGCACTTGGGGCCAGGAGTGTGGACCAGCCCATGTGACCTGACCTGACCACTCTTATTTTCCCAGCCTATAGCCTGGCCAAAGAGCAGCGGCTTAACTTTGGGGATGACATCCCTAGCGCTCTGCGAATTGCCAAGAAGAAGCGCTGGAACAGCATTGAAGAGCGGCGCATCCACCAGGAGAGTGAGCTGCACTCTTACCTCACCCGGCTCATCACTGCTGAGCGTGAGAGGTGCGCCCCTCCCCCACCAGGCCACCCTCTCTCAGGTTAAGCTGAGTCACCAACACAAGTGTTTATTGAAAGGCTGACACGGGTGGACAGGAAGCAGACAGGGAAGAGGCTTGAGGTGGGGGTGGGCTCTGATCTCCTGGCCAGGTTCACCTCTGACCAGCTCCTGGTCAATCCTCAGGGAGCTGGAAGAGTGTCAGCGAAATCATGAGGGTGACGAGGATGATGGCCATATCCGAGCCCAGCAGGCCTGCATTGAGGCCAAGCACGTGAGGGTGCCCTAGGCCCACATGAGGGTCTGTGTGTGTGTGCGTGCATGTAACTGAGGGTGCCCTGGCCCACAGGTGAATCTGTCCCCCTGTGTGACATGGTAACAGTGCCCCCGGTTCATGTTGGTATGTCTCTTAAGCATGAAGAATATTCAAGTGGCCCACACACACAATACTCAATTCTTTGCAGGACAAATACATGGCGGACATGGATGAGCTCTTCTCTCAGGTAGATGAAAAGAGAAAGGTGAGCATCTTCTCTGAAGGCTGTAAGTAGCAAGTGCTGAAGCAGTGTTCCTTTCCTGGTCCCTTACTCTGTCCCTGTGTGCTATAGAAGCGAGATATCCCTGACTATCTATGTGGCAAGATCAGCTTCGAGCTGATGAGGGAACCCTGTATCACACCAAGTGGCATCACCTATGACCGCAAGGACATTGAGGAACATCTGCAGGTAAGGGCCTATGAGCCTCAGAACCAGGGCTGGAGGCACAGACTGGCACACGGAGCACTCTGACCCTGTTGTCACTGCAGCGTGTGGGGCACTTTGACCCTGTGACCCGAAGCCCCTTGACCCAGGAACAGCTTATTCCCAACCTGGCCATGAAGGAGGTCATCGATGCATTCATCTCTGAGAACGGCTGGGTGGAGGACTACTGAGGCCCACTGCTCCACCTTGCCTGATACCCTGGCTCAGGAGGGTCCTGAAGCAGAAGCCCCAGTTCCTGTATATAATTTGTGTTGATGTGCCTGCCCCAGATAGTTCTGCTGGTGGGCTCTGGACTGCTCCCACTCTCAGCATAGCCTTTGCCGGGCTGTGAGCCTCATCTTCTTTCTGGGCTGGAAAAGCAGATGGGGGTGGGTTGGGTTGAAGTTGCCACTCCTGCCACTGTTCCTGTAATAAAGTTTGTGACCAGTACATGGGGACATCCTGGTGTGTGCGTGCCTGCCAGCTGCTTGTTCTGGCTAGCCAAGGAAGGTGGAGATGAAGACAGTGGTGTCAAGATTGAGTGTGGCATGCCACCAGCGGTCAGGGAAATACAGCACCTGAGGAGGGGAAGGGAGGGGAGGGGAGGGGAGCGGAGCAGAGTTTAGTTGGGAACCTTTTGGCCTGTTTGGGCTCCCTCCTACCAGCTACTGACCTCACCAGCCTGAATGGTACACTCCAGGGGCTTTTCAGATGGTGCCAGGGATGGGTAAATATCCCGAAGCCAGGTCAGTGTGGTCTTGTTGGGGTGGAACTCAGGTGTCTTCTCAGGTGGGTAGAGGAACCAATGCTAGGGGTAGGATTGTAAAGTCACTCATGTGTTGCAGTTATCATGCCCCAAGCCTCATCACCACCATGTGCTGACCTTACGGCCGTAGATCACTTCAGAGAACCCGGGCCCATGCCAGTGGAAGGGGACCCCAGAGCCAGCTCCTGTGGGGTCAGTGATGAGGTGGTGACTAGATTTAATCTATACTGGCCCCCTCATACCTCCTGTTCCTGAGGAGAACCCACCTGCGATTCCAAAGCTATAAGCAGGAGTGGTTCCCAGCAAATGAAACGGGGGTGGGGAGTAGTGCTGGAATAGTGATGCCCACTCCGTGAAGTTGTTGTCCCCAAAAAAGTACAGAGTGTCTGTCAAAAAACAATGCGCAGGGATCCTGACACTTGGGGACTCCCAGCTGCCCCACCCCCACTGCTGTCCAAGGCTGGCTCACCGTTGCCCAGAGAAGCAGGGTCTTGGGGATGTAGCAGCTGCTCCACATACTGGTGGAAGGGCAGGTCCACTGTGGGAAACGGCATGGTGAGGACCAACTGGTTCTGCCTTCAGGATGTTGGCAAGCAGGCAGGCCCCAAGGGGTGGGGCAGCTCACCTTTCTGGTAAGAGTAGGTGTTGGCAGTGCTCAGCCGAACCACGTGGTCCCCAAAGGTGGTCAACAGACTCTCTCTTGAGCACAGGGCCCGGAACTTCTGTGGGGGTCATGAGACCATTTAGTGGCTGGACAAGCAGGGTCAGCTGCTAGTGATGAGCATCAGCACTCACCGAGTTTTCCGTGAGTCCCTGAAGGATGACGGGCCTGAGGAAGGCGTAGCTGCGGGAAAGAAGGACAGAGTCAAGCTTAGGTCGCGCGCGCCCACCGCCCCTACGCACCCTGGAGATTGGGGGTTAGGGGAGGGGGCTAGGGCATCTGCCTTACGAAGCCGGCAAACCTCATTGGGCTTCGGGCGGAAGGGGTGGGACAAACGTACCGCTGCACGAACTCGGTGTAGTTGAGGTCGGATCGGCGCTCCACGGTGCAGCGCTCGTCCGCCAAGACCACGTCTGCCCCCGGCCCAGTCTGCCGCCTGCAGGCACACTAGGTCAGCACGGCTCGCTCTCAACCCCACCTCGTCCCGCGCTCCAGCCCGCCCTGCGCAGCTCACCATCCCCCGCCGTCCGCTGCCTCCAAGCTGGACCGAGCCAACACCAGTATCCACAGCGAGAGCAGCACAGGCGGCAGCACAGCCAGAGCCATGGTCTACCGCCGGCCGACACGTAGCACGCCGGGAACTCCCTCCCTGCACACTAGTGGCCAGTAGCTCTGTCGTTGGAGCAACGGGTCGGCCCCCGGAAGCGGCCTCCTTCAGCCCGCCCCCGGAAGAAGCTGTTCCGGAAAACTCGCGAAGACCACACCGAGACTGGCTATTGGCTACTGCTAGTTACTATGACGATACTGACCCGACCAGAAGCCCTTGCCCTCCATCCCGCGAAGCGATTGGTAACAGTCCGACAGCAACTCCTGCTTTTTATTGAGTTCATAAGTTCCAGCCTCCTACCATGGCAGCACAGAGGCAGACTCGAGGCTGTGTGTGTAGTCCCTGGGGGGGGGGGGGGCTTCCCCCGAGCCCCTGTGGAAGCCGCCTCAGGAGCCCGGCGGCAGATCAGGAGTACTCGCAGAGGTGGCCACAGCCCGCAGGGCAGTGGGAGCTGCCCTCCAACCACTTCATGATGTGTTGCAGGTGGCCGCCGTGACTGCAGCCCTGGCACCACACGAACAGACCCTTGACCACGTGGTGGCAGACAGCACACATGCTGGCACAGCGGTGGCACCTGGAGGCAAGAGGGCACCTCAGCTGGGGTTCTTGGGCTGCCTAAAGCTCCCAAGCTCCTACCCTCACAGACCCACCTGTCGCAGACCCAACCCCGGCTGCTCATGGGCCGCTTGCAGTGGCTGCAGTTGACATGCAGGGTGGTGGAGGCCTGGTTGAGGCAGCTGACAGCTTGGCTGGTACTCAGCTTGACCACTTCATTGGACACATTCCAGAGGCGGAACCGCTGCAGCAGGTCAATGTATGATGTGTACCAGTGCTCCTGAGGGGATGGAGCCAGGTTAGGACAGCCAGGCACACTCGGGGGAAGGACACTGGAAGAGGGCTGGGCTCACACAAGGAGGCAGTAACCTGGGTTTGTCCCAAACATGTACAGGAATGGTGCTGGGACAGCAGCTGTTCCAGGGAGGCCCGCCCCTGCTGCATCACACACACCTGGGTCTGTTCATCGATGTCCTTGCGCACCCGTTCACCTAGCACGATGAGCACAGATACGGCCATCTGCACATCACCCTGCTCGGCATAAAAGCGCAGCATGTCGCACACCAGCACACTGAAGAAGTCAGGCGGCAGGCGGCTGTCATACAGCGCATGTGAGATGGAGAGGAGGGAGAAGGAGGAGTCCACAGGCGCCAAGGAGGCTGCATCTGCCTCATTCCCACTCACATGTGGTGAGTCAGCCTTGTCCTGCAAGTGCTCGGGCCCAGACGGTGTGTCCACAATCTCGTGGCGTAATGGGAAGGCCTCCTGTGGCAGCACATACTCAGGCTCCTCGGCTGGGAGGCAGGAACCAATTGGGTAGGCCTGGGGCTCCACCCCCACCTACTCCCATCCTACCCCAGCCCCCACTCATAGGCACATGTTCTCTGCCCCCACCCCACCAGAGTCCTTACTCACGGTTCACATGTTCTGGGTCCAGTGGGTACAGCTCATCCTCCTCACCCTCCACATCACCAAGCAGGTAGTCAGTGGGCACATCGCTGCCCTCAGTTTCCTCATTATCTACTCAGCATGAGAGGGAGGCTGTTCAAGGAGTGGCTGGCTGTGTGGTGCTTAATCCCACTCCCCTCAGCATTCCTGCCTGCTCTCCAACCTACCCTCGTTAGTGATGAGTGTGGCAGAGGAGTCAAGAAGAACTGTGTCACTTCGTGTGTCCCCTTTGCTTCGATCCAGCCTTGTCTCACTGCCTAGCCCAGGAGCCATGTCCTTCAGGTTGAAACTGGAGGCAAGGAAGGCTCATGAGTGGTTGGGCTCTAGCAACCCTATCCTCTGGGGAGAGCCAACCCTAAGCATCTACCTGTTCATGAGGGGCAGGCCACAGGAGCTGCCCTTGCCCACGCTGTGGTTGAGGTTGGCAGAGGGCACCAGACCAGGGCTACAGTAGATGATTCGCAGCATGGTCCACGTCTGTGCCACCTAGGGGCAGGCACCAGTGACTTACAGGGCCCTGGACACCCAGAACCCCAAGTAGAGCCCCTCTGCCTAGACAGAATCACACACCAGCATTCAGCTGCCCTGGGGACCCAGTTTCTTGGCAAATGGGAAATATTAAAATCCCAGTCTCTATCCTACAGTAGCACAGGGAAAAGGGAATTGAGAGGCAGCAAGGGACCCAACGGGATCAAGAGAGGGCATGGAGGAGGGAGCTCTTGCCTTTCTGCAGGGTTACATGCTATGGGAGGTTGGCCATCAATAGTGAGACAGAGAAAAAAAAAAATGGAAGAGAGGCTTTGGCCATGTATGATCTTGACACCCTCACTTACTGGTGCAAGTGCTAGTGACAGGACTGACCAGAACCAAGTCCTCGGCTTGAGGAAGGTACAGCCATTAGATAGAGCAGCTGACCCCTCCTCCAAGGTCAATGCCTTTAGTCTTCCCTTGGCTTAACCCCACCTACCTGGTTTCGGCCCAGCTCTCGAGCCACCTTAGCATTGTGGTCACAGAGCTCAGCCAGTGGCCGGCCAGCCAGAGCATAACGCTCAGCTGTGTCTACAAACCAGCTCATACTCCCACCACCAGGCTCTATCTCAAAGACATTGAGGGCACTGGAGGCAAGGCCTGAAAAGGGTTCAGCAGGGTCCAGCTTGCGCTTGAAAAAAATGGGATGGCGCCGGTCACCAGTGTAAGGCTTGCGTCCTGATTCAGCAGCCACCAGGCTCTCCTTGGCAGCAAAGGCAAGGTCCCCAAAAAGGCCATAGCAGAGGCCCTCAGGGTTGGCACGCTCAACAGGCTGGCTGGCATCACGAAACAAATGCTGGCACAGTGTGCTGTCCTTGGAGCCAGAGAGCAGAAAGGAGGGGTCATGGGGATGGCGCCAGGCGATGCCTGTCGTGACATCACGGTGCTCCTCAAACATAGCAGCTGGCACGAAGGGCCGACGCACATCCCACACATAGATGTTGTGATCTACCATCATGGAGCATGTGGCTAGGTGGTGTCGACACTCAGGCCGCCACTTGACACGTGCCACTGAAGCGATGGTCTGCACGCAGTGCATCTCCTTGGCACGGTGTGTGGTCATGTCCCAGACTTTCACCATCTTGTCGCGTCCGCCTGTGGCCAGCCAGCCCCTGCAGGAAAGCCCCACCCAAACCCTCAGTGACCTCTCTGGAAGAGAGGACACCCCCCAACTCTGTGCTCCCCATGCTCCGCCTCACAGTCAAGTCAGTGAGACTTCTTGAAGCCCTGCTGCCCCCACATCCCCCACCACACCTGTCCTCGGGGTGCCAGTCACAGCAGAAGACAGGCCCATTGTGGGCTGTGAACATCCTCTCACATCGGTCAGGACGTCGGATGTCCCAGAGCTGCACGTTGCCATTCTCGAAGGTGGAGGCAAATGTGAAGTAGTCCCGAATACTGAACTGGACATCTCGCACACTCTCAGACTGGCCTGCAGGCAGGGTGTCATAGAAGATAGAGGTAAAGGAGACTGACCCACTGGGGTGGAAGGAGCCTTTGGAATTGCTACAGAATGATGTCACGCACCTGCCTATGGCTAGGCCAGGAGGCCCAGAGGGTAAAGTGTACAGTCCAAGGGTCTGCCCAGTGTGAGTGAGGCTTAGATGGGAGGACACACTGGGTGGTTTCTGCACAAGCTCCATAGCTTCAATTTTCCTTGAATTCTGCATCTTACAGTATTCCTTGGGTAAAGGTGTGCCCCAGTCTCAGGAGGCCATATATGAGCACTAGGAGAACAGGAGCCCTGCCTGGCTATCTTCCAAGTCCCCTGAGGGCCAGCATCTTGTGGAGGTTACTGAGGAGGGTACCGCAGACTCTCCCCAACCCTTTCATCTCCACATAGAGCTGCGTGATCAACCCCAAAAGACTAGGGGCTCAAGGGATCAGGTCCAGTCAAGAGCCTGAGAGGACAGTGTCTAGCCTTTTTCTGACACAGGCAGTTCAGAATCTTTTTTTTTCTTTTTCTTTCTTTTCTTTTTTTTCCCAGCAAGGGTCGCACAATCTCACAAGTTCAGGCTGCCTTTGAATTAACTTGTTGCCCACACAGGTCTTGTGGTGATCCATCTGCCTCAGCCTCCTGAGTGCTGGGATCACAGGTATGCAACGCCACACTGGACAAGATCTGTTTTAATAAGCCTCCAAGCTTGGTGTCGTGAGAGGCTGAGGCAGGAAGATTCCAAGCTTGGGGCCAGCCTGGGCTACATTGTGAGGTCCTGGCTAGTCTGGACTACATATGAAGAGCCTCCCTGTCTGCTTTTTAATTTTTTGTTTGTTTGTTTTTTTCTGGTACCAGGAATCGAACTCACGACCTCATGCTTGCCAGGCAGGTGCTGTGCCGCTGAGCTAAATCCTCAGCCCCTGAGCCTCCCTGTCTGAAGTAAAATAAAATATAAAAAGAAGAACAAGCAGCAGCAGCTGCCCATAAATTCTGTGAGGATCCAGGGCTCTGCTTTGTACTTCACCTGGTGTCATCAAGGTAGACAAAAGAGAGCTGGCTCAAGGCTAGACATCAGGAGCTGGGCCTGCTAGGAAAAGGGCTCTAGGAGAACTACACAGTGTACTCCACCTCCTCTGCATCCCTGGGCTGAGAACCCTGGGGTCCTGGCAGATTTCCTGTAAAAGGGGAGCCTGGCAAGGTGAGAGAAGGGGAAGTAACACACACAGCTGAACTAATCAGCCACCCAGCTGAGCTGTGAATCCACTTGATCTGCTCTCAATCATGTTATACCCAGCCTCAATTCTGGCTCATCCTACCACCCATCCTCAGTTCCCAGGTTTGCACTTCACCCAGGCTGGGGCCTCCACACCTCCTCTGCTGAGCTCCACCCAATCCAACGCACAGAGCATTTCTCAGCCTGCCTGGACAGGTCGAGTGCCTGCAAAGACACCTACTCCATCCTGCCTCTGTGGATCTCACCTGAGAAAGTGCTGACAGAATCCTTTCTGCGCAGGTCGAAGCACTTCATGAAGCCATCTTGGGAGCCACTGAGCAGCACATGGGCCTCGGTGGGGTGGAAGCAGACTTTGTTTACAGTGCGCTTGTGTTCTGTAAACAGCTGGTCCTGCTTGTTACGGGATGGCCGACCCAGGTTCCATGTGACCACCACACCATTGGTGGCTGCTGTGGCCAACAGATTCTCATCCATCTGGTGCCAGACCACGTCAGCACAGCTCAGGTTAAGTGAGGGCTTCCGGCCCACACGCAGATTGAGCTTCTCCACAAACTGCTCCTCCTCAATGGCAAAAATCTTGAAGATGCTGCGGCCTGCCACAACCACCTGGGCCGCATCACGGCACACGCTGATGGCATTTGCCGGTGCATCTAGATGGCAGTGCATGGTGCGGCCAGTCAGTGCATTGCCACTGAGGGCAGTGGTCACTCGGGACATCTTCTCCATGGCTGCACGGATAGTGGGGGCAGGTCAGTAAAGTGGGTTGGCCTGGGCAGCCTGGATGTCTGTCAGCTCAGACTTTGCATCACGTTGGATCTCCTGGCAATACTTGGACCTGGGCTGGTCAGTCTTTGTTACCAGTCCATCAGCCAGCCTCATAAATAAGTTAAAACTCACTAAAGTCCGCCAGAAGGTTCTGTAGCTGTCCTGAGACTGTCACTCCCATGTCTGACTTCCCCAAAAGACCCTACTCGTTAGTTTCCGCCCAAGCCACCCCTTCATCAGTCATATCCCGGAGTCCACCGGATCACGGTCAGGCAATTTCAGCGGGTGCGAGGTGGCTCCTGCGGTACACACGGTCGGGCCAGGGTCTCGGAGGGCAGGAGGGCTCCGGGGAGGATCAAAATGCGGTAGGGGTAAAGCAACCTAGGAAACTGAGATGTTTAAGGAGCTTGAAAGGAAGGAGAGGTAGGCGGCAGAGTACGAAGTTCCCGTGTCGCAAGGTTCGGTGTCGCCGAGCGGAGAAAGCTGTAGCACGCGAGCCAGAGGAGTGGAGAGCCTCCGCCTCCGCGCGCACTTCAATCATCTACGGAAAGCGGACCGCAGTTGAGAACGGCCTTGCCGGAAGCGACCCATCTCTTTTACGCCCCTCGCCGGAAGTGGTCCGTCTTTTACCAGCGCCCCTCCGGAAGCGGGGGCGGACTCTTAGCCGTACGATAAAAGTTCCGAATTCGGGCCGCTCGCTGGACCAGGATTGAGGTCTGGAGGCTTCGAGATTTCAGTCTGGGTGGTTTGTTTCTGTGCTTGTTTTATTTATTTTGTTGTTGGGAGACAAGGTTTCTCTATGCTATCGTGCGTCACCACGTCTGGCTCATGCTTTTTTTGGACCCCCAACTCGTTCCTGACGGGTAGGCTGTCTTTTCCCTATTTAGAGAACTTTCAGCGAAAGCCAGAAAAATAACTTTGCAGTAATCCGATTGTTATTCTATGTTGTTTATTGTAAATAATGATGAGCAGTGGTCAATAATTTTATAGTCCTTTAAAAAATAAAAAATAAGCGGGTCGTGGTGGCCCACACCAGGAATCCCAGCACTCGAGAAGCTGAGGCAGGGGGATCACTGAGGAGTCTGAGGCCAGCCTGGGCTACATAGTACGTTCAAGGCTACCCTGAACTACATAGCGAAACTCCTTCTCAAAAAAAAAAGAACAAAAAACAAAAAAGAAAAACATTCAGGTGAATAATTTACTCATTTATTTTAGCAGGTCCTAAATTGTGAACATCTCTAACCATCTCAGTAGGTTTCCATGAGCTAAGTTTTAGACATTCCATGAATCATGAACTTTGAGTACACAGTTTTCAACTTATTGTAAAGGAATGGGGCATTAGGAATACTGTCTTTAAGTGTTCCACTAACAAATCTTGCATAGCTAACTCAAACCAGATTTTTCTAGTTTCCTTATTTGAGTGGAGAAGTTCTTGGTAATGTTAAAATTTTTCTTTTTAGGAATTTTACAAGTAAACTGCCGCATTTATATGATAAAAGACATAGATATAAATCCTGATATTGCTGCTTTGAAATTATCCACTTTAACTTTCCAGTTAACCAGAGTCATGTATTTAATTGAAAAGTTACGGCTTCAGAAAAACAGTCAGTTTAGTTGGAAGTTATTTATTTCTTAGGTTGCTCAAAATGATGGCATCTCAAAAACATGAGCTTGTCACCCATGGTTTTGTTTGTTTTCTTTTGCCTTTTTGAGACAGAGCCTCACTATGCAGTTCAGACTGGTCTTGAACTCACTTTGTAGCCCAGGCTGGCTGAGAATTTTCAGTGATCCTCCTGCATCAGCCTCCCAAGTGCTGGGATTACAGACTTGCACCACCACGCTCAGCTCACGCCCAGTTTTTGTTTTGATGAATGTTTAAAAACAACACATAAACATACATACTATTTTATTTATATATCTACAAACAACCAAAAAAGCCCTCAGAATGGTCCTTAACCATGTGAACTGAAACTGAGTTCTGATTTGGTGTACTTCTCATTTTAATCTCAATATTTTAGTACCAGTTCTGATTCCTTTCCCCAGGACTTCAAGTCTGGTCATTTCTACACAAATCCCAAACCTCTCCACTTTCCACCTCCTTCCTCCTGTGGAGCTCAGGAGCTATCTCCCAACAACTCTCCAGGGTTCACAATACCCAATCTGCATGCCACACAGCAACCCATAGATCATCCACCTAAAACTTCCCACAATGCCCTACTACAGTGTGAATAAACCCCAGCCTCTGTTCATCCTGTATCTGCAGCTATGGGTCCCTGCTCGCAGCCAGCCAAGATCATTCCTGCCTCTGTCTCCTCACCCCTCAGAGCTCTACTTAAATGCCACTGCCTTAGAGCACAGAGTCTTTCCCTGGTACTCCACCTAAGGTAGCCTCACCAGCCACTGTTACCTCCATAGCACTTGTCACAGCTTGCTTCTTTTTTTACTGGTACTTATCACATGGGCGTGAACAACACTGGAGGGATTAAATATGCCTTGGTTCCAACCATTACTCAGTGGCCCCACTCAATTGCAGCCTCCCTTTCTCTTCTGAGTATAGTCCTTGTCTCCTGGTGCACTATGTGATCTTTTAGGACATCCTGATCCTTTGCTTAGTCCCTCTACATAGGACGGAGCTCATTACTGGCTTTCAAGAAAGGTGGGGCTGCCAGGTGTGGTAGCACACCCTTGTAATCCCAGCACTTGGGAGGCTGAGGCAGGAGGATCCTTGCGAATTGGAGCCCAGCCTGGGCTACAAAGTGAGCTCAAGGCCAGCCTGAACTGCATAGCGAGACCCTGTCTCAAAAAGACCAAAAAAAAAAAAAAAAAAAAAAAAAAAAAAAAAAAAAAAGAAGGGTGGGGCTAGATCCTAGATATTTTGAGAGATTTTTTTTTTCTTTTTGAGACAGGGTTTAGCTATGCAGTTCAGGTTGGCCTTGAGCTCATTTTGTAGCCCAGGCTGGCCTTGAATGTGAAGTCATCCTCCTGCTTCAGCCACCTGAGTGCTGGGATTACAAGCATGCACCACCATGCCTAGCGACAGAATATTATTTGTATTGACTTTAGTGTCATCTCTCCATGCCTTCTCTCCCCTTTATGTAACAGGAGGCTGGGGAACTTTGGTTGCTGCTCGGTTTCCAGTCTGGCCATTTGTTAAAAGAATGAATAAATCTGATGCATCTAGAGTGCATGAGAGCCAGGCATAGTGGTACACGTCTGTAATCCCAGCACTTGGGAGGCTGAGGCAGGAGGATCATTGCAAGTTTGAGGCCAGCCTGGGCTACAAAGTGAGTTCAAAGTCCATCTGAGCTGCATAGTGAGACCCTGTCTCAAAAACACACACACACACACACAAAAAGAGTGCATGAGAACCTCTGGGCCTCCCAAGGCAGTTACCTCTGCATTATGGTCTGTTGACCCCAAAATAACCCGGACTCATGTTTTTACAACTTTTTTAATATATATTTTTATAAACAGGTCACGTGATAAAATAGCACAAGAAACACTTACCAAATATAAGGTTATATCTTCCGCATATACAGGAGAATGAGGTCGTTATGTACAATAAGAAAATGATTTTAGGGATTGGTTGGTTTTGTTTGTTTTCCTCTCTCCCCTTAAATTTTCCTCCTACAGTCGTTGGAAATATCACAGCTTCAGTTGCATTAATACTTTGGGCAAATGGACAGTTGCCCCTCCCTATTAGGGGGCTGTGGGAGGAGGGGCTGAAGAAACTGGCTCCTGACCACTCCACTCCACTCCAGCCTGGAGCCTCCTCGGCCAGCACTCCAGGGGCAGGGATCTCTTTGGGCTGTTGAACTGTTTCTCTGCTTCAACAGCATCTCTCTCTCTTTGTCTCTCTCTCTCTCTCTCTCTCTCTCTCTCTCTCTCTCTCTCGCTCTCGCTCTCGCTCTCGCTCTCGCTCTCGCTCTCGCTCTCACTCTCTGGCTCTCTGGAAACTGGTTACTCCCTTCCAACCAGATAAAGGGTGTCCCAAGATTGGCTGTGGGCACTGTATCTCCTGGGGTTCAAGGCTGGGATGGAAAGGGGTCCCAGCCCCCTCCTTAGCATTGCCAAGATGTGCCAGCATCCCCCAGGACTTTTCAAATGTCTGGGGATTGAACAGAACACAGTCAGAGCCCATTCGGGCAGGCAGAAGTTTGGGAAGCTGGGGGGGTGGTGAATGGGGTAGGTCTAGAAAGGAGCCCTCCCTCCTGTGTGTGTGGAGGGTGTGCTGATCCTCTTAGGTAGGCCCATTTCTGCAGATTTCATCTGAGAAGACCTGCCCAGGGTGAGCCCTGGGGTTCAGGGCTGGGTGTGGGATTGGCTGAGCTGCTCCTCATGGTGCCAAGGGTGGCTCCAGTTTGAGATCTCTCAAGGTACCTGTACCACCCCTGGGCTGAGGTGGACTGAATGGGCTGGGCTAAAGTTGATTAATCCAAGGTCACTGTCATCCCAAGGCTGTCCCAGCTTGGCCAGGGCCCAAGGATCTGTAGGCCTTGCGGGGTTGAGGGCAGACAGGGGTTGGCCAACAGGGTGGGTGGCCTACTGTGAGGAAAAGGGGGCGGCCTTTTGGATCAGGAGGGCATGGGGAGGGGGAGGAGAAGGGGAGTTGGGCTCCTCAGCGGGCCATGGCTTTGGCAGTGGCCTGTGTCCCCTCGCACCTATCGGAGGGCTCCAGGCACGGAACAATGGAAGATGCAGGAGGCCCTTGGGGCTTTTCTGGGCCCCTGAGTCCTGGGGACCTAGTCCCCCCTTTTCCCGGGGCCCTCCCCGGGGTGGGAGACAGCAGGGAGGCAGAGAACGGGTGTGGTGGGGAGGGCGGCTGGGCAAAGAGCGCCCCGAGGACCGAGCCCCCCAGGCGGGTGGGCGAGTGATGGCGGCGGTGGTGGCGTGGTGAGGGCGGGCGTGCAGTGCGGGCACGAGGGGCATGCACAAAGTCCCCGAGTGTGCGTGCGTGCGTAGGGCTGGCCCCGGTGCCCCCTGCCCAGGGCGGGCCGGACGGGCGAGGAGCCGAGGGGCGAGGGCGGGGCGGAGTTTCCCTCGGGCTGGGTTCCAGATGGGGTCGAAGAAAGGGGCTCAATGGCGCCCGTGCCCCGCCCAGAGCGTGGCCGGTTCCCGCGGCCGAGGCGGGGCGCCTCGCATTACTCGATGACAAGGCAGCGGGGCAAGTGCTGCGAGAAGTACTTGAAGAGCTCGGGTGTGGCCCCGGGGCAGTTGGTCAGCTCTAGCTCCTCCAGCTCCTGCAGCTGCACCAGGCCGGACAGCCCCGTGGTGGTCAGCAGCGGGCAGCCTGTGGCAGGCGGGGGCAGGGCAGAAGCTCAGGGCAGCTGTGGGTGGGGCCTGTGCTAGCGGGCGGGAGTGGGCCGCGCGGGGCGGGCAATCATGGGTGGAGCTTGCACTGGGCGGGGCCCTGTTCGGGGGCGGGGAATCATAGGTGGGGCTCTGTTCTAGGCTGGGTTAGTGTTTGCTTCTCCTTTAACTTGGACCTGGGATGCAGGGAGCCAGCGCCCAGGTGAATTCTCATAAGGGGCCTGACAGGGCGGGGAGCGTCGCACTAAGTCAGTACACAGAAGGCGTGCAAGGGGTCTCACCTGCCAGAGACAAGAGACGCAAACTCCTCATGGCCAGAAGGTGCTTCAACCCGAAGTCCTGCACCTGGGTGGGAGGTAGGGAGGGGAGCGAGCTAACTATTTCTGCTTACCTGACACCTGGACTCGCTAGAGGGGCGGGAGGCGGGATTCAAGACAGAGGTTTCTCAGCTCCCGCGGAGCCAGAAAGCTGCTGGAAAGAGCCTATGAAAACCCTAGGGACCCTGCAAGCTTCGCTTAGGCTGGGTGCAGAGTGGGTCCCAGACCCCTGCGGGAACTGAGTGGGGAGGGAGCAGGTCACCGGACTATGGGGACGGTACTTTCCCTACGCCCCCCCAACTATTCCCCGATCCCAGAGGCTCTGAGGTTGGTACCTGGCAGCACCATCGCAGGTAGAGGCTGCGGAGGGACGACATGGTGGACAGGTAGCTGAGGCCAGTGTCCGTGATGCGTACACACCTGTGGTTGCACCAGAAGTGGACTGCCCACCTTACACTGCCTCCTCAACCCCTCAGGTGGGCGCCTCCCTCCTCCTTCCAAGCCTGGCCCTCCCCAGAGTCCCGCCCCCACACCCGTCTGTGTGGGCACTGCATGCTCCAAGGATATGAACAACTAACTCTTGTTGCATTTCTGCCTGTTCTTGATGCCTCCCACCTCCCCCTTGCCCTTCTTCAGCTTAGTGCGCAAAAGAAGCCTGAGGACTTGGCCCCTCCCAGTCTAGGGGCCCAGTTCACGGTGACCCACCCGGCAAGGCCCCAGTACAGGTCATACTCACCTATCCAGCACTAGCTCCTCCAGGCGGTGCAGATCACAAGCCACATATTCCAGGGCCATATCAGTGATGCGAGGGCACCAGGAGAGGTCAAGGCTGCGCAGCTTGCGAAGGTTTTCAGCCACCAGCTCGACGCCATCATCAGTGACCTTGGAGCAGCCTGAGAGGCTGAGCGAGGTGAGGTTGGGCAGGCTATGCACCACATTCACCACACCGTGGTTGGTGATCTCCCAGCAGGAGAGCAGACGCAGTGTGTGTGTGCTGTGCCCCTGGCGAGCGGTGAAGTAGGCCAGCGCTGTGTCCGTCACGTGGTAGGCCTGCAGACTCAGCTCGGCCAGGTTGGGCAGCAGTTGTGAGATGGCTGCGATGGCATCATCTGCCACGTTGATGCAGTCGCTCACACTCAGCGAGGTGATTCGTGCGCTAAGACTGGACCACAGCCCGGCCTCAGTGAAGTCATTGCAGCCGGACAGCTCCAGGCGCACCACCCCCTGCATCTGCTCCAGCATCACCTGTGGGGAGAGGTGCCTATTAGAGGGGAGCCTCAATCCCTGGAACCCTTTCCATGGGTCATGGTGAGGATTGCCTAGCTAGGGTGGAAAGGAGCCCTTGGGAGGTGGGAAGCAATGGTCTCTAGGATGTAGATGTGGGCAAGCATGCATCTAACTGAACTTTGAGCCAGGCATTGTGACCCATGCCTGTAATCCCAGCACTCAGGAGGCTGAGGCAGGAGGATCGGCGCAAGTTTGAGGTCAGCCTGTGCTACACAGTGAGTTCAAGGGCAGCCTAAACTACATAGTAAAACCCTGTCTCAAAAGAACAAACAAAAAACATCCTGAACTCTGTCTGAGGAGTTCATTTAGAGTATTCGTTACACTTCAACAACATTCCACAAGAGGGGCAGGTCACAGGAGAGCCTGGCTAGAGCGGGTACTCCAAGCTCTTTAAACATTACAGTACAGGTCCTGTGGACAGGGAAGTCTGCCTATCTGCTCCTCTGATCTTTGCTACTAAGAGACCCTTCCCCAGCTGCCCCTCACCTCTTTCCAGTATCCTGTCCACTCAAGACTCGCTTTCTGGGCAGGAAGGGCCTTGTACTTAATTGGTTGCTCCTCTGTCAGCACTGCCTTGAAAGTATTTATTTTTTGTTTGCCTTGAAATTCTTACTCATCTTTGAACAAGGTGCCCACATTTCATTCATTAGTAGGTTCCCCAAACTATGTAGCTAGTCCTGCTCCCTTCCTCTCCCAAACCCACTCTCCCTTCTGCCTTTTTGCCTCTTGTGTGCTGAGCCTTCTCTGGGGTCCAGCACTGTCTCACATTCATACATCACTGCTGCTTGTCCCTACCCTTCCCCAGCCTCGTCCCCTCCTGACCAGTTCAGGGCATACCTCTAGGCCAGCATCAGTGATGGTGGAACGCTTGAGGCTCATGGCCTTGACCCCCTTCTTGGAAAGCGCATAGTTGTCAATGAACTCACAGATGTCCAGGTCGGAGACTCCAACCAGGCAGAAGCCCTCAAAGCCACGTGCAGCAAAGCCCTGCAGGTTCACAAACTCCTTCTCGCCACCAGGCAGCACATTGTAGAGCTCCTTGGCATGCAGGACAGGCATGAGGCCTGCCCAGAACTTAGGCTGGTACAGCACACGCCGCCAGGCCTTGCACACCTGAGCTAACACGCACTTCTCACATGCTGAGAAGTACCAGAAGAGGCCATTGAGGATTTTCTCATCTGTGGCTAGTGGTGGCCGCTCTGCTGGGGGTCCAGGCACCGCGGCTGAGGCTGGTCCACCTGCAGGGGAACATGGCCCCCCAGCCAGGGCAGCCCGGGAGAGTGGGGTAGCCAGGCTGGGGGGTGGGAGGGTAGGTGGGGGCGGTGGCTGGCAGGGACGGTTTTTGGCTGCTGGTGTGCCCTTGGTGATGCTGGCTGCACCCAGGCCATTGGGCTGGCCTGGCAGCTTCACTAGACCATTTCGAGGCAGGCATGGAGGCTTGGGGTCGCCGTTGACACCGGGACTCGACATCTTCCTCGAACACTCTGCAGATGGGTGGGGAGGGGAGAGTGGATTTTCTGGTCTCTGCGCAGGCTGAGGAGAGTCACTCTTCTTCCAAGCCCTGGGTGCCCATTCTCATGGCACTCCCAGAGCCACCCAATAGGATCTGAGTGCATAGTTCTCCCACCTTGACTGTGTGTAGCAACAAGAGGTAGGCTGACCATGGGCATGGCACTCATGCAAGTGAGCACCAACTGTGTATAAAGGCTGAACCTGCATTGTTCATGGATGCTTTCTGGTGCTCTGGTGCTGACATTCCCCTTTCACCCATGAGAGAGTGGAGGTAGAGAGACCAAGTCCCTAACTGCTCCCTTCTCTCCCTCTGATGCCCATTGTTAGGGCTGAAAAACTGAAGGAGAGGGTTTGGTATGGTCTCTGGCCTGCCCCTACAGGTTCCACTGTGGCCCTGTCTCATGCACCAGCTGCCATGAATGTTCATGCCACAGGAGGGTCTGTGGCTCAGGATCTACCCAAGAAAGGGCAGGTGTCTCCTGAGGTTTGACTTGGGGGCCAGCATGTGAGTCCTGCACACATGCTGTCTTTTTTTTTCCTTTCCAATGTTGGTCCAGTGCTGGTGATGGTCCTTGTCTTTTTGCCATGCAATCTCAGAGGGGGTGCAAAAGCTGCTCCCAGATCACCCTCTTCTCCTGCCTGACCAAGACAGGCCCTGGCCTAACAGGCAAGTCTTACAGGGCCACCAAGGGGGTGTGGGTAGGGAGTGGTGGCTCCCGAGATCTTCCAAGACTTGAGGTGGGCATTGGAATAAGCAGACCTGCAGAAAGAGAAAGGCTAAAATTTCCTTTCCAGCTGAGTCCCCCTCCTGGAGCTGCAAGGCTGAGGAAGGTGGCAGCCTTTCCCCCACAACCTGGGGTGACCCTTGGGAAAGAGGACTGGAGGCAGTAGGAGGGAAGGATGAAGGATGTCTTGCCCTAGTCTTTTCAGTACCATACCCCTGTTGGCTTCCACAGCTGACCTGGGCTGGGACCTGGGATCTCCCTGGCACACATGGTGCTAACTCAACTTTGGGCCCAGAAGCTTTGCTGCTCTGGCAGCCACAGGTCCCCTGCCACTGGCAGCCCACCCCAGGCCTTCCTGTGCCACCTCCTTCCCTCTTTCCCAAAGGCATCGTCTGAACCCTAGGTGGCACAACTAGGCTCTCCCCTGAGGAGGTTCCAACACCTTAGTGCCCCTTTACATATACTCATAACCAGGAAGGAGTGGCCACACACTGGCTGATACAGCGACATCCATCATAACACTTGTAAAGTACCCACTGGGATAATCACATATTTCAGCCTCATGGCAGCCTAGTGTGTGGGGGTGGCCACTATTGTTACCCAAGTTTTCAGATAAAGAATCTGAAGCTCCAGGAAGTTAGTTTGCCCACAATGGCAGGGGGTTCCTGATGCGGGGCTACCCCACTTTCAAGGATGCCAGGGCAGATAAGAAGTGACCATCCATTGTAGGACAGCAGTGCCTCATGATAGGCTTGGATGAGGCCCATGACCAGCACTCCCGTGCCAGCAAGGCACTCTGGAAGGTGTACTGGGGATAGAGGCAGCCGCAGCGTTAGTACCCTCAATGCCCCAGAGCGGGGGCTTCCCTGCTCCCTAGGCCCAAGTCACTCAGATTTCCTGCCCAGGACGCCCCGCCCACCCGGCTGCCGCAGCTTCTCGAAGAGCAGCCCCAGCTCATTCTGAGCCCAGCACCACGGACAGCAGCCTGCGCTCGGGGCCAGGCCTGGGCCGGCTGCACCGCGGACAGCGGCGGGGGTGGAGGGTGGATTCTGGCAAACCCAAAGCCTGGCAAACCCGGCTCAGCAGGGAGGAGCCCCAGAGGCAGGAGGGGTGGAAGGGAGGGGGGAGAAGCCGCCCGCTAGGCTAAGATCCGGAGGAGGCGGCGGAGGCGGTGCCAGGGGAGAAATAATCCAAGAGCTGTGCCGATTTAGGCTGAAAATGCTCCCAGCCGCGGGTGTGCACGTGGAGTGCGGAGATGGGGGATGCACGTGGATGCCCTAGGCACCTGCGGGGCTCTTTCCCGTTGCCCATTGGAACTCACATTTGCATGAGCTCACCTTCCCATCCCTACCTTCTTTCTAGGCCGTAGGGTTGGATTGGTGAAAATAAGGCACGCAGTCCCTCATCCCACAACTCCATCTGAGGTTGTAGGCCCCTACACCATGGAAATGGCCACACCTTGGTCCAGGAGTTGAGACTTGGAAGAAATCTGAGCTCACAGTGGGAGACTGGAGCCTCTCAACTAGGCAGCAGCTCAAACAAGGGCCTGTCCACCTGGCTCTGGACCTAGCCAGTGACCAAGGCCCTGTTTATCATGGGTTATAGAGTCCTTTCCTGGTAGTGCTGCTGCTCTCCCCACCCAGGGTGGCTCCAAGGACCTGATCAGAGTTTCCTGCCAGGAGGGATATGGATAGCTGCTAGTCTACTTGGGGCTGCCTCTCCCTTTAGGAGAACTAGTTTTGGGAAGAGAGGCTTTTGAGAATATGGCTGAGTTTAGCCAGGTGTGGTGGTATGCACCTCTAATCCCAGCACTCAGGGAAGTTGAAACAGGAAGATCACAAGTTTGAGGCCAGCCTCAGCAACTTAGTGACTTAAAAAGACCCTGCTCAAAATAAATAAAAAATAAAAAGGCCTGGGGACTTAGCTCAGTGTGAAAGCCCTGGGTTCAATCTCCAGTACAAAAAAAAAAAAAAAAAAGGCCTAGTGTATACAATTCTCAGCCATAGGCCAGCTGTGCTGTGGTCAGTTTGGAGTGGAATTCTGGGGAGGTCCTCTGCTGGGATAGTCTGTAAAAGGGCTCCAGGTCCCTGAGAAAACCCGAGGAAAGGGAGAAACAGTAGTCAATACCCATCTTGTCCCCATCAGCCTCAGCCAGAGTCAGAGAGAGCTGACTGTGACCTCTGCACTCTATCCAGAGGACTCATTGTGAAGCTTGAAGACACAGTGGGCCCAGGGGATTCTGGGAGATCAAGCCCTTGGCAGCTTCTAGGCCAGTATCCACAGAAATGACCATGTTGAGCCTATAGGGGCTGTCCCTTCTGCGTGCCACGTTATTGGTCCCTGAGACCAAGTTGGCCTCAGACCCCTTACTGCCTGGGCACAACCTGGACCCTGTTTGCTCCAGGGCTTTCTCTCCTTAAGCTAGCACCCACTTCTCCATTCTTCAGTGCTGGATGAGAACCATCCTGCCTCCCCAGTGGGATCCCATCACTGGGAGAAAGCATCTCCAGGGTCTTACTCATCACCTAGGTTATATTTGCTGTCTACCTTTCCTCCTGGCCCAGGGACTCACTGAGCACAGGCAGCACCATGGATGTGTGGCTCTCAAGTGCTGCTGAATGCATGAACAAATGCACAAATGAATGAATGAGAAATGCTAGGTCCACTGCGGAAAGGGATACAGCTGCAAGAAATCTGAGAGGCTGGAGGGAGGAGTGGTCAGATTGAAAAGGTTTGCAGTCAGGAAGGTGTAGCTAAAAAAACTTATCCTAGTTGTGATAATGGTCAATGTTCACAAGGGAGAAAAGCCACTGGGGTTGGGACTGGGTTGGTACCAGAGTCACTGGGAAGACTCCCAACACCATAAGGGCTTAAATTAGGCCTTGGAATGTGCAGACTCCAGGGAAGAAGACATCTTGTCTATTTTTCCGATAAGTTTCACTTCTGGAGCTGCAGAACTAAGAAGGGTAGCTGTCCATTCCCCATAGTCTGGCCTGAGCCTAGGGAAGGGGACAGAAACTTCTGGAAGGGGGGCACAGGAGACGTCCTGACCTATTTTTTCCAGCATCACACCTCCCATTACTAGCCTGAGCCCTTCACACACTGCCTGACCAGGGTGGGGGAAGCAAGACTCAGGGAGTGAGTTTCCAGAAATTTCACAGAACTGTGATTGACCCCAAGACCTCCAGGCTGTCTCATTACCAGTGCTCTTGGCCAGGTGTACATATACAGACCTTTGCTTTTTCTTCTTTTGCTTCAAGGTCCCCTGTGTCTTTCTGGGATCTGGGCTAGTGGTTTTTCTAACCAGTGGCCTCATCCAGCAGGGTCCCTGCCATACCCCTGCTCTCCTTCCAGAGGGTGCAAGCTACCTGCCCACCAATATCCCCACTTTCATTACCTCCACTCAGGGACTGTTCCCCCATCTCTCACACCCAAATTTTTTGACAGGGTCTCATTATGTAGCCCAGGCTGGCCTTGAACTCTGGCAACCCTCCTGCCTTGGCCCCCTGAGTGCTGGGATTACAGGCATGTGCCACCAGGCCCGGCCTGATACCCTCAGCTTTGTGAGCATCAGGCCTGCTTTGGCTGATGGGAGGCTTGGCCTCCACAGAACCTGCGCTGACCATCTTCTCCTCCATGGTGAGGGCCTTGGAGCTGATCGAGGTATGGGTAACCAAAAAGCTGCACATCAGGTTCAGTCTGCAGTAGCAGCCCCAGGGACTGGGGTGACAACCAGGGTAGATGGAGTTGGGGGCGAAGTGCAGGCTGACACATTCTGTGACAGCCCTGTGACTCAGGCACATTCACATCCCTGCCACTTTGCACATGTCAAACACAGTTCTTCCCTCCTGCCCCCAGCTAGAGATGCTCGGGGGATGTGCAGGGGCTTTGGGAGGGGAGGGAGGCCTGTGGCCCAGGGGCATGTAGGCCTTCAAAGAGACCCAAATTGATGCCTCAGCAGATTGGAACACTTTGGCCCAGCTCAGAGCACCTCAGCTATGTGGGTTTGGGGAGTGGAAGCTGGCTTCTCTTGGCACCCCACTCCTGAAAAATATAAGCCCTCCCAAACCCAGTTGAGGGCTCTTAGTCCCCTTTGCTTTGAGCAGCTATCAAGCAAGGGAATGTTGCCCTTCGGCACCCTCTGCAGCCAGATTGGCCATTGGCTCTTACTGGACCACTGGTCATCCTCACCATGCCCCTGCAACTGCCTTGGAGCCACAGCAGAGAGCACCCATAGGTGACAAAGCAGGGTCTGCAGGCTGTTGAGCACCACCAGCCGAGGAGTCCTTTCCTCCATCTCAGGGGGAATGTACCTGCTTCTCAGCAGTACAGGGCTTCCTGGACTCAGGTCCCTCCTACCCAGGAGCACTTGTTCTCTCATCAGTGGGCCTCAGGCAGAATAGTACAGGTGCCTCCAAAGTGGATGTGGGCAGGAGGGGGTGATCATATCCTGTGAATGTGCCCAGTGATGGAGATGCTGAGCTTGTAGGCTGGGCCTAAGGTGAGGGTGGTTGGGAACCAGGTACTGGAGGTGGTAGGAACTGGGGCATCTGAATCTTGGACTCCTTGTGCACCACCCATGTTTACATGAGCCTTGAATTTCCCTTCCCTCCAGATGGCTCCTCTTCCAGCTGCATGGCCATCTCTCGCTCCATCAGGCCTCTCCTGGCCCAGGGCAACCTCAAACCCGTCAGTTTCCAGCTCAGCCGGCCCAAGCCTTCCGTTCTGAGACTGCTGTCCAGCACAGCACCTCATCAAAGGGGTGAACTGGGAGAAACAGTCTGTGTCCTGTGGGGCACCAGGGAGGCCTCAGATGACCCTGGTCAGTGGGTCCTGGGACATGGGTAGGTAGGTATGGAGGAGGTGCCTGAGGGAGGGAGGCAGGTGAAGTATCATCTGCCATCTGCTCCTCCTGCTGAGGTCAGACTGCCTGCTCAGGCTGGGAGGGGCTGCAGGCTGGGAAGCCAAGGCTCCAACTATCATAACCTTCTCTCTGGGGAAGACGGGTATGGGACCCTCTGCCCTCACTCAAACTCCCAGGAAGACCCAAGATTTCTGCCCTGCAGGGCTCAGAATGCCCACTCCCCAGTCTGAGGCCTTGGCCAGGGCCCAGGCCCTCCTCCAGAACCAAAGACCAGCCAGCCCACTCCTTCTGCCTCCCTCTGTGGGTGGCAGCTTTATACAGAGCCATGTCCAGAAGGTGTTCAGGGGAGGGCCAGCCCTCTGGCCACATACCCACATGGCTCCTGTTGGAGTTTAGCTGCACCTAACACCTGTCACAGAGACCCAGGGGCTTGAGGTTCGGGGTCCAGAGCCCTGAGCCCAGAGCCCAGCCAGGCGGGGTGGGGCTTGAGGGCCTGCAATTCTGCATTCCCTTGGAAGCTTTTGCTCCTCTGGTGGCACCGACCCACAGCCCTGACCGCGCTGCATGTGGGGAGTGGGCCTCGCTGGGGCAAGCCACTGGGGCGATGGGCTTTGGAAGGCCTGGCAGGGGTGCAGGCCCCGCGGCCACAGGACGAAGAGGGCAAGGGGCTGCTGTTATGTAAGCCCTTCCCTGGCGATGGCGGCGCGGTCCCAAGACCCCTCCCCGCCCCCTCATTGTGGCCGCGGCAGAAAAGCGGCCTGGCCCCCACCCCTCTTCGCCCCTCAAGCTGGCCGTGCGCGCACACCTTACCTTGGCCTAAGCTCCTGGTTCATGCCACGCCGTCCGCCGGGCTACCTCGCGTCATGGGGAGCCCAGCACGGGCGCCAGGGAGCGTGGAGGCGGCCGAGGCGCTGGACTGGCCAGCAGGGCCCGGCCGCGCCCTGCACCCCACGTCCCGGCCTGGCCGGGCCCCCTCGGCCGCGCCCGGAGTGGGGCCCCCAGATGGGAGAGGATCGGCGGCCCCGAGCCTCCCACCGGGGAGGCTGAGGCTGTGCCCAGATAAATAAGGCCGCTTTGCAGGGAGCCGGGAGGGCGCCTCCTCCCTCCCCTCGCCCTCCTCCCGGCGCTCCTCCTCCGCGCTCCTCCCCGCGCTCCTCCGCCGCCGCCGGCGGCACCGCGCGCGTCCCCCGCCCGGTCCCGAGAGCCGTGCCTTCGCTCGCTCCCGGCATGAAAACCAATCGGGGCTCGTGAGCCGGGCGGGGGCGCTGAGGATGCCGAGCCCCGCCCTGTCCCCCCACCCGCGCGGCGCCGACGGGCACGCGCCAGGCTTTGCGCGCCCGGCACCCCCTTCGCCGCGGGCGCCCGCACAATAACAAATACGCCGGGCGTCGCGTTCGAGAGGACTGGGTAGTGGAGGCCCAGGCGAGCGACAGAGAGAAGCAGCCGGATTACGCCCAGCGGGGCGACCTGAAACCCTGCGGGCAGAGGAGAACCTAGCTCCCTTGGAGCCAGCAGTTAGTCCCGGAGGTGTGGGGTCCAACAGGGATGGGGCCGGCCCCACATGTCCGGGCTCGAGGATGTCATCTGCTGGGATGAGGAAAGGAAGTCCCAGTTTGAAGAGGCAAGACACTCCGACCACCACCCTCTGGATCTTCCTCCGAGCTGGAACCGCCCCCCCCACCGGTGGCACGTGCCTTATGCACTTGCTGGGGACAAGGCCTTGGAGGCCCCTCAGTAAAGAAAGTCTCATACCTGCAGAACCATGCAAACAAGTGACTGAACAGATCATTTTAGAGAGTGGCAATGAAAGTACAAGCTGTTATGACAGTGGTCTTAGGAACATGGTGGTAGCTCCTGAGGACATCATATGCCCGCTGAAACCCCAAGGATGAGAGGGGGGAGTGGTTAAAGAAGGGGTGTGTAAAGGTCCTGAGGCCTTAAAGAGCCTGACAAGTTCCTTCTGGGTTGGACCGGAGGTCAGGTGGTGGCAGCCACTTCAATTCATTTTTTTTTTTTTTGGTACCAGGAATCGAACTCAGGACCTTGTGCTTGCCAGGTAGGCACTTGTGCTGCTGAGCTATTCCCAGCCGCCACTTCAATTCAAAGAAGGGATGAGAGTCCACTGGAGGACTCTTATCAGGGCTACTGTCCATGCCACACTTCACAGCAGGCTCAGAACCAGAGGAGAGGGGCTCATGGTGCCCCAAGAATAGGGGAGGGGAGAGCAGAGCTGGGTCTTGGAATCAGGGTAGAGCCGCAGGACTGAGAGCATCTTAATAGAAATGAAATCAGCTGGTGCTGGGAAGCAGGGCCCCATGGGACAGGAGTGAGGCCTGGAGGCATTGGGTAGGAGAAACCAGGCTGACTGGACCCTGGTGGGGCTGGGGGAGTGCTGTCCTTGGTATGGGGCTCTGGACAAGTGAAGCCGTCTGTGTGGCTGGACTCGGATGCTCACGGCCTTGGGATATGGATGATGAAGGTAAGTTGGTGTGGGACAGAGAGAATGAGACTCCTGAAGACAGTGGGGTGACAAGAGAGCTGCCAGTCAACCTGTCCACTTAGCTTTGGGCAGCAGCTGCCACCACCTCCTGTGAGCAGGTATGGATGGTAAGTGGCAGAGAGGGTTTCCCATCAGACTCTAGAGGCCTCAGACAGAGTAAGTTGTGCTGTTCTGAGACCTAGTACCCTGCGTTGGGCAAATGGACACACCCAAGTTGGGCATGGGGGGAGATTAGAACACACAAAGGCATCTGGGTCACACATCCTAGAAAGGGCACCAAAAAGACTCTGAGCTACGATGGCATTTATTCAGAGGGATATTGGCAAATACTGTTTGAGAGGCCTGTTCTGCCTCCTCATCACCTGCAAACCCACCCGGTTCCCTGAGTCTCTGTAACCTCTCCACATCAGACACCCTTGTCCCTGTCTGTGGCTATCAGCAGCTACTCTTCACTGGCCTCTCCACCCTCCCCCACCTGTTTTCAGGATTCAGGAGGTCATTTCACAACACAGACGTGGTCCTGCCCCTTCCGGGGCTCTGTTCATTCCTTGCTGCATTCTGCAAAGCTCTATATCAGTCACTGCTGGTCATAGCTTCCTTTCTACCTGGGTCTTGGAGCTTCTGCCACACTGGCCAACTTCTGGGGCCAGGAGGTTGCCATGTCCCTCACTCGTCGCACCCCCTTGCCCCTTGCACTTGGATGGTTTTGTTTGCCCCTTAGAACACGGCAAATGTCTTTTTCCCTCGGAGTCTTTCTTCTCATTCCCTCCCAACACCAAGCCCCTGTCTTTTCAGCCTGTGTCCCAGTGGGCTGGTGGCTGACAGTACCCAGAAAGCCCAGGTAGGGTTTCTCCTCTCATTGCTGTGCCCCTGGGCGCCAGCACAACACCGGTGCTGGACACACATGTAGTGAGTGAGGGATGGGCAGATGCTTAGCTGTGCGAGGTTGCCACACTGGGACTGTAGACCACCTCTGTGGCGGATAGCTCCATTTTGGATGCCTTTGGAGAGCCCTCAGACAGGTTTGGTTGCTCAGTGGCCTTTAGCATCCTCAGGGAAGTGTAGGGTACTGCTTAGCCTAGCTCAGTGAGGATGGTCTGTTCTTCCATCAGTCCTGGGAGAATTCCAACAGCACCTAAAGCACTCCTCCACTGGACCACATCTCACCTGGAGGAATCTCAGTGGAAATACCTTCCCTCCTGCATCACATCTCACCTGGGGCAACTCTTCTCTGATGAACCGTCTTACTTGGAGGACCCATTATGAGAACCACATCTCACCTAAGCACCCCTCACCTGGTGACTTCACCTGGAGACTCCCTCCCTGGGACACATCTCACCTGGAGTACCCTATCATCTGGAGCACCCTTCACTGGATGACTCTCTCACTTGAGACTCCCTTGCCTGAAGCACATGTCACCTGGAGATCCCCTCACCTGGAGAGCCCTTGATGCCTGAGAACAGAGGATTCCTCTTTGTCTAGGCTGGTGTTTGTACGTGTGTGAGCTAGGCTAAGCAGTACCCTACACTCCCCTGAGGATGTGTCCTAGCTCTGGAGTCAGGGTTTGAGGATCAGAGGCTGCTGGCTTATATGGTCCCAAGGTCTTGGAGGGCAGTGAAAGGGGACCACAGCCACATCAGGGCTGAAAGTGACCTCATCCAAGGTCCAGGGTGAGGGCTCTGAACCTACCCTGAGTCTTGTTACAGGATGTCCTCAGGCATATCCTTGGGAACTCTGGCATGGAACATGTGCCCTGGAGCCACACTCTGAGCCAAATCCTCCCCCTGTGGGGGCCAGGTATCTTTTCTCACTGAACCTCTCCTGGGAAGTGGGTCTGAGCTCTGTAGGGTAGTGTCCCCTGAAGGGCTCAGCATAACACTGCGGAGAGGAGCTGCCACCCTAGAGCAAAGTGATTCATCCTGGGGCCAGATGGGCACTCTGTCCTCCACTACCCCTGCTCAGAAGCAGAAGCTGGAGAGCCCTTAGCAGAGGCATATGGGGCACCAGGCTGAGGAAGTTTGGGTGCCCTGATCACTCCATTGCCCAAAAACGTCATAGAATGAAAATTTTGTAACATAGAGGTACAGTGGCCGAGGTAGCTGCAGGTGAGGATGCTGGGCCTCTCTGCTGTCCAAAACTACTGCTCTGGCCTGGCCCGCCCCCTGTCAAGGCTGAAGATGACTCAGGGCCCAGCTGTCACCGCAGCAACACATGTCGTCGCCTAGCGATGGCGGTCTCCCAGCAACGGTCGTTTCCTAGCAATGGGATATTTTCCCGGTCCTGGCTGGAGCCAGCAGCTATTTTTAGCTTGGTTGCAAATCAATCGGCAGCTGCATTTTGGGCTCCTTAGGAGAAGCAAGGTGTGTGTGTGTGTGTGTGTGTGTGTGTGTGTGTGTGTGTGTATAGGGGTGTTTCTTGGCAAAAGGAGAAAAACACCCAAGATAGGAATCTTGCTGCCTAGTCTCTTGAGGTGCAGGGGTGAAGGTGAGAGAGGCCAGATTCCATGGAGATGGGCAGGACCAGAGGTTGTGAAGCTGGCCTGGGACAGGTGGCAGTGATGTCCTGTGCGGTCCCTGGGAGCTCATTCCCAAGGCCATTGGCATTTTGTTGTAGTCAGGGTTTACAAGGGAAAAATTTGATACAGGACACATAATTTATAGGATTATTTTAAATATTCATCCAAAGAGTCAAATGCAAAAGAATGCAGGAGATCTGTCCACACACTAGAGACCCAAAGAATCCAGATGAGGACCTGAATCCCATGGCAATGTCCTCCACAAGTCCAGCCAGAGGCCTAGAGCCCATGACAATGTCTCAGGCAAGTCTGTATCAAGGATCTGCACTGGGAAGGCCCAAAGGTCAGTGGTAAAATCTAGAAAGTCTGCACCAGTGGAGTGAAGGATCTGTGCGAGCAGGCTGAAGGATCTGCACTACAGCTATGAAGCGATGTTCAAGGTAAGGACTACAGCTCCCCTGAAAAGAACTGCAGCCATCTTCAGTGACAGCAAGGACCTGAGCTCCTCTGATGATGAGAACAGCTGAGTTCATATCAGGAAACCCAGTGTGACAAGCTTCTCCAGGAGAATGAACAGCACAACCTCTTCCCCTCCAGTTCTCCTTTTATGTTGTTGGAAACAATCTTCAAGTGGGCCTTCTGTACCCAGAACTGTGCTGATTCACTTCAGCTGGGTGTCACAAGTTGACCATTAGTTAACCCACCATACTTTTGAATTCTGAGGCTCTGTATGTCAAGCCAGGCAGGTTGCCCCAGGCCAGTGCTCATGGTGAGTGTTACTAGAACATATTAGTGGGTGGTCCTGGTACCTCCTGTCCCTCAGTGGTGGGAACTATCTCCACTGTTCCCAGACACCAGCTCCACCAAGAAATATATCCCTCTCCCTGGTCAGCCAGCAGACTCAGCATATTCCTAGTTGGACAGGTCTGGGTATCATGAGATCAGTTGGGGACACATGCAGGGCTAGCCTCAGGTCATCACATCTCTCCTTTGCCAGGTTGCTAGTGAAATATGAGACCCAGGTTGGGTGGTCTTGGGCAAGTGGGAGATCTCATTTCTCTTTGGGCTTTCTCACTGTGTCCTCAGAGGCTCTGTCCACTGGTGCCTTGAAGCCAAGCCCAAATTCTCCATTACTCCTTGTCAGGAGTACTCCTTGTCTGAACCCAGCATTTCCCTGTCTACCTGCAGAGAAATCACTTGCCTCCCATTATGTCCTTGCCTGATGGTGGGGCTGACTGCCCCTGGCCCTGCATAGGGAGGGTCCAGCTCTGTTATGGTTTGTGTCTAGATGTCCCCAGAAAGCCTCCTGCGGTCATGAAGCAGTGCTTTTTGGAGGTGGCTGAATCTAGAGTTTGTGACTGGATCATTGCTAGTGCTGGGATTGGGAGTGTGAGTGCTACACCTGCCCTAGGGCTGGTGTATGTCTGCATACAATATAAGGGAGGAAAAGAGGCTTGCTTCCTGCCTTTGCTCTTGTTGCTTTGTGGCCCTCTGCCATGCCAGCCTGCCTTGGAGCCAGCCGATTACAGGATGAAACCTCTATAACCTATGAGCTAAATAAACCTTTTTCCCCTTAATTTTGGGTGTCAGGTATTTTGTCTCAGCAACAAGAGAAAAGTAACTAACACAAGCTCACTGTAGAAGCAATACCACAACCCTCAGCATGACAGCACCTGTGTCATGGGGCGATGCTGGCAATGAGCAGCCTGAGGGGGCCAACACTCTGACAGGGACAGAGGCTGCCACTGCTTGTACCCAAGCACTCATCAGGCTGCACTTCCAAAGACCCTCTGCAGAAGCCAGCACAGACACCAGGATTCAGGTTTCAGGATGGGCTCCAGGCTGGCCACCTCTTGTTGGTTCAGAGGGCTTTAGGATACTGATGCCCACGTGGCCAAATTCAGGCAGAGGAGCAGTCTGGAGAAATGGGCAACAATTCTGGTTCTGCACTCTCCCAGAGGGGGGCAGAAACCATGCACCATGCCTACCTTCCTGAAGCACATTCTGAGGAGGTTTTTGAGTCCTTCCTGGTTCTGTCATTTTCACTTAGGTGAGAACAGGGAGTGGCTACTTTGGTGGGGGTCATGGCCTCTGAGAGTCTGGAGATGGGGACACTTAAGGACACCCCAGACTGTAAGTAGCTGAGGGAGTTACCTGAAATTTAGAAGTCATTCTTTCACTTATCCACTTATTATTCTCTAGGTATTAGTTGAGCACCAGTATCCAGGTGTGTCATGTTTTATACCCACAGCAATGCAGCTCAGACATGGCCTTCTGGACTCCCTGCCCATGGGTAACAGAGGCCCGATGGCAAGTGATGCCAACACGTTTCCCCAGGTGGGGCCAGGAGCTGTGGGAAGTGGCATGTGTCCAGATCTTCTCCCATGGTGACAGTATCACTGGCAGGCCCCTAAAAGATGAGGCTGGAGTGAGAGGCTGAAAGCACGGCAAGCCCAGCATTGAGGAGGCAACTCAAGCCAGGTGTGTGCCTCTCTAAGACCAGGTCATCCCTGGAGAAACCTCTTGTACCCAGGACAGTGGCCCATCCTCTGGGCAAAGACTGGGGTAGGAGGTTAGGAGCATGAGGCTCTCCAGAGGCCAATCTGAGGCTGACTCATCACAGTGCCACCAGAGGGTGCCCGGAGCCCACTGTCTGCCTCAAAGGCTTAAACTAGGATGGCCCATTACCCTAGTGACCACCAAGAAGTAGCTCTGTGGCTTCTGGGCATGCACAGTTGTATCCAACTGGGGTGTCCACTTCCTCTGTGAGTACCTGCGTGCCTGTTATGTCTCCACTGTAACCTTTCCTCTCTTGCTTTTTTCAGCACTGAGGATGGAAACCAGGGCCTCATGCATGTCAGACAAATGCTCTACACTGAGCTGCACTCCACCCTTTTTATAATGAGACAAGGTTTCACTAAATTGCTCAAACTAGCTTTAAACCTGTCATCCTCCTTCAGTTCCCCAGCAGGTGGGATTACAGGTGGGCCAAACTATGCCCAGCGTCTTTTTAATTTTACTTACCTACCCCCGCTATTTATTTTTACAATAGGATCTCACTATGTAGTTAAGGCTAGCCTGGAAGTCAGTATTCAAGGTCGGTCTTTTTTTAATTTTATTTTTAAAAAACCCCACAAAATTTCAAAACAAGATAATACGAGAGTAACAATGGTTAATACATTGCATACTATTATATTTAAATTAGTTACTCAGAGTACAAGATACAGGCATTTAATCATCCAAGCAATATTAGCACAAACTTTTCAACTAGGAGAAGTTAGTAGTATAACTATCTTAACTAGTATATTGTATATATTTCTTTTCCCTTCCTTTTCTCCTTTCCCTATCCCAGTTTCTCTTTCCTCTTGTGCCCCTCTGCCATGCAGTTTCTTCCCACTTTACAGTATCTATTGTACATTTTGGATCTTATTTACTCTTTCAACTTCTCACACTAGGAAGACAATATGATGTTTATACATGTGAGTCTGCTTTATTTCACTTGTGAGTATGGTCTCAAGTTGCCATCTATTTACCTATAAAATTTTCCTCAGTTTATCCATCCTTATGGCTGAGTAGTACTCCATTGTATAAAAAGACCACATCTTTTTATCTATTTCTCAGTTGATGGGCATTTGGGTTATTTCAAAGATCTAGCTATTACAAATTGTGCTGCTATAAACATGGGTGCACATATATCACTGTGGTACAATGTTTTTAATTCTTCTTAGAAGAAACCCAGAAGGGGAATAGCTGAGTTAAGTGGGACTCCAATCCTAGTTTCTTGAGGAATCTCCATACTGATTTTCATAGTAGTTGCACCAGTCTGCATGCCCACCAACAGTGGAGAAGTGTTCCTTTTTCCCCACAGTCCCTCCAGCAATTGTTATTGGTTCATTTTTTAAGGCCAATTTGAACTGCATAGTTGGACCCTGTCTCAAAAAAAGTATTATTACTGGATGCTGGGGATTGAACTCAGGAGCTTGCACATGCCAGGCATGTAATCTATCGCTAAGCTACAGTCCCACCCCATTGTAACCAAGGACAGATGTATTACCTTTCCCATGCTGGGACACAATACCATCTTTTCTCTACTATGGCATCATGCCACGATGTTTCTGCTTTGGGTAAAGCAGACTATGGACTGAATCCCCTGAAACTGTGAGCAAAATAAAATGTACAATAGATATTGTAAAATTGGGGGTGTCAGGTATTGTGTACAGTTTGGTAGTGTTATGTACATTTTTCTTGTTGTATAACCAATCTCCAAGACTCTTTCCATCTTTCTAAACTGAAAAACATGTCCATTTTCACTTAAAATGTCTTCAAGCTTCATCCATATTATAAAAGGTGTGAAAACTTCATTCTTTTCTATCCTAAATAATAATAAACCATAGTGTGGAAATACCGCACATTCTTTATAACTTACCTGCTATGCTGTGTTAAGATTGTCAATTTAGCCAGGCGTGGTGGTGCATACCTAACCCCAGCACTTGGGAGGGTGAGGCAGGAGGATCATTGTGAGTTTAAGGCCAGCCTGGGCTACATAGTGAGACCCTGTCTCAAAACCCACAAAAACAAATAAAGAACCTAAACCAAAAAAACTGATGGACTTGTGGACTAGTAAAGCATACTTCTGGGTATGTCTGCATAGATCATGGAGATGTGACCTTGGTGCTACCAGTATATATGGTCTCTGGCCCTTTCCTGCCTGGCAATGTTCCTAAGCTCTGCTTCCCAGCCACCATGAACTAAGCATCTTTTCTCTGACGTACCTTCTCCCATGGTGTTTCTGCACTGGAGCCAGCTGAGCATGGACTGAATCCCTGATGCTGTGAGCAAAATTAAACCTCTTTTTTAAATTGAGGGTGTCGGGTATTATATCCTAGCACAGGAAAGTAATGTACCTGCCCCTGGACACTGGAGTTATTTTTTTTTAAGAGTAGAATATATTTATTGAGGGAAAGAAAAGAAAGCTTCTGTCCAAGAGAGGGACAGAAGTGGGGAGGTGAATTATTTTGGCTACTGTCATTTTATATTCTGACCCCCTTGCCAGGGGCAAGGGGCCAACTGAGCCCTCCTGGCGCTCTCACCGATCTGGAAGGGTCTTGGGGTGAGAAGAAGGGTGACCAGTGTTTTGAAGCTCTCTTTTGGGTTCCCAGGGGATCTAATAGATCCCTCCCATTGAGGCCCTTGACATCTCTCAGATGTGAGGGATGGCCCAGGGCAGCAGAAGGAGTAGGGGGCAGTGGGCTGCCTTTTCACACCTACCTGCTGCACAGTCCCTGGCTCCTGTGCATATCTGGGGTTTCCTAGCTGGTTAAACCCTTCAGGATGGCCTGCTGGGAAGCCCACTACTCCCCCAGCCCGATTCTGGGCATTTTTGAGTGTCTTTCATGACAGCTGACCAGGGTCAGTGGGGCTCTGCCTCTGTGGTTTGGGTGCTTTCTGCTCACCATTCCTGGGTCACAGACCTGCCTGGCACTGGTGGCTCCCACATGCTAGCCCTAGTGAGCCAGTTTTTTCACTATTCATTCAACAATCATAGTGTGTGTAGCATGGGTCTGAGAAAAAGATGTTGCCAAAAGAGGGTCCACCCTACCTAGGTTACTTAGTCCAGAGCTTGCCATGGACCTTTTGCCAGATGGCCTTCCCAAACCCAAAGCTGGCCTAGCCCCAGGCCAGCCAGCATCCACCCCTCCCCACATGGCTACAACTCCTCTTTCTTGGGGTACCAGGTGGGGGCCCCATGCGGGCTAGAAGCTCAGCTTTTTCCCTCAGGAAAAGCCTCTCCCACCTCCCACTCCATAAGTTCCGGTGGGCTGCGGCCCTCCAGTACCCACCCCAAGGACTTCAGAACTAGGGACAATGCTCTGACCAGGGAAGAGGAGGTAGGGCGAGGCTGGGACGGCTGCACTTCCCTCCCACCCTCTGGAAGCCCTGGCAGTGGACTGTCCCTCTAGCAGCGTGCCCACCCGGCCTCCGTGATTGGCTGGAAGTTCCGGAGCCCGTGGCTATTGGCCGCGTGCCAAAGCCCTGCCCCCTATTCCTGAGCCGGGAGACCGGCTGCAGGCTTTCAGCGCTGAGTTAGGGCCGCCGGTGGAAGGGGACGCACCGGGCCGGGCCGTGGCGCCCTGCCCCGGGGCTGTAGCCCTAAACCCCGACCCAGCCCGTGGTGCGTCCCCGCGGCATGCCGCCCTCCGCGCTGTTTTGCGCGCTTTGCTGTGGGCTCCTAGCTGTGTCTGTGCGTGCCGGCTACTCCGCGGACCGCTGCAGTTGGAGGGGCAGGTACGAGCCGCGGGGCGCCGGCTGTGTCCCCTCGGAGGGGCGGGGGACAGCGTCTTGCCCATCTTGGGTGTGCTCTCTGGGAATCAGGGCCACGCTGGACCGCGGCCTCCGCTGATGGAGCGGGGAGTGGGGCGCGGGCAGCGGGCATCGGGCGCAGGCCCCTTGCCTCAGCGCCACCGTCCTGTCCCCAGCGGCCTGACCCAGGAACCAGGCAGCGTGGGGCAGCTAGCCCTGGCCTGTGCGGAGGGCGCCGTCGAGTGGCTGTACCCAGTTGGGGCACTGCGCCTGGCTCTGGGCGGCCCAGACCCCAGCACGCGGCCAGGAGTCGCCTGCCTGCGTCCCTCGCGGCCTTTCGCTGGCGCACAGGTCTTCGCGGAGCGCACAGGTGGCGCCCTGGAGCTGCTACTGGCCGAAGGCCCTGGCCTGGCTGGCGGGCGCTGCGTCCACTGGGGTCCCCGCGAGCGCCGGGCCCTCTTCCTACAGGCCACTCCGCACCGTGACATCAGCCGCCGCGTGGCTGCCTTCCGCTTCGAGCTGCGCGAGGATGGGCGTCCAGAGTTGCCGCCCCAGGTCCCCGGCCTTGGCGTGAATGGTGAGTGACCGCTGGGGTGGGAAGCGGTGGGACTCACAGATTCGGCCTGGCCAGAATGGGCCCTGTCATCCCAAGGCACTGAGGGTCCCAAAGCTGTGGGTAGGTGGGAAGACGTGGGGAAGCCCTGCCCTCTCTCTTTCCTGCTCAGGATTAATTTTAAGGAGGAGCAGGCTGGTGAGTGCAGGAGAAGATGTTCAGGGGAACTTCGGACCCCTGGTCCCTGAAGGGGTGGGGGAAGGGCAGAGAGAGATTCTCAGCGGACAGAGCTGTCCAGAGCTCCCTGGCCTGGCAGTGACCTCATGCCCCTCCCCCAGCCCAGCCAACAAAAGTGTACTGTGCTGCGCATCACCATGGAGACAGTGCCTTGCCTCCCTGCAGGGCACCAGGCCCAGCTCTTTGCTCTCCTGGAGCCTGCAGCCTGACCTTGCAGGGGATTGGGCTATCACTGTTTGGCTCTTTTAGGCTAAGGACACAAGAAGCTAGAGCCCCCATAACCTGCTGCTGCCCTAGCTGCACTGCTGCTCTTCGGGCCTCAGGAGTTAGCTCTGGGAGCTCAAAGAAGGTTCTCCAATACTGGTGCGTGTATGTGAGATGGAGTGCCAGTGTGCGGGATGCTGGAGCTCCAAGTGGCAAGTGCTATGGCCCGCTAGGCCTGTGTCTGTACATTCATACCATGGAGGCTTGTGCCTGCCACACATAACCTGAGCATAGGTGCCTTCAGTGTTGTGAGCACACCTACTGAGAAGATTCTGCGCACTAGCTCCCCCCACTCCCTTCTTCTATTGTGTTGGGTGGTGATACGGGACCTTAGGACTCATGCTATCCTCTGCACACCAGGTGCCTGCAGGCCTTGCAGTGATGCCGAGCTTCTCCTGGCTGCATGCACCAGTGATTTTGGTGAGTGTCCGCATTGTGGCAGGAGCCTGGAGCCTCTCCTCCACCCCACAATGCTCAGCACTGGCCAACATGTCTCCCCATAGTGATCCATGGGACCATCCACCAGGTTGCTCATGATACAGAGCTGCAGGAATCTGTCATCACTGTGGTGGCCTCCCGTGTCCTCCGTCAGACGCTGCCACTGTTCCTGGTGGGGGGTGCTGAGGGCCAGAAGCAGGCCTCCATTAGAACACTGCTGCGCTGTGGTGTCCGCCCTGGCCCAGGCACCTTCCTCTTTATGGGCTGGAGCCGCTTTGGTGAGGCCTGGCTGGGCTGTGCTCCCCGCTTCCAGGAGTTCAGACGTGCCTATGCAGCTGCCCATGCTGCCCGCCTCAACCCCTGTGAGGTGGCATTGGACTGAGCCTTCCTCTGGGGCAGGGTGCTGGGGAGGGGTTTCTGGGAGGGTCGGTGGGGAGACAGTGGCCCCCAGATGGCATCATGATGCTCAGTGCTTCTGAGGTGATAATAAGAACATTAACCATACCAGCCACTGTAGAATTGGTTTCCTGTGGCAAGCCCAGCCCTGGACCTGTCTCATGTCATTTAATCTTCCTTCTGCTTCTCCTGCCCACCTCTTCTTAGTGGTGGCCCTTGGCTTACTGACAGGCTGCTGTAGGCCTCCATAGCAGGGTGCTTCTGGGGCTCAGAGCAGGAGTGGGAAAGCTGCCAGTTCCTAGTGCCTAAGTTGTTGGGGTCCCTTAGGTGGACTGCAAGGGCAGGTTGGCAGGCATCATTCTTGGCTCTGGACTAGGCCTGTGAGAGAAGGAGCTGGCAAGATGCCAATTCTCTCTGTAGTTGCTGTGAACTACAGTCATCCTTGGCCTGGTCCTGCCCTTGGGAAAGAATGGGCCCCTCTGTCCAGAGGCCCATGCAACGTGCTGAGCATCCAGACGCAGCAAGGAGCTTGCAGGGTGTGGGGTCTCCACTGCAGGATCCTGTTTGTTGTCTGTTTCCGGCAGGCAGGGTGCACAATAGGGTCTCTAAGGACTGTTTCCCGCCACTGGCCCCATTGTTGCTGTCCCTGCCTTCCTCCTCAGCCTCTTCATAAAGCAGTAAGAAGTTTCTGGAGAAAGCTGAGTCCTGAGGCTGACGGCCCCTGGGCAGATCCGTCTCACCTCACCCTCTCAGCTCAAAGAAACCCTAGGCTGAGCCCCAGAAGTGGCTTTCCATTCTTGCCTGTCTTCACTAGGGAAGGGGTCAAGGGTGGGGTGAAGGCCAGAGGCGCTGCTGAGGCTGAAGGATCCCTCATCTTTCAGGCAAGAAACAGGCTGGGAGAGGATCAAGGCTGTTCAGGGCCCACAGAGCCTTGTTCCAGACTGAGCTGACAAAGGCACCCTGTGTGTGGACACTCAGTGGGTCACCCAGGAATCCTCATGGAACAGCCTTTTTCCCTCCAATTTTTTTTTACTAGTACAGTTCACTGTACATTATGATCATATTACTTGTGGGGAATTGGTATAATCATATAACCCAATTCTTTTATCCCTTTCCTCTCCCCTCCCTCCATGTCTTGGTCCCCAGGGACAGGCTGTTTTAAACTGCACATGCAGATGCTTTACTTAGATCACTTGCTCACTGTGATGCTGACAAGAATGGTGGGCCCTGGGCTCAATCCTCCCCCAAAAAAGTGTGGGTGAACATGAAGCCTGGGGCTACCAAAGTGGCCTGGGTGCTGGGTGTGATGACGCATGGCTGTAATCCTACCACTCCAGAGGCTGAAGCAGGAGGATCACTGTGAATTTGAGGCCATCCTGGGCTACATACATAGTGAGTTTAAGGACAGCCTGAACTACATAGTGAGACCTTGTATCAAGAGAAAAAAAAAGGTGGCCTGGGGACCCTGTGTAGGATGACACCTCCAGATGCATGCAAACTCCAAGTAGGCCCCCTTGGCTATAGAGTGCCCAAAGGCCAAGGGGCAGTGTTTGATGTGAATGTGAGAGTGGTTAAGTTGCACTGTTGAGGGCCTTTCAGGTGCCAGGCACTGTTCTGGGACTAGAAATAATGCAAGGAGCAGCAGAGCCAAGAATGGGTACCTAAGCCCTCCCAGCCCAGAGCTCAGTGAGCATCTTTCCTTTGCTGGGATAGACCAGTTATAGCCCCTGAGGAGGGTGGGCATTCTGAGCTGGGTCGGACAGACCATCTTCTCTTTAATGTACAGAGGCTTTCCTGCCCTTTCCTGCTCTCCAGCTGACACGGGTCCTTCAGCTGACTTAGGCTGGAGTCCATGTATGAGCAGGAGTATGAGGGTCTGGTCTTGGGCATACCTACTTTGAAAGTAGTCTCATTTTTGCTGAGATTCCTGACTAGGTCCGTGGACAGCTGAGAAGCCAGGATAGGGTGTGTGCACTCACAAGCCTCTGACATTGATGGGCATTTGGCCTTAACATGGGGTGAAGAGGTTGTTCCAAGCTCCTGGACCCAAGGCTGTCCCTCCCCTTGCCTCTACCTCAGGGTTTTACCAGGAGCCCCTCAATTTTTTTTGTTTTCTGGAGGAGAGCGATCTGCCCCTCTCCTGAAGATGCCTTTCAACCCATGCTGGGCCAACTGCCAGAGGCCCAGCCTCTCACATCCGGCTCCCCTCCCACCCACCTCACTGGAGAGCCAACATCTGTGTTCTTGCCCACTAAATCTCTTTGCCAAGCCCCTCCTCTCTGCCTCTCTCCTTCAAAGCCCCTCCCCCACGCGCATCCCCCATTTCCCGCCTAGCTGTCCTAGCAGTGGGAGGGAACCCGAAGCCCATTCTCCCTGGGGGCGCTCCGAGTATGGCTGGCTTCCAGGGTGACCCAGCCTCCCTGTAACAGTCACATGGGAGCTTGGCTATGGCCCAGGGCCTGCAGGGGTAGGTGCTTTCCCGCCCCCGGGGAGCCAGTCCCTGCCTGCTTCTGTGCACCCCATCTCCAGCGCTAGGGTGTGTGTTCCACGAGGTTAGGGACTCATCCCCCTTCTCGGGGTCCCTGCATCACAACTCCCAAAGAGCTACCAGCCGCAGGCTCCGCAGGGGGCGGCAGGGCAGACCGTGACCGTAGGGCACCGCTGCCCGGAACCCAAAGGAGGGGCCTGGGCGGAGCCGGACGGAGCCAAACGCAAGACGGACCGCACGCGCGTGCCTCGTAGAACTTCCGGCGTCTCACCACCGCCTCTGCCCCGTCTGTGACTGCCGCCACGACTACCGGTAGGCGCGGGACGGACAGGATAGGAAGGGTGACACCCTTCAGTTCTGGGTTGGGGCGAAGGTCTCGGGCTACAGGCAAGGAAGAACCTTGGGAGGGACCACCCTGAGCCACATGTACCGCAGCCATGGAGCACGACGATCCAGCCGAAGCACTGACAGAGCTGCGCGAACGACGCGTGGGCGCACTGGAGCTGCTGCAGGTGGCGGCTGGGTCCGGGCTAGCCGCCTACGCCGTGTGGGCGCTACTGCTCCAGCCCGGCTTCCGTCGGGTGCCTCTGTGGCTGCAGGTGCGGGATGGGCGGGCCGGCGGGAGTGGCGGAGCCAGTAATAGTGAGAGGCCGGGCTCGGTGGGTGTGGCCGCAGCTGAGTGGGGCCAGGAAGGGAGCGGGGCCAAAGTGGTGTAAACAGGGCTGTAACTGAGGCTAAAGGCGGGACCTGACCTAGGCTGTGGGCGGAACGCAGTGGGGGTGCGGAACTCTTAGGTGCGTGGAGGCTGAAGCCCAGATGTGAGGTGAGCTTGTAGTTGGTTGGTACCTGCTGTAGGTGTGGCAGGCAGAAAACTGGATGCCCGGGAGGCAAGCCCCGCACTCCCCAGTAATTCGGAGAGGACCTGCGAGGGGCTCAGGTGGCCCACAGGCTCCGACCTGAGCCCATCCACTTCCTTGTCCAGGTGCCCTACGTAGGCGCGAGCACGCGGCAAGTTGAGCATGTGATGTCGCTGCTGCGAGGCCGCCCCGGAAAAACGGTGGATCTGGGCTCTGGCGACGGCAGAATCGTAAGGCCAACATGGGCGAGCGTGTGCGTCTGTTGTCTGTGTCTCTGTCCCCACCCCTACCTCCCGGTCCCCATTTCGGTGTCTGCAGGTGCTGGCGGCCCACAGATGCGGGCTCCGTCCGGCTGTGGGGTACGAACTGAACCCGTGGCTTGTGGGCCTGGCGCGGCTGCATGCCTGGAGAGCTGGTTGCCAGCGCAGCGTCTGCTATTTCCGGGAGGATCTTTGGAAGGTAACCTAGACCCCTTGGACCCTACACCTGGTCTCCATTCCTCCTCTTTTAGCTTGGCTTCTGTCAGGTGCTTCTGCCAGCAAGGTGGGTTAGGGGCCAGGACTCAGAAACTATAGGGACCTCCCGCCAGCCAGCCTCTTCCTCTGAGAGGTGACTGCCTCCTCCCACAGGTCAGCCTGAGGGACTGCTACAACGTGTCTGTGTTCCTGGCTCCCAGTGTGGTAGGTCTGGGGTCAGTTGCCCCACTGGGAGGCTGGGCCACACCCTGGGTATTTGCTAGGGGTTGGGGGCTGCTGCTCCTGCATCCATTTCCCTACTGCTTTCTCCAACAGCTCCCGCTCCTGGAGGATAAACTGCAGGCAGAACTGCCCACAGGGGCCCGTGTGGTGTCTGGGCGTTTCCCTCTCCCCACCTGGAAGCCTGTAGCTGTGGTGGGTGAAGGCCTGGACCGAGTCTGGGCTTACGACATCCATGGTGATGGACCACCTCTGACTTCTTGGGAGGTGCCCGTCAAAGCCACCCCAGGACCCAGTTCTACCTCAGTCCTCAAGGCCCCCCATTTCCCAGGTTAGCTGACTGGACACAATAAAGACTCCATGGGTCTCATGCTGACTTCTTTCATAGTGAGTTGCGGGGAGAGGTGACCCCATACACTGAGGCTGGGGTTTGGGGAGGGGTCCATGCTGGCTTGCAGAGGTCTGATCTGTGCTCTTTGGAAGACTGCCTACTGGCTTAGTGGCTGTGGGTCCTTGAATGCTGGGGCTTGGCTGCAGGTGTGGCCCCTGCTTTCCAGGGGTCCCCTGTACCCACCAGCTTCCTCAGCCTCAGGATTTCTTGCTTGTACCTGCTCAGAGGGGCCAGCTGAAGTCACTTGCTTGACCAGGGATATTCTTCCCTCCCACCCAGACCAAGGCCACGGGTGACTCAGCCAACCTGCCCAGGTGCTGGTCCACATACTCCTGAAGCTCAGAAAGCTGCTCCTCGGCCACAAAGGCCCTGACCAACAGCTGTGCCCGTTCATGTTCCAGCTCCGCCTGGTAGGGAGCATGAGCCATGAGCCAGGGCAGAGTGTTAGGAGGGCCCCCACCAGGCCTTGCCCACTACCTGAGTGCCTTGGGAGAAGTCTTGGAGCTTCTGGCAGATCTGAACGCAGGATGCAGTATGTAGACCCCTGTGGGGCAGAGGGTGGTGCAGCTCAAGGGCTGGTGTAGTAGCTGCTGGGGTGAGTTTAGGACAGCCTTACGCAGGCCTGGGCAGATCTGTGCCTGAAGGGCCTGCTGACTGGCTCAAACAACCTCAGCCTACAGAGGTACTACCCACAAACACATACAGGTCCCTAAACCAGGAGAGGTGCTCCCTCAAGACCTCTGCTCACTGTAGGGCTGGGAAGGTGGACACCCAGAGGCAAGAACTAGCTGGGTCACCAGGCAGCCAGCTCTCACCCTGTCTTCATCTCTGTGTTTCTCCAGGTCTTAGCTGAAATAGCCCTTCCTTAGTGGGCTCTCCTGACCTCATTCAAGGTTGACCCCTCTCCTGGCAAGGCCCCTCTTTATTGACTAGACTCTTAGCATAGCAACCACTTCTCTGTGTTCCTCATACAAACCCAGAGATCCCAGATCAGGGACAGCCCATTGGCACCAGAGCCCCATGTAGCACCAAGGGTTGTTGGAATGATTGAATGGTGTGGGGCTGTGGTGTTCTGCTTTCCCCTTCTGCAAATGAGGGCACTTACTGTGGCTCTGCTGCACCCCCTTGAGAGGCTTCACCAGGTCCCTTCTGTGGGTAGAAAAGCAGTGTTCCAAGCCTGCTGTGCTGCAGAGGTTCAAGGCAGGGATCCCTCAGTTGGCTGAGCAGGGTAGGCTGCTCAGAGGCCATGGGACTGGGGCTTTGCTGAGCCTGAGACAGGCCTGTGGTGAGCTCTGGGGCTCTGTGCCCCAAGGCAGTGTGGAGTACCTGGAGCTTCTGGAAATGGATCTCCAGCCTCACCTTATCGTCCTGCAGGTGACTGAGCTCAGTGGCCAGATTCACAGGCAGTGATTCCAGGTCAGTGGTTGCAGCAAAGGTAGCCTTGAGGGTTCCAGGTGCCCTGTTGGGGTCCACCAGTGGCTGGGGCTGCTTCTGCTGCATACTAAACCACATTCCAGGTCATGTAAGGCCATCCCACCCCAGGTGCCCAGGTCAGGGCGGGGCCCACCTGCAAGTGACCAGTAGCTCCTCATGCCTACAGCTCAGATCTGCCAAATGTTTGCGGTAGGCCCGAGCAGCCCGTGCTAGCTGTTGCTCACGGTTGTGGTGTGCTGCCCGGATATTCTCCAGAGTGGCCTCTAGGAACGTCTGAAGGCCTGCTTGGCCTGTACCATCAGCATATTTCTGGAGGAGATGAGGCATGCTGTAGCTGGGCAGGGCAGGGCTTTGCTGGGCCTAACCCCAGACCCTTGGGGTTCCCTGAAGCTGTCTAGGAGGCTTGGGTTCTCTAGAACTCAGAGGCCTCTGCTTGCCCATCCCAGGGTCAGGGCCTATGGCCAGGTGCTCACCACCACCTCTTGGGCACAATGCTGCAGCCGGATGGCATACTCTTCATTCAGCTTCTTCAGCTTCAGCTGCAGCTGGGCATTCTCAGCCTTGGTTTGGCAGAGCTGGCCCTGGCAGGTGGACAGCACCTGGGTTGGAGGAAGGACTTTTACTGAACTTGTAGGGCCTTCACTGTGGATCTCAAAGCTTATAGGATGGGGTAGGGCCTCACCACAGCTTGTGCAGCCAGTTGCTGCTTGGCTGCCCTGGCATCCTCTTGGGCTCCCTGAAGCTGCTGGCCCAGGGCTGCCCTGCTGACACAGTGTGAAGTCAATCAGACCAGGTTGAGGGGCTTCCTCAGTACCTTGGGAATGCTGCTCTGAGCAGTGCCCTGCAGGGCCCTCCCAGTCCCAGGTGAGGAAAGCACTCACATCCGTGTCTCTAGTGCCTGCTGCTGGGCCTTGTGATGCTCCAGCGCCTGCTTTACTTCTTGTAGCTGCTCCCAGCCTCCCAGTAGCTGTGGGGTACACAGGGCTGGATGTATGAGCCCCCAGCTCCAGGATCCCTCTACTGCCCCCATTGTCATCCCAGGTTGGGAGAACCCCAGGCAGGCCCCCAAGGAGGGTTGCCTGCTCATGTTGCTTCTGGCTTCACTGCTCAAGCTCAGGGGTCAGCATACCCTTGAACTGGAGGGCAGGGAAGGGAGTGCTGAAGTGTGGATACACATGTTCCATCTCACTGTACCCTGTGGAGGCTCCCACCCGCTCAACTAGCCCAACTCTGATGACCTGGAGTCTGCGGTGATCAGTGCATTCAGGTGCCTTGGCTTTCTGACTGAACTCTTGTGCTAGTGCCTGGTGGTGATCTGGGTTGGCCTCCACCGGGGCTGTGCACCCTGGCCTGGCATGATCTCCATGCAGCTCCAGCTCTAGCACCCGGCTCTCCAGGCGAAGGACCTGTGGGGAACTCTGGTGAGCGGTACACCTGTCTGTGGAGCCACTTGGATCAGGTAAATATTAGCTGGGCACACCTAGGGACAGAGCACACATGCTTGTGTGTGCATGGTTGTATCTGCACGCTTATATACTTGGAAGCCTGTGGCACTTGTCTTAGTGTACAGCCTGTGCACTTAGGCTGACACCTGTGGGCTTGTACAACTGCTCACCTCCTTTTTTAGCTCGAAAACTTCTGCCTCATGCTGCTCCTGCAGGCGATGGGTTGTGATCTGAAGGTTGACCAGCTCCTTAGAGATCTGTGTGTGGCCAGGGTGAGACTGCTGCTTGTGGGACCCTGTGGATGACCAGTCTGGCCATTACCCTGGGGGCCCCAAACTCACCTGTAACCGCTGCTCCTCACTCAGCTCCAGATCTGACAGAAACTGTGACTCTAGATTGGTGGCCCAGGCTGGAACACCCTCAGGGAGCAGGGAGCAGGGCTCTGCTGGCAGCCAGTCCTTGACTCGTGGTACAAGCTGGGGAGGCACCACCTGTGCTCAGGTGTGTCCCAGGTCTGAGCTGTGGCCCCCACTCACAGAATCACCATCCTGCCAGCCCTGCCAAGCTGGGGCAGCCCTTTCCTTGGCAGAATCAGACCTAGGAGTCAGGGACCTCTACCCTTCCTGACCTCTGGGAAAGGAAGGACCCATGACCTTTCGTGGCAGCAGAATCCGCGGGGGACTCACATTCTCTGTGGCCTGAGGGAGGGCCCCTGGCCTGGGGCCTTGGGCTGCTGGACCCTCCATACAGAACAGGAACTCAGGCCTCTCGCAAACCCAGTGTCTCTACTTGCCCTGCCCTGCCCTGCCTGGTGGTTGTTGCTACACGCTGTGCAGCGTTACCAAGGCCTCTGTTGGTCTTAGGCACTCCAGGGCCCGCCCACAAGGCCCAGGCAATTCAGTAGTGGTCAGGTAGGGGGAACTCTCAACTTTTTCCATATATGGTGCCCCTCCTTCCTGGATACCTTTCTTCATTTTGGGAAATGCAAATAGAACTAGGGTGCTGACCTAAAGCTGCTGCTGTTGGTACTGTTGTCCTATGCCAGATGCCCTGTCCTACCATGTGGATTTACATACTTATTAGACACCTTGTGTGCAACCCGTTTGTGCTGGCCGAACCTGGGATAGGCAGGTGAACAAGTTCGACAGCCCTCCCCAACCCAGTCTGAGAAACGGGAGCAGATGTCCCAGCCAGAGGCCAGGGCCCTGGAAAGCTTGGCATACATTGGTCGGATGTCTGGAGGGCTTCCCGGAGGAAGTGCCCAAAATCTGGCGAGGTGGGCACTGGTCGAAGTGTGAACGCTGCATCTCACAGGACAGGCACGCTCCCTCCTGCGCACGCGCGTTCCCTAGGCCGCGAGTCCGGCGGTTCCGTTGCTCAGACGCTAGCTCTCCAGGCCCGGTGACCGGTGGCCCAAGGTCCTACTTCTATCCATCAGTCCTCGTGTACCTTCCAGATCATCCTTGCAGGTGCCAGTGAGGTGGCAGCGAAAACAGGCTGTCCTGGGTCTGGGGTCCTGCTGCGGGGAGGGGCCTGCAGAAGAGGCGCGGCCTGCTGGGTCTGGGGGTGTGGCCTGGAGGGAAACCACACTGAGCGGCCTGTGGGCGTGGCTCCCTGGGAGGAGGTGCTGCCTTGAGGGGAGGGGCCTATAGAAGAGGCGTGACCTGCCGGCCTGGGGCAGGTCCTGGGAAAAAAAGTCACTGTACAGTCCGGGGAAGGTGGGCCTGTGAAGAGGGGCGGGGCTGCATTGTCTCCAAAGCCTGCTAGAACCTGGAATTTTATGCGGGTCATCTGGGTAGTTTCTGGAAGAGAAAGCAGAGCTTTGCTTTCACTGTGTGCCCGCGCGTGCGTGTGTGCCCACCCTGCCTCTCACAGCTCAGTAGCCTGGGGTCCTCTTGGAGGCACGAGCAGGTGAGTCTTGCGACTATGAAGGTTAAGGTCATCCCTGTGCTTGAGGACAACTGCATGTACCTGATCATCGAAAAGCACACGTGGGAGGCTGTGGTGGTGGATGTCGCTGTGGCCAAGAGGGTGAGGGCCCTGTGCCACCACTGCCTACCCCCTCTGGTAAGAGTCCCAGTCACCCTGGCTGGATCAGACCAGGCCTGTAGGCTCTGGTCATTTGGCATTTGAAGTTTATTATCTGGGCGCTCTCCTGCAGTTGTGGGCATCTTTGATGTCCCCACAGATGCTGTGCACCTAGTAATTGTCAGATGCCTCTCTCACCACGTGATGCCCTGGGTTAGGATTAGGGTCCTGGTGCTTGAGTATGGGAAGAGGCAATTGCTCTGAATGTCTGCATCACCCAAGCTCCATCCCTTCCAGTTGCTGGAGATTGCAGGCCGGGAGGGGGTGTTGCTAACTGCCGTGCTGACTACCCATCACCACCGGTGAGCTTGGGCATCGGGGGTGGAAGGACTCCTCTCCTACACTGCGCAGCTCTGACTGGTGCCTGCTGGTCTCCAGGGACCATGCGCATGGGAATGAGGAGCTGACACAGCTGCAGCCAGGGCTGGCGGTGATGGGTGCAGATAAGCGCATCTGTGCACTGACTCGAAAGCTGGCACATGGAGAGGAGCTTCAGGTGAGCCGTGCTCAGGAGGAATGCGAGGGCCTCAGCCACCCAGCCCCTTCACAGTCTGCTTCCCCTCTGCTCAAGTTTGGGGCCATACATGTCCAATGCCTGCTAACACCCGGCCACACCTCTGATCACATGAGTTATTTCCTATGGGAGGATGAGTGTCCAGATCCACCTGCCCTCTTCTCAGGTATTGCAACCCCTGGTTCACCCACCCCACTGCTCTGACCCGACCCTTGGTTTCTCTGACCCACCTTCATCCTCCAGGGGATGCACTGTCAGTGGCTAGTTGCAGCTGGCACCTGGAGGGCAGCACCCAGCACAGGTACCAGAGCCTTGCTGAGACCCTGGGCACCCTGCGCGCCCCCCAGACGGTGAGCAAGCGTTGGTGCTCCCTGTGGGTCCAGACCCTGCGTAGTGCTGTGCTTCCTCTGCAGTGATCGAAACGCTCTGTACTGCTCTGCCCTGGACCAGGGATCTGAGCACCTTCCCTGGCCTCCACTTGGGGCAGCACTGGGCACCCACTGAGCCCTCTCCTTCTCCAGAAGGTATTCTGTGGCCATGAGCACACACTAAACAACCTCGAGTTTGCAGATAAAGTGGAACCCTGCAGCAACCAAATGAAAGCCAAGCTGTCCTGGGCCTGAGTAGGCCACTCCTTGCCCTGTGTTGGGAGGGCTCTAGGGTGGGGGAGATAGGCAGTGTCCTCCTGGAGTTTAGGTGCAGGGACCTAAGTCAGCCCCAGAGTCAGAACGACTGGTTTCAGGAGCACAGCTGACCTGGGATGTGCTGTTGTGCTATGGCTCCCCTTGTGACCTGATCCAAGCAGCCTGGCCTGCCAGAAAAAGTCCAGTTTTTTTTTTTTTTTTTTTTTTTTGTTTTTTCTCCGGTACCGGGAACCGAACTCACGACCTTGTGCTTGCCAGGCAGGTGCTTTGCTGCTGAGCTAAATCCCCAGCCCCTGAAAAAGTCCAGTTGTGACAAGGGCCTGTGGTCATTGCAGAAAAGCGATGAAGATGACATGCCCACTGTACCCTCAACCCTGGGAGAGGAGTTCCTGTACAATCCTTTCCTGAGGGAAGGGTAAGTATGGCCCCTTTCTGGGCCCTCTGGTGCTGGTGGTGGGGAGCTGAGCCAGGATCACTGGGGCAGCCTTGGGAAGCTGCTGGGCTTTCAGGCTCCCTGTGGTGGAGGAGGCTGGCAAGAGCTGCTTGGGGGCCTTGGGCCTCCTGGACAGTCACATGAATAGTTAGCATGGAGTCTGGAGACGGTTTATTGGGCTGAGTGTGCCTGGCACTAGGGAAAGCTGATAAGTGGTTTGTCATTATCTGCTGCCCTACCCACCCCCATCCCCATCCCAATCCCAGTGGGCGGTGGGCCACACCAGTGGGCCCCCCTAGTGTGCCCCTTCTCCCCCAGAGAGGAGCCAGTGCAAGAGTTCACAATCCGCACAGCCCCTGCGGAAGTCCTGGAGGTGCTCTGTGGGGAGCGAGCAGCCTTCCAGCATGCTGCTGAGCCACTGCAACTTCAGGGGCCAGCTCTCCTTGCGTTGCAGGGGGGACTGCTGGGTGAACCTGGGCAGAAATAACCCACAAAGGGAGCCTGCTTGCCTCGTGCCCCTCTGACTGACTGGACCCACTTGAGGATGGCCTGTGGAACCCTCCTGAGGCCCTGCCCAGCCAGCCACCCAATCTTAGAAGAACAGCAAATGGTGCTGTTGCTTACTGGGGTACAGGGAAGACCTCTGTAGGGCTTTGTGGGCCTGAGATAGGCCACCAGCCAGGACTCTGAACCCTGAATAAAGCTCTGAAAGACTTTTCTCAGTGCTGCCGATACTCTGAAAAGCCAGCTGTTTCCACAGTTGTTGGACATGTCCCTTTATTTGAAGTGAACTTTGGTGGGAGATGGGCCTAGGGTACCCAACATGGAGACATGCTTGCCCCAAAGACATGGGGGCCTGTCCTCGGCCCACGGCTTTGTAACATGCCCCACTTCCACAGCCCCAGGCTTCCCCTCTTTCCAGGCAGTTTCTGTGTGGGGCTGTTGTTGGAACCACTCAGCAGGTCCAGCCCTATCACTTGCTTTCTTCAGTCAGCTTCAGGTCAGCCTAGAAACCAGGGAGGAATCACCCCAGGAGTGGCTGCAGCCCTCAGAGCCAGGAAGAGCAAGGAAGGTATTCATGGACCTCATCCCTGGCCAAGGTTTGAGAGGCCTAGAGGATCTTTGGTCTCCTGGGCCACTTCATCCCTACCTGACAGGGCCAGTGCAGAGTCTGGAGGCATGCACTGGCCAGGTCCTGTATAGCCAGTGTCCTGCTTCAGTGCCCGTGGCCCACTTCAGTTTGGGGAGAACCCTGGGGTCTGCAGCTCTGCTTGGCCTTTTTGGGAATCCTAGTGCCGGTCCTGAGGGCTCCAGGAGACCCCCAGCCTCCTACCATCGGATGTTGAGACCTGAACTGGCCTTTTCCACAGCATGGTACTGTGTGTGCAGCAGGTGGTTGGCCCGCTCTGAGTCCTCACCCTGCAGCCAGTGTCGGTACAGCTCCTGGACTCCAGGGGTGTCCTCAGGTGTTTCAACCCTGATCATGCCATACAGTCTCTCCACCTGCTGGAGAAGCTCCCTGCCCGGTACATCTGGAGCCTTGAGCTGACCTCCACCATTCAAGCAGCCTGTGGCAGAGCAGATGGTGTGGGCATGGTATCAGGAGGCTGGGAGGCAGGAGTCCCAGAACACACCCCCTTCCCACTACTCCATCTCCAAATTCCACTAGCAGATCACTGCCCAAATGGTCCTAGTACCCTGAGAGGATCTACCTGAAGGGCAGGCCATGACCTCCACATAGTGATAGGGGCAGCGTCCCCGCTTGAGCTTCTGTACCAGGTTCTGGATGTTTCGAAAGCCGTAGGCCACAGCGAAGCGCAGCAGTACATGGCCCTCCTTCTCCAGGGTCACCTCCTGAAAGTCCTTATTTCTGGAAACAAGACTTTCTGTGTATACCACACAATGCTAAGCTTCTACCTGAGCAGGAAGAGACCTGCTGGGCCTGGGGGCATGGCCTGATGGCTCCTATCTTCTCTCCTGCCAGAAGAGGGACAACCACAGCCTGCTTCCTTGTCTGTAAGATGGGACTTTCTCTTTCCTAAAGATGGCTTTGAGGCACAAAGTCTTGGGCCTCTTTTTTTTTTTTTTTTTTTTTTTTTTTTTTTTTTTTTTTGTCTTTTTGAGACAGGGTCTCCCTATGCAGTTTAGGCTGGCCTTGAGCTCACTTTGTAGTCCAGGCTGGCCTCGAACTCGCAACAATCCTCCTGCCTCAGCCTCCTGAGTGCTGGGATTACAGGTGTGTGCCACCACACCCAGCCAGCTCTCCTACCCAGATGCAGGCAACACTCTAGCACACATACAAGCTGTGCTACTACCCTGTGTACACTGGCTTTTCTTGTTGTTTTTTGTCTTTTTGAGACAAGGGCTCACGATGCAGTTCAGGCTGGCCTTGAACTTGCAGCAATACTTCTGTCTCAGCCTCCCAAGTGCTGGAATTACAGGCATGTGCCACCATGCCCGGCTTGCACACTGGCTTTCCTGGTTCAGGGTCTCTACTGTGGGGTAAACAGAGGCCTCAATTCATATTGCCAAGCCAGCAAGGAGGGCCCTGTCAGTGCCCAGGCTCTGGGGTCTTTCACCAAGCCCATCTGAACAAGAGAACCCAGGGGCCTGGTGCTGGCCTAGGGAGCCACAGTTGCCCCGTCCAGCCTTCCAACCCATCCCACTGACCTCAGGGGTCTGTAGGTGACCTCAGCCACATGGATTCCGAAGAGCTCTTGGGCTGCGTGCCGGAACACATGCTCCAGGTAGCCACCCGAGCCCCCACCCCGATGGCTGGTGAGCTCCTTGGCAGACATACTGTGGGTCCTGGGGGAGGGGAAGTGAAGATGAAGGCAGGGCCTCACCACAACTACATGCTCCTCAGTTTAAGCTGTTTGGTTTTCTAAGTGGGAAACAAGTCACAGACACAAAGAATCCTGGTGGCCTTGGTGTGTCTGAGACACAGATGTGCTTCATTGGCTTTCTGGGGAGCTCAGACCTCCATAAGGCTAGCTCCACTGATGATATGAACTCAGGTCCTCTTGTAGCCCAAGATAGGCAACAGGGAAGAGAAGGCACTGTCCCATCCCACAGGTCACATCTGAAGCCGAAATAAAGGTTCCCAGCTTTCTCTACCAACTCACAGGCTGTCCAGAGGGGCTGGCTCCAGCTCTGCCAGTGATACACTTTCCTCTTCCAGCAGCCTGAAGACTTCCCCTGTAATGGACACAGCACGGGCTCAGGCTGAGCCTGGGCTTCCAGGCATCTGCATCTCTGGCAGTCTGCAATCTGCAGTGTGGCCCCAGAAGGGTCCCTGGCATCCACCCAGCTAGTGGCAGGAGGACCAGCCCATCTTTGAAGACCCTTGGGAGGAGCACCTTGCCCCTCCTCTGGGGGCAATGGGAAGGTAAGCCAGGGACACTGTGCTGATCCCATACTGGCTATCCAGACTCCTAGGCAGTTTATCTTTCCTGTCTCATTACTATCTGGGGTGCAGTTCAACTCAGAAATGGAGTGACAATGTGAGCCAAAGGGCTGGCCTTGAAACTCTTGCCTATCTACCCTGAGACTCACTGTGGAGACAACAAGGAGGTGCTACTGGGGCTCCTGTGGCTGAGGAGCAGGGTAAGGTAAGAATGCTCTCAACTCCTGGCCAGAAGGACAGACAGGAAATGCAGAGGCAAGCCGCCACCTCCCATTGGGCTATGGCAGAGCCTTGAGGGCAGGTGCCAGGCAGGACCTCAAGGTGACCATACCTGTTGTAAGGACACAGTCAACATCACGAGTCTGGTATTCCTGGTTGAAGAAGTCAGATCTGGAAGCTTCTAGCTTTTTGTCATAGCAGGGCATCACTGTGACGTGGTAGATCTTGTCAGGAGTCAGGTTCTATGATAGGAATACAGAAATATAAGTCCACCCCACTCAAATGTGGTGGAGGCATGACTGCAGACACCGTCACCAAAGGCTTCTGGCCAGCATGTGACCATGAGCCATGCAGCCAGCAGCCTTCCTGACAACTTGGTGGATGTGTCAGTAGATACTATAGGCTCCAGCCACAGCCAGGCTATGCCCCCAAGATTTAGGGAGGGCTCTCCCTGCCTTCACACTACTGGGGTCAGCAGGAAAGAGCAGGTCATGGCACAGATGAGGACAATCAAGGGAGTCTGGCTGAGTTCATAGCAAGGGAACATGGCAAGACTGAAGTTGGTTTAGTGCACAGTCAGCCTCTCCCTGCCCCTATGGCTATACTCCTATGCCCCTATGGTATCGGGGTCCTCACGCAGCTTCTTTCTTTCTTTTGTTTTTTTTTTTTTTCTTTTTTTTTAATAGCTTCTGAGCCGGGCTGGATTTAGCTACTGCTTCCAGACCCTGGTTACCTCTAGGCAAGTGACAAGTACCTTTCTGTCAGAACTGGGCCCCCTGGTGATCAGCAGAAGACAAACAGCTTTGGCAGCAGTAGGCTGGCTGAGCAGGAATAAGAGCAAGGCCAGGCTGCCTCTGGAGGAAGTGGCTATCAAGCTCTGCATGACCCCAAACACCTCCAGAAGGTGCTGTGGCCACAAGTGAGGGCTTTGACCTCCCACAGCTGCATACCAACGGGCTGGCATGGCCATCTGTGGCTTGTGGCTCACAGCTGGCCATGTTCTAGTGTGCTGCCTCAGGATGGCCCAAAGCTGTTACCTGCTGCTGGGCAAAGAAGTCCTTGACCAGGGAGCCCATGACCTGCTGTGGGGACCGGGCTGTGCTGATGTAGGGGAGGATGAAGCTGCCGTGGGTCTTCTCAGCATAGCAGATCCAGCCTGAGCCAACAGGAACACATGTCTTGGTAGGGGCACAGGGCAGGCCTGGGGGCGGTGCACAGACAGCCTCTCCACGTGGCATGACATGACATTCTGGGGGTGGACCAACTCATACAAAAAGTTGCAGTGGCATTAAAAAGCATTCCCATTCTGTCACCACCAGCACGTGGAGTGTCAGCATCCAGGTGATCGCCAACGGGAGCTGGTGCCTGCAGGTGACTCCTCAGGGCCCAGGATGCCCCCTCTCCCAACAGTCTATTGAGTGCCAACACTTCTCACCCACTCTTGCCTCCCCCTACCATCTTTCTTGTTTTCCCATGACAAGATGTTGCTATCATGTCAAGTTTTAACCTCCCTTGAACTTGAATCTCACACTGTAAGCCATGAGCACACCTGGACAGGCAGAAGCCAGCACGGGCAAGGTCTCTCTGGAGTCAGTCTGTCCTTGGAATCGCTGCACAAATTCTCGTTGGCTCTCAAGGAGGGTGAAGTTTCTGGAGAATGTGGTATCGAAGACGAAGTGTGCCCCTAGAAGGCAATGGAGGGCATGCATATGCCTGACCTCAGTCATAGTCAGAACGGCATCACAGAGGCTCTGCCTGCAGCAACAACACAGATGACACACACATAATCTGTCTCTCTCACACACACACCCCAAGCAGGGCTCTGCAGCACCTCAGATGTTTCCATGGCAGCCCAGGAACTATGCACTGCTGTACATATCACAGCTCGCGTCACGTGGACAGCCCAACTGCTGACCAGGGGACCTGATTCCCACAAGATGTTAATCCTCAACCCTACTGTAGTGAATTCCTATAATTTTGTTGTCTCTGTATCCATTCTGAGTATTGCTTAACTCTCATACCAGAGGGAGAGCTCAGTTTCCTGGACACAGTTTCCTGTTTTCCACCTGCTTTTAGCTGCTTAATGTGAGA